GCGACTAGTTTGACAGTTTATTGACGAGAAACAAAAGAAGTCATTAGACCAGTTCTACCAAAGGGACTACCTGGGATTACAACCAGTACTATAACCAGTACTACACAGCAACAGTCCTGACCTGGGTCCTGGTCCAGATTTTTCATTGTGTTGTATTATCGGCTGAGCCAAGAGGGGCAGGGTTTACCTGACAGGGCAGGTGTTGCTGATTCTGGCTCAGCAGCTACATATCTATTGTTAAATTCTGTACTGCTTTAACAAAGAACTTCCATGTCAGTGGTTACTTAGAGACATTTTGACTCAGGCTGTAAGCTGATTGGCCGGTGTCCAGGTGACCCAGGTCAGGTGTATTGTTGTAGGTGACCAAAATTACCTGTCCAGGCTGCTGGACTGACCAGCGTCAGAGTAGGCTCGACTCATTCTGGAGCCACGCAACAGCCGCACTGCGTCCTCGCGGTACAATGGGTATAAAGGGTTACCGCTGGCAACATGTCAGAGGTCAGAGGTCAGAGTGTATGAGCTTATAAAGTTTAGAGGGTCAAGGGGTCAAACTCCTTGGGTCTTTTTCAAACCAGCCACTACACCTTCTCCCTACCCACTACCCCTCGGTTTGCGCGTCCACACGGAGGGTCCGCCTTATTAAGTCTGTCCCAAACCAATGAGCGGGGAGTGATAACCAGTGAGTCTTCACTGATGCCAACTTACAGATCATGTGCAACACCTATTGTGTCCGGTTGTCATGGAGGAAGCGACCTGTAAGTTCTGTGCAAGTGCCTCCAAACACTGCTCCAACTAAGATAGATATTTAATATCGTCATACAGACGTTAACAACTTAAAATGTATATCTGTACTGAGGATCAAATATAGCCCTACTCTTCTTTCTTCATTCAGTTGAGGTGTTTATTTATTGTAAAGTGTTTTATATTTACAGGGACTGTTATAAAAACAAAAGAATATAAAATCATGTTGTAGACAACTTCTCACTGTTTATATTTATTTCTTATTTTTCTACTTTTGCTGTCTTTGTGAAATCTCAATAAAAACTGAAGTTACAACAAAAAATAAACTTTTCGCTGCTCTGATGTTCAACAGTAGTCTCCTTGTCTTTGCATTATTTAGGACAACCTGTTCTATGAAATTACAATAAATTAACTTAAATTATAAATTACAATATAGAATGTAGGCTCCATTTAATAGTTTTGTTACAGTCTACACTAATAATATAACGTACTAAAGAAGAATAAGAATAATCTACATAGACATTTTTACAGAATGCATTAGCTACAAAAAAAAAAGCCGTTCCTGCAAGATACCGCTGAGAAACCATGGTAACACACAGTTCCTGTTTCCGCCTGAGAGAGGGAAGTTTTTCCCAAAGCCTGCTGCCGTATTTATACCCTACCCCTTGATGAAGGGGACTTCATTGAGCTGCCAGTGTGACTTATAACGGAGTGCACAGGACATGGAGTGTCACGGAGGTGGAGGGTGTAGAGTGTAGGGCTTGGTTTGAAAAAGGGCCCTAGTTACCTGTGAGGAGGCGGCTGGCTCGGAGACCGTGACCTCATCCGGACCATGTCTGATCGAGGGCTGTGATTGGACATCATCACCTGCTCTGGCACTGAGAGGGTGGAGCTGTGGAAGTCCCGCCCATTTTGCCTGTAGTCTAGAAACACAGAGGACGAGGGATGGGCTTAAACCAACAGACTGAGGCAGACCAGATACATGATGAGCACTCTTATGTTATTTATGTTCTATAATGAAATATAGATATTTAATGATATATAGAGAGAACAAAAAGCTCATTTCATAAGAACATTTGGATTCAGTTCATTTCTTCTGGTCTGATCAGGATGTGCAGTGCATGATGGGATATGGAGTTCACCTGATATCACCCCGATGCCGTCTTCACAGTCATAATCCGAAAACTCACTGTCACTGATCCTCTGAGACCCTACAGAGAGGGGGAGGAGGGGGGAGACAGAGAGAGAGTTAATCCTGTAAGCAGCTCTCTGTGTAATCCTCTACAGGACAGTGGATTAATGGGACTCAGAGCATTCACACAGAAAGACTGAAGGTAGAACTCACACTTTCTCATCTGACTAGAACTCCCTGAAAACTCCCTGAAAACATCCTGAGCCCATTCATTCAGTAAGACCCCTTAAATCACACATAAAGAGAACCTTGAAGGGACTGCATCCCAATTGCACTGTATGTTTTGAACTTGCTTCAATAAAAATATGTTGAAAAAAAAAAAAAGAGAACCTTGAAGGGACTCTTGAGCTATTAAAAAGGGATGCAAGTGCAACAGGAACCTGAATAACTCCTTGAAGGATTCCTTGAGCCCTCATCAAGGACCATTGAGAACCTGCTAAAGAACCCTGAACTACTGTTAAGCTTCCAAAGAGCCCTTGTGTGACCTTGAACTCTTGTTATGTTATGTTATGTTATGTTATGCAAAGAAACATACCATCTGAGCCACAAACATGCACAAAGGGTTAATTGCTCCCATAAATGCACTAAAGAGCAAATTGCGTCCCTGTACGTCTCTGCTGTTTGTGTTTAAATGATCCATTATTCAGTAATTTGTGGAACAATCGTCTCTTCCTCTGTAAATCAGCCTCATTGTAAAAAGTGACTAAATCACAAACGGGGTGTTAACAGCCACGCATGGTGAGAGGGAAAACATGAGCGCCTGATGAGAGTTTGTGGTAACTGCGCCGCAGTAAGAGATGTGATGCTCAAACTTTCCAGTGATCAGGAAAAGACTTCTGTATGCCTTCAAAATAAAAGCTCAGAGTGCAGCTCTATCAGTGTGAGAGTGCAGCTCCATCAATGTGAGAGAGCAGCTCCATCAGTGTGAGTGCAGCTCCATCAGCATGAGAGAGCAGCTCCGTCAGTGTGAGAGTGCAGCTCCGTCAGCATGACAGTGCAGCTCCATCAGGGTGCGAGTGTAGCTCTGTCAGCGTGGGAGCGCAACTCCATCAGAGTGAGAGTGCAGCTACGTCAGTGTGAGAGTGTAGCTCCATCAGAGTGAGAGTGCAGCTCCGTCAGGGTGAGAGTGCAGCTCCGTCAGAGTGAGAGTGCAGCTCCGTCAGGGTGAGAGTGCAGCTCCGTCAGGGTGAGAGTGCAGCTCCATCAGGGTGAGAGTGCAGCTCCGTTAGTGTGAGAGTGCAGCTCCGTTAGCGTGAGAGTGCAGCTCCGTTAGTGTGAGAGTGCAGCTCCGTTAGCGTGAGAGTGCAGCTCCGTTAGTGTGAGAGTGCAGCTCCGTTAGCGTGAGAGTGCAGCTCCGTTAGTGTGAGAGTGCAGCTCCGTTAGCGTGGGAAAGCAGCTCAGTTAGCGTGAAATTGCAGCTCCGTTAGTGTGAGAGTGCAGCTCCGTTAGCGTGAGAGTGCAGCTCCGTTAGTGTGAGAGTGCAGCTCCGTTAGCGTGAGAGTGCAGCTCCGTCAGTGTGGGAGTGCAGCTCCGTCAGTGTGAGAGTGCAGCTATGTCAGTGTGAGAGTGCAGCTACGTTAGCGTGAGAGTGCATCTCCGTCAGTGTGAGAGTGCAGCTCCGTCAGTGTGAGAGTGCAGCTCCGTTAGCGTGAGAGTGCAGCTCCGTCAGTGTGAGAGTGCAGCTATGTCAGTGTGAGAGTGCAGCTATGTCAGTGTGAGAGTGCAGCTACGTCAGCGTGAGAGTGCAGCTCCATCAGTGTGAGAGTGCAGCTCCGTTAGCGTTGGAAAGCAGCTCCGTCAATGTGAGAGTGCAGCTCCGTTAGCGTGAGAGTGCAGCTCCGTTAGCGTGGGAAAGCAGCTCTGTCAGTGTGAGAGTGCAGCTCCGTTAGCGTGAGAGTGCAGCTCCGTCAGTGTGAGAGTGCAGCTCCGTTAGCGTGAGAGTGCAGCTACGTTAGTGTGAGAGTGCAGCTCCGTCAGTGTGAGAGTGCAGCTCCGTCAGTGTGAGAGTGCAGCTACGTTAGTGTGAGAGTGCAGCTCCGTCAGTGTGAGAGTGCAGCTACGTTAGCGTGAGAGTGCAGCTCTGTCAGTGTGAGAGTGCAGCTCCATCATGTGAGAGTGTGTGAGAGTGTAGCTCCGTCAGCGTGAGAGTGCAGCTCCGTCAGCGTGAGAGTGCAGCTCCGTCAGTGTGAGAGTGCAGCTCCGTCAGTGTGAGAGTGCAGCTCAGTCAGCGTGAGAATGCAGCTCCGTTAGCGTGGGAAAGCAGCTCCGTCAGTGTGAGAGTGCAGCCCCGTTAGCATGGGAGTGCAACTCCGTCAGTGTGAGAGTGCAGCTCCGTCAGTGTGAGAGTGCAGCTCCGTCAGTGTGAGAGTGCAGCTCCGTTAGCGTGAGAGTGCATCTCCGTCAGTGTGAGAGTGCAGCTCCGTCAGTGTGGGAGTGCAGCTCTGTCAATGTGGGAGTGCATATACTTCTCTCCACATCCACACATTAAACAACAGAGCTAATAATAAAAATAATTTATACTTTATTAATCCTGCGAGGGGAAATTCGGTTTACAGCGTACACCTAAATCCCCTGTGACTCACACACACACACACACAAACACACACACACACACACACACACACACACACACACTGTGCTTTTTACCTGGGTTATAGCATTGACCTTTGTCTGGATAAGCATCATGGAAGAAAAGCATGAGAAAATAACAAAAGTTATGAAAAAGATGATGAAATGAAATCAAACAAATGACAGGACTGTGTATGTATATATGTGTGTGTGTGTGTGTGTGTGTGTGTGTGTGTGTGTGTGTGTGTGTGTGTGTGTGTGTGTGTGTGTGTGTGTGTGTGTGTGTGTGTTTGCGTCTCACTCTGCAGCCTCCTGCTGCTCGGTGGGTCGTCAGGCTGCAGTCCTCTCCTCTGCAGGTAGGGGGAGGCTTTGGGCAGTGGCAGAGAGGAAACGTCATGAAGCTGAAGTTTGTACCAGTGAGGCTGATCGTCTAACAGAGCATGCTCCAACTCTATCAGCACCTACAGAGAGAGAGAGAGTGAGAGAGATGTTCTCCATGTGTTCTTTCTGCATGGGTTCTCTACGTGTTCTCTGTGTGTTCTCTGTATGTTCTCTCTGTGTATCCTCTGTATGTTCTCTCTGTGTGTCCTCTTTATGTTCTCTGTGTGTTCTCTGTGTGTTCTCTGTGTGTTCTCTGCGTGTTCTCTGCATGTTCTCTGTGTGTTCTCTGTTTGTTCTCTGTGTTTTCTCTGTGTGTTCTCCATGTGTTCTCTGCGTGTTCTCTGTGTGTTCTCTGTGTGTTCTCTGTGTTTTCTGTGTGTTCTGCATGGGTTCTCTGTGTGTTCTCTGTGTGTTCTCTGTTTGTTCTCTGTGTTCTCTGTGTGTTCTGCATGGGTTCTCTGCGTGTTCTCTGTGTGTTCTCTGTGTTCCCTCTGTGTGTACTCTGTATGTTCTCTGTGTTCTCTGTATGTTCTCTGTGTGTTCTGCATGGGTTCTCTGTGTGTTCTCTGTGTGTTCTCTGTGTGTTCTCTGTGTGTTCTCTGTTTGTTCTCTGTGTTCTCTATGTGTTCTGCATGGGTTCTCTGCATGTTCTCACCTCTCCCATGAATTCGCTTTCCTCCTCGCGGACTCTGGCCTGGTCCCAGACTGTCAGTTCTAACATCCTTTCCCTGAACTCCCGCTGATGTACCGGAGAGTACATGAAGGTCTGGTTCCACCGAGGTTCAACTGACTTTTTCACTGTCTTTGTTCTCCGCTTACTCTTATCACTGTGGCAAAAAGAGACAGAGTCTGACAACACGGAACCAGACCAGGATAGGTTCGCTGGTTCTTCAGTTACATAGACAAGAAACCAGAGAATGCTGAAAACCCAACTTACACAAATGTCCTGAACCAACTAAACCTCGGATTGGTTCCTTACTCACCTTCTGTCTGGCAGGAAGTAGATCTTGACATAGGGATTCCTTGGTCTGTTGTCCTCACGGACAGGAAGTTCCTTTGCTCCAAGAACAGTGACGATCAGCTGATGACCGACTTTATCGTACCACAGCTTCACCTGGGAGGTGGAGGTTCTAATCAGAACAGCAGCATGGACGATAGAACCTAAACAGCTTTAGATGAGCCACAGAGAACTATAAAGAGCATCTACAGCCTACAGAAGGGCAGAGGAACCTGAGACAACAGGGAGAAAACCCTTTACCTATAGACCAATCCAGAACCTATACCTAGCACCAGGGGCATTACAATACAAAGTAGAACCTTATAAACCTGTGGCAGAACTCTTAGAATGGAACAGCCACACAGAACAGTCGCTGTACCTAAAGAGCATCAGAAGAACCCCACAGAACATAGAAACAACCCTACACCACATACAACAAACACACAAAGAACACACTCAACCCAGCAGACAATGACAGAACCCTTAAAGAGCTGAGGAAGGCTGAAGCAGAACAGAAGCTCAGTCCTTCACAGGACTACCAGAACCATGTAGAGCATGAGTTGAAATATTAAGATTAGCGGCTGAGATTGATTAAACACCAAAAAGTAATCTACAGAACTGAAGTAGAACTACACAGAACAGATGGGGAACCCCGGACATCTCTGCAGACTTAAAGGGTTCTACTGCTCTATGTTTATGTAACAGCTCTTTACTGATAACCAATGCTTTAACTAAACATTTGACTTAACTAACAACTAGAACTAAAAGCAGAGAGAACAAAGATAGGAGGACAGACAGAAATCTCAGTCCTCCTTACATCTACAGTTACCTGAATTCTGGGCACCAGAGTACGCCTGTTCACAGTCTGAAACAAACACGTTATCATGGAAACACCTGTTAAAACAGAGTTGGCTGTTGGGAGTGCTATGTGGTGGTGCATTGCATGCTGGATAACTTACAGAGACCTGTCCAGAGAGAGCGCTGGGGCTCATGGGAGAGGTGACAGAGATTGATGGACCGAATTTCTGAGAATCGAAGGAACTGGAACCTGAACACAACATGGAGAACATTTCTCATTCTACATCCTGTGTTTATATTTTTAAAGGTGTGTGAGGATTTGGTTTATGGATTCAACAGTTTAAACTAATTTCAACATGAGGCAAAGACATCAATTACATCTGTTTGTACAATATCATGATTTAAATAATGGTCTTCAATGGCTGAAGAAACCAGAAGATTAACTTGGTGGTTTGTGTCTCTGTGCAGTGGTTTATGTCTCTCTCTGTGGTGGTTTGTGTCTCTCTGTAGTTGTTTGTGTCTCTCTAGTGGTTTGTGTCTCTCTGTAGTTGTTTGTGTCTCTCTAGTGGTTTGTGTCTCTCTGTAGTTGTTTGTGTCTCTCTAGTGGTTTGTGTCTCTCTGTAGTTGTTTGTGTCTCTCTCTCTAGTGATTTGTGTCTCTCTAGTGGTTTGTGTCTCTCTGTAGTGGTTTGTGTCTCTCTGTAGTTGTTTGTGTCTCTCTCTCTAGTGGTTTGTGTCTCTCTAGTGGTTTGTGTCTCTCTAGTGGTTTGTGTCTCTCTCTAGTGGTTTGTGTCTCTCTCTAGTGGTTTGTGTCTCTCTAGTGGTTTGTGTCTCTCTCTAGTGGTTTGTGTCTCTCTAGTGGTTTGTGTCTCTCTCTAGTGGTTTGTGTCTCTGTATAGTGGTTTGTGTCTCTCTGTAGTTGTTTGTGTCTCTCTCTAGTGGTTTGTGTCTCTCTGTAGTTGTTTGTGTCTCTCTCTAGTGGTTTGTGTCTCTCTCTGGTGGTTTGTGTCTCTCTCTAGTGGTTTGTGTCTCTCTGTGGTGGTTTGTGTCTCTCTGTGGTGGTTTGTGTCTCTCTCTAGTGGTTTGTGTCTCTCTGTAGTGGCTTGTGTCTCTGTAGTGGTTTGTGTCTCTGTGGTGGTTTGTGTCTCTCTGTAGTTGTTTGTGTCTCTCTGTAGTTGTTTGTGTCTCTCTGTGTTGAATTATGTCTCTGTAGTTGTTTGTGTCTCTCTGTGCTGAATTATGTCTCTGTGGTGCTTTGTGTCTCTCTGTAGTTGTTTGTGTCTCTCTGTGTTGAATTATGTCTCTGTAGTGGTTTGTGTCTCTGTGGTGGTTTGTGTCTCTCTGTAGTTGTTTGTGTCTCTCTGTATTGAATTATGTCTCTGTGGTGGTTTATGTCTCTGTGGTGGTTTGTGTCTCTGTGGTGGTTTGTGTCTCTCTTTAGTGGTTTGAGTCTCTCTCTAGTGGTTTGTGTCTCTCTCTAGTGGTTTGTGTCTCTCTCTAGTAGTTTGTGTCTCTCTGTAGTGGTTTGTGTCTCTCTTTAGTGGTTTGAGTCTCTCTCTAGTGGTTTGTGTCTCTCTCTAGTAGTTTGTGTCTCTCTGTAGTGGTTTGTGTCTCTCTCTGTAGTTGTTTGTGTCTCTCTGTGGTGGTTTGTGTCTCTCTTTAGTGGTTTGAGTCTCTCTCTAGTGGTTTGTGTCTCTCTCTAGTAGTTTGTGTCTCTCTGTAGTGGTTTGTGTCTCTCTGTAGTGGTTTGTGTCTCTCTGTGGTGGGTTGTGTCTCTCTAGTAGTTTGTGTCTCTCTGTAGTTGTTTGTGTCTCTGGTTTGTGTCTCTGGTTTGTGTCTCTCTGTGGTGGTTTGTGTCTCTCTAGTAGTTTGTGTCTCTCTGTAGTTGTTTGTGTCTCTGGTTTGTGTCTCTCTGTGGTGGTTTATATCTGTATGTGGTGGTTTGTGTCTCTGTGGTGGTTTGTGTCTCTCTGTAGTTGTTTATGTCTCTCTCTAGTGGTTTGTGTCTCTCTGTAGTGGTTTGTGTCTCTCTGTGTGGTTTGTGTCTCTCTGTGTGGTTTGTGTCTCTGTAGTGGTTTGTGTCTCTCTGTGGCGGTTTGTATCTCTCTGTAATGGTTTGTGTCTCTCTGTAGTGGTTTGTGTCTCTCTGTAGTGAGTTGTGTCTCCCTGTAGTGGTTTGTGTCTCTCTCTATGGGGGTTTGGGTCTCTATTTTGTTATAATATTTGAATGAACTCACTGGAGTCCAGGGCGATGACGGTGCTGTCTGCAGCTCTTGAAATCTCTCTGTGGACAGAACAATCACAAACAGGAGTCAGAACAGAAACGTCTTCAGTTGTCAGATCAGTGTAAACACTTGTGTTTCTTTATTGTGTTTGAAATGTACAAGCCCATCTCCTTCAATGTTGGGACGTCATGTAAAATGTCAATGAAAACAGAATGTGTTATTTTCACATGAAACCATATTTCATTAAAATATCACAAAGACAATTGATCAAATGTTTAGACTAAGAACGTTTCCCAGGGGTTAAAGAACAAACACACACAGGTACATTTCACTTGTATTTTAACAGTGTGGCTTCTCTTTCATTGGCTTGCACTGATCATGTGACATTCCATCTCCTGTGACCCACCCGATTGGTCGGGACACCACTAGTTCCACCTGTGGTTCTTGTTTGGACTCCAGGATGATGTGGTACACTTCATTAAATGTGGCTCCCTGAAGAAGCCGACCGTTCCACTCCAGAACCTGATCACCTGAGAACAGAGAGGGTCCTGTGGTTGACTGCGTTCTGATGGGCATGTCAAACGGAACAGAGGAATAGGACTTTCAACTGTCAGTGACAGAAGTTAGCTTAGCACAACAAAATCTGTGTGTGTGTTTACCTGGTCTCAGGTGTCCCACAGTGTCGGCCAGACTTCCTCTCTTCACCTTCGTGATGAACGCACAGAGACGACCCGACTCTGTCATCTTCCCCCCGACCACCTAAAACCATGAGGCAAGAACAGAGTGGGTGTGTCACAAACAGACGAAGGAGAAGAAGAAGAAAGATATATGTATTGTTGAAGGATTAGAGATAGACAGATGGATGCAGGTAGACAGGATGGATGGATGGATGGATAGGCGGACAGATGGATGGATGGATGGATGATGGATGGATGGATTGTATCACCTTGAGTCCTAGCAGCGCTCCAGTGTCCGCAGGAATAGTCCCATCCTTCATCCTCTTATTTAACAGAATTCGTCCAATCAGACGCTCTCCATCCTTGGACGGTTGCCATGACACTGGATGCTGAACAATGGTTAACACAGGGACTTTTAGGAACTCACAACAACAAGCAACAAAAGTTCTGTCAAGTCAGCTGATTGAAATAAGCAAACTTCACTGGAAGGTGGGGGTAGATGGAGGGGGCAGGGCTTAGTCCTACCATGGAAATAGGTGCAGCCTCACTCTGCCAGGTACCATGATCCCACCATTGGCTGTCCATGTCTCCTAGCAACACAACACCCAGAAAAAACAAGTAAAAGGTTAGAGGTCATAAAATCTCCAAATAGTTTTAAATAAACCAAAACTGTCATTCTCTACATGTAAACAATGTGTCATCGTCTCTGCATAGTGAAAAACCACAAGCTCAGTGAGGACAAAGGCTCAGAGAGGAAACAACACAAGCTCAGTGAGGACACGGGCTCAGAGAGGAAAAAACACAAGCTCAGTGAGGACACAGGCTCAGAGAGGAAACAACACCAGCTCAGTGAGGACACAGGCTCAATGAGGACAGGACATGAGCTGAGTGAGGACACTAGCTGAGTGAGGACACGACATGAGCTCAGTGAAGACACAACACGAGCTCAGTGAGGACACAACATGAGCTCAGTGAGGACGTGAGCTCAGTGAGGACACAAGCTCAGTGAGGACACAAGCTCAGTGAGGACACAACATGAGCTCAGTGAGGACATGAGCTCAGTGAGGACACAAGCTCAGTGAGGACACGACATGAGCTCAGTGAGGACATGAGCTCAGTGAGGACACGACATGAGCTCAGTGAGGACACGACACGACATGAGCTCAGTGAGGACATGAGCTCAGTGAGGACACGACATGAGCTCAGTGAGGACACAAGCTGAGTGAGGACACGACATGAGCTCAGTGAAGACACAACACGAGCTCAGTGAGGACACGACATGAGCTCAGTGAGGACATGAGCTCAGTGAGGACATGAGCTGAGTGAGGACACGACATGAGCTCAGTGAAGACACAACACGAGCTCAGTGAGGACACAACATGAGCTGAGTGAGGACACAAGCTCAGTGAGGACACAACATGAGCTCAGTGAGGACACAACATGAGCTCAGTGAGGACATGAGCTCAGTGAGGACACAAGCTCAGTGAGGACACACATGAGCTCAGTGAGGACATGAGCTCAGTGAGGACACGACATGAGCTCAGTGAGGACACGACACGACATGAGCTCAGTGAGGACATGAGCTCAGTGAGGACACGACATGAGCTCAGTGAGGACACAAGCTGAGTGAGGACACGACATGAGCTCAGTGAAGACACAACACGAGCTCAGTGAGGACACGACATGAGCTCAGTGAGGACATGAGCTCAGTGAGGACATGAGCTGAGTGAGGACACGACATGAGCTCAGTGAAGACACAACACGAGCTCAGTGAGGACACAACATGAGCTCAGTGAGGACATGAGCTCAGTGAGGACACAAGCTCAGTGAGGACACAAGCTCAGTGAGGACACAACATGAGCTCAGTGAGGACATGAGCTCAGTGAGGACACAAGCTCAGTGAGGACACGACATGAGCTCAGTGAGGACATGAGCTCAGTGAGGACACGACATGAGCTCAGTGAGGACACGACACGACATGAGCTCAGTGAGGACATGAGCTCAGTGAGGACACGACATGAGCTCAGTGAGGACACAAGCTGAGTGAGGACACGACATGAGCTCAGTGAAGACACAACACGAGCTCAGTGAGGACACGACATGAGCTCAGTGAGGACATGAGCTCAATGAGGACACGAGCTCAGTCAGGACACGACATGAGCTCAGTGAGGACATGAGCTCAGTGAGGACACGAGCTCAGTCAGGACACGGCATGAGCTCAGTGAGGACATGAGCTCAGTGAGGACACGAGCTCAGTGAGGACACGACATGAGCTCAGTGAGGACATGAGCTCAGTGAGGACACGACATTAGCTCAGTGAGGACACGACATTAGCTCAGTGAGGACACGACATGAGCTCAGTGAGGACACGACATTAGCTCAGTGAGGACACGACATGAGCTCAGTGAGGACATGAGCTCAGTGAGGACACGAGCTCAGTGAGGACACAACATGAGCTCAGTGAGGACATGAGCTCAGTGAGGACACGAGCTCAGTGAGGACACGACACAACATGAGCTAAGTGAGGACATGAGCTCAGTGAGGACACAACATGGGCTCAGTGAGGACACGAGCTCCGTGAGGACACCAGCTTAGGGAGGACACGACATGAGCTCAGTGTTTATACCTGCGTACCTTCTAGGATGGACAATCCAATTGAGTATACAGGTCACTGTGATGAGTAAGGGGTCAACAGCCAGAAACAAATCTGAAGGCTCAGTGATACACGGTTTCCAATGACTGTAAACACTTGGCTGAGGCAACCGTACATTTCCTCCTCCAGTAACACACGTAAAGCACAGACACGTACATAAACATGTTTACAACTCAGCCAGCTGCGAATGTGAACACAACGTTGGAAACAAAGTGAACCTAGACCTGAGAGCGGCTCTGAACAGAAGTACTCACAGGTCTGTGTGGAGGCCATGAAGAAGAGGAACGAGGATGAGGCTTCAGGCGAGGAAGAGGAGAAGGAAGAAGAAGAAGAAGTGACGCTCCTGTCTCCTCCCAGAGTCTTTGGGTGCTGTCTGCCCTGAGCCCTGCCTGCAGGATGCAGAGCAGTTCATGCCTGTCTGTAATCACATTAACTGAGTCTGGACACCTGACTTCTTGTCCTTCAGTGATCTAGAGTTAGCATGAAGCTAAATTAATTAGTCAGTCAATCAGTCTGTCAATTAATCTGGATTTCAGGTAGCTTCTCTGGACTTCAGATACTTATCTGGACATCAGATACTTCTCTGGACTTCAATTAACTTCTCTGGACTTCCGTTAGCTACTCTGGACTTCAGTTAGCTTCTCTGGACTTCAGTTAGCTTCTCTGGACATCAGTTAGCTTCTCTGGACTTCAGGTAGCTTCTCTGGAATTCAGAAACCTTCACTGGACTTAACTATGTTTTTTGGACTTCAGTAAGCTTCTCTGGACTTCAGAAAGTTTCTCTGGACTTCAGAAAGCTTCTCTGGACTTCAGTTAGTTTCTCTGGACTTCAGAAAGCTTCTCTGGAATTCAGAAAGCTTTTCTGGACTTCAGTGAGTTTCTCTGGACTTCAGTCAGTTTCTCTGGACTTCAGAAAGCTTCTCTGGAATTCAGAAAGCTACTCTGGACTTCAGTTAGTTTCTCTGGACTTCAGAAAGCTTCTCTGGAATTAAGAAAGCTTCTCTGGACTTCAGTTAGTTTCTCTGGACTTCAGAAAGCATCTCTGGACTTCAGTAAGCGTCTCTGGACTTCAGTAAGCTTCACTGGACTTCAGTTAGCTTCGCTCTCACTGCAGACTGTTGTTAACATTGTTGTTCTTTAACCTAGCACGTAGGCAGTGTGAAGGTAAAGTTGCACCCTGGGTGCTAAATGAGTAAACTTGTTGCTGGCAGATGTTTGCCAGCTGTTGGATTTATCTCGCACCGCTTCCTCGCCATGCAGATGATCACATAATGCAGTGAGCCGGGTTATCCTCTGGGGAGCAAGCTCTCTGCAGACCCCTCCCCACCAACTGTGAACACATGATGTCTGGTTGTCCTGTTGGTCAACAGTTGTGTTGCCTCCAGTTGTCTCTGCTTCTATTCCTGTAAATCTGAAGTGACTCCTGAGGCAGGCTGATAATCCACTCTCCTCTTTTAATCCAATTGAACACAAACAAAGATTCAAGGTGTTCACTTCTTTACTGGACCTGGTAAATACACACACTCTCCAGGACCCTGGAATACCCAGGGTTTTCCATGACTGTCTTCAGGATCCCCCAGGACCAGATCTGTCAGGTTTGGAGTCTGTGAAGGTCCTCCTGGTCTGTTTCTTTAGGCGTGTTCAGGACGGCAGCAGCAGAGACTCTGAGCCACTCCGTTACCTCCAGACCTGAGAGGAGGAGACAGCAACTCTCTCAACCAATCAGAGCTCATTTTCACTGAGCATGTGACTTCTGCTCCAATGAAACGAAGGCAGCAGATTATCTCGTCAGCAAGATGTCTGATGATCTGAGAGAGCAAGGCAACTTTCACACATGCAGCAACTCTAACGGAGAACCGGCAGAGAACCACTCAGGAACCCTAGTCGTCATGACACCAGACTTTGAATCTTTGATATGGTTCCAGTTCAAATCAAACAACATAGATACCTGTATGTTACCACAGCAAACACCTGATGTTTGGTCATTTCTTCTTTTTAATGATAAGAAATAGCAGACAAACTCCTGCACACTGTCTAAATTGCACAAATACATTGGCCACGTTTCAGTATGTTTTTGTGAAACTTAGACAGAACAACAGAACAAAGAGTGAGAAAAGCTGAGGAACTCTCTGTTTCAGTACGATGTTCTGTGAGGGTTCTAGGAGGAACCCTCTGGTGTCTGTTGGGAGAACTGCAGGTGAATGTTGTTGCTGTGGAGATGAACCCAGAGTTCAGCTGTAAGAAGATAAGCATGCTGAGCTTATTACTGTCAGAGAACTCTCTCTCTCTCTCTCTCTCTCTGTGTTACTGTCAGACACTGTGTGGTTCTGCTCTGGTATAAACATGTTCACACGTTCTGGAGGAATGAATTGTGCACTTCAGGTTCCCACATTTTCACTTAAACAGAACTTCAGAACCAAGAAACCTCTGGAACGTTCCTCTTGTTAAAATCCCTTTGTGTTGCTTCAGCAGATTCCAACCAGCAGGGAGCAGAACCACAAAGTCTGAACTGTAAATGACAGACATTTCAATGAAGAATACAAACTGCTGCTCATGTTTTCAGTCTAAATGTTGTAATAAAAATGTTTTTATGATATCAAAAATGTTGTTTAATTATAATTTATACAAAACATGTTTTTCATATATATTTCATACATGAAAAAAGATCTGGTAGCCCGTAATTGTTGTTTTTTTCAGCCCTGAGTCATGTCTTCAGGCTAACTCACATGCTAACGTGCTGACTCACAGGTGAATAAGGTTCAGTCTAACCCTGAGCTCTGAGGTGATTCACCCTCAGGTGGGGAACTCAGAGTTTCTGCTTACAGATCAGCTGATTTGAGTTCAGTACGCAACACAAGTACAGAAGGATGAGTTTAATGGAGCCCCGATACTGTGATTCACCATGGCAACAGGTGACAAAAAGAGGTCCTTGTACTTTAGACCTCTGAACTATAAATCCTCATGTGGACATACATGAACAGCTTTATGAAAAATAAAAGTCACACTGTGTTAGAGTGTGCGGGAAAACTGCTGCTCAGTCAACGCATTGGTTTGACTGTAGTCTATTTATTTTACATTTAATCAGAATGATAATTTTACAGTTGAAAACTGGTGGAATGGTATTGAACCTAAAACTTATAACTGACTCAGAGAGCTTTAGTTACATAGTAACTTGACTCAGAGAGCTTTAGTTACCATAGTAACTGACTCAGAGAGCTTTAGTTACCATAGTAACTGACTCAGAGCTTTAGTCACCAAAGTAACTGACTCAGAGAGCTTTAGTTACCATAGTAACTAACTCAGATCTTAAGTCACCAAAGTAACTGACTCAAAGAGTTTTAGTTACCATAGTAACTGACTCTGAGCTTTAGTCACCATAGAAACTGACTCAGAGAGCTTTAGTTACCAAAGTAACTGACTCAAAGAGTTTTAGTTACCATAGTAACTGACACAGAGCTTTAGTTACCACAGTAACTGACTCAGGTCTTAAGTCACCAAAGTAACTGACTCAGAGAGCTTTAGTTACCATAGTAACTGACTCAGAGCTTTAGTCACCATAGAAACGGACTCAGAGAGCTTTAGTTACCAAAGTAACTGACTCAGAGAGCTTTAGTTACCATAGTAACTGACTCAAAGCTTTAGTCACCATAGTAACTGACTCAGAGAGCTTTAGTTACCATAGTAACTGACTCAGAGCTTTAGTCACCATAGAAACTGACTCAGAGAGCTTTAGTCACCAAAGTAACTGACTCAGAGAACTTTAGTTACCATAGTAACTGATTCAGAGCTTTAGTCACCAAAGTAACTGACTCAGAGAGCTTTAGTTACCATAGTAACTGACTCAGAGCTTTAGTCACCATAGAAACTGACTCAGAGAGCTTTAGTTACCATAGTAACTGACTCAAAGCTTTAGTCACCATAGTAACTGACTCACAGAGCTTTAGTTACCACAGTACCTGACTCAGAGATTTAGTCACCATAGAAACTGACTCAGAGAGCTTTAGTTACCATAGTAACTGACTCCATACTTTAGTCACCATAGAAACTGACTCAGAGAGCTTTAGTCACCAAAGTAACTGACTCAGAGCTTTAGTCACCATAGTAACTGACTCAGAGCTTTAGTCACCATAGTAACTGACATAGAGCTTTACTTACCAAAGTAACTGACTCTGAGAGCTTTAGTTACCATAGAAACTGACTCAGAGAGCTTTAATCACCATAGTAACTGACTCAGAGCTTAGGTTACCATAGTTACTGATTAAGAGCTATAGTCCCTCTAAAATATCAGTTAGAATGTAGCTATCTACCCTGATGTAGAACTCTGTTAGCCTGAAGCTAGTTAGCATGTAGCCATCAACCCTGATGTAGAACTCTGTTAGCCTGAAGTTAGTTTGAACATAGCCATCTATCCTGATGTAGAACTCAGTTAGCCTAAAGCTTGAAGTTAGCATGTAGCAATCTAGTCTGATGTAGAACTATGTTAGCCTGAAGCTAGCAGTTAGCATGTAGCCACTCACTGGCAGGCTCCTCCCAGCTGGTGTAGTCAGGTGTGGTCACTAGGTCCTCCTCCGAGCTGCTGAAGCTACCAATCACGTACATCTTCCCTGCCCTCTTCCCCCTCTGTGTTGTGCTCTCAGGTTCCATGTGTTGTCGCAATAACAGGCGGGGGGAAGTGGGACTGATATGATTTGCTGTGCGGTCCACAGACAGAGACCTCTGACCTTCATGTCCAACCAATCCCTGAGGCCGATGCTGACGGACAGCTGAGAGGAAAACAAGAAGTAAGACTGAGTATGGGAGAGGGTCTGTTTGGTCGATGGTTCTGTTCCTACCTGTCCGTCCCATGAGTACATGCTCGGGCTCGCAGGTTGCCAGGGAGACGTCGCTGTGACGGCGTTGGTGCCGGAACCGGCCAACGTGAGCCAACATCCTCATGGTCTCCTCATTCGGCTGCGGCTTCACTGGGTAACGTGCAAGGTTTGGGTCACTACGGTAACGAGCCTGAAACTCCTCCTCCTTCTGCCGCCGCCACTCATGTTCTTCCTGAACCTTGTCCTGACAGGGCGATGGTGGGGGGGTTATTTAATACATTTTGTATTTTATAAAACTAACATTAAAATGTTAGCTCAACATGCTGCAACATGCTGTGCTAACTGTAAGCACATTTTTTATTTAAAAGGGTTAGGGATTTAAACAAAACTTTATTTACACAACAATCTAAATTAAATATACTAAAAAACAAACAAATTAATAAATCAACTCACCTGTTTAGACATGCTCACCTGTGAGTACCAGCGGCCTCGTTCATCCCTCAGTGGAGCAGCTAGCCGCTCGTTTTCTCTATTACCATGGTAGTCGTGGTGTGAGCAAGCGTAACGCTCCAGACTTTGATCAGAGGGCGAGCGATGCATCCCACCTCCCCCACCATTGTCACACCACTTCCTGTCAATCACAGGGAAAGGACCAGTCAGAAAGGAAGAAAGAAGCTGTTGTTAGCCTGTGTGTTTTTAGCCTGTGCTAGCCTGTTTATTGTTAGCCGGTGTTGTGTATTAAAAAAACAAGTCAAAGTCTGTGTGTGTCTGTCTGCTCATTGTCTAAGCTTTGTGTTGTCAGCTTGTGTTTCTGTTTTTAGTCTGTTGTGTGTGTGTGTGTGTGTGTGTGTGTGTGTGTGTGTGTGTGTGTGTGTGTGTGTGTGTGTGTGTGTGTGGGTTCTTTATTTAGCAGCAACAGTAAACCCCACTGAGCTGCAGGATTATTAATCTGTTAATCTGGTAACAGTGTGTGACACACAAACACACACACACACATACACACACACACTCTGTAATAAACAAATATCCAAACTAATTATGGTTCCTACAACTGATGAAGTCATTTCCTGTTCCTTGACTGACCAATCAGAGGCTCCGTTGCTCAGAGACCCCTGAGGTGATGTGTGGGGAACCCCTTGTGAGTTATGGTTGACGGACAGCGTCTCCCCTGATCGAGTGAGAATATCCTGCTTCTTCCTGCAGACGTTACACACCCACATCATCTGCAACACACACACACACACACACACACACACAGGCCTCAAACACATTTACGGTTGTAGTTATTAATAACAACAAACAGGACCTGTAGTCTTACACGTCACAATGACAGGGCTGCACACAGGGGGCGCTCTTGAGCTGTTGTGGGTGGGTTTGTTGCCTTTCTCAAGGGCACCTTGGCAGCGCTCAGGAAGTTGATCAGGCATCTCTCCAGGTACCAGACCATCTTCCAGGCTTGGTCCATATCAGGACTTAGGGTGCACTCACACTAGGCAATCCTAAGCACACTTAACCCCTAAAGTCCAGTTTGTTTGACTAGTGTGAGAGCTCCATTCCATGCTGAAGCTCGGTATACTTCCTCGGCCCTGGTACACTTTGAAGAGGTGTTCTACAGCACGATATAGTTCATGCACGAGCACAGGCAGGAACACAATGTGGACAGCCTTCTGTATCTGACCAACATGACTCACAATAAGACACACAGTCAGTAAAGGAGCTGTCATGGTCTCTGGCTTGTTCTCTGATGTGCAGACGCAGACTCGACCATGCGTCCCTTTTTAAAAAAAAAAAAATTCTTTTCCAGTCCGCCTGTTTGTAACCTAAGCACGCTTCATGATCACGTTAAAGACATGTATGTGTTGTATTACGACATTATGTTCAAGAGGTAACCGTGCTCAGGCCGGTTAGTCCTGGAGCAGTGTGAGTGCAGGCCAGCGGGGGGATGGGGGGGGGGCAAATGTGCTTCAGCACGGTACGGGCAACTTTGCCTAGTGTGAGTGCGCCCTTAAACCCCCCGGTTCACGAGCAAGTCCTGAAGATCCGATATCTAGTTCACCATTCAGGAGCGCACTACGTCTGTTTATGAACACGTAACACACACACACACAAACTGACCTTATTGGCTCTCAGAAGGACACGACCCCCACAGCGGGCACAGAAGCGGCTTTGACAGTAGCAGCAGACGCGTCCACAGCCATCAGCAAACTTTGTCTTACAACAGATGCCACAGGTGGGAGGCTCCGCCTTCACTGTCTGTTTCACCTGAGGCTCCTCCCCCAGCTTCCTCACCTGGTCCTTGTACAGCTCGAATTGCTGATGTAACTTCCTGTGAGGGGTCAGAGGTCATCTAGTAACATACAGGATGGGCCATTCTCAAACCACTCCCTACACACTTCCACTCTGTTTATGCGCTCATTGGAGGGTCCCCCACACTGAGTGCAGTCCAATACAGCAGGGGGAGGGGCTTATAAACAAGAGAGTGCAGAAAGGGAGGGCCCTATTAAACCACTGAGTATGAAGTGGGAGGGGTTCCATCAGTACACTCTGACTGACGAGTGGTTTGCTTCCTGGTTTCTTGTGTTTAATGTTCGGATCACAGACATAAATCAGCCAAGTTTCTCCAGGGCAAAAACTACAAAGTGAATTCAAACAAACAGAGCGACATGGAGACACTAACCAGTCATATGAAGATATAATTCAAAGACATAAGAAGATATTCATCTTTTAACATCTTAAAAACACAACTCAAAGGCTCCGCTGCTTTTTTTAGTCTCTGTTGAAGGATGAAGGATGATATCAGTTCAAAATAATCATTCACTACGGACTATAATGTTATTATATGGGACACATATAATGGGTCTCTCTCCCTCCTCCCCCCTCTCCATCAGCTCCCTCCACCATCAAGAGATCTGATTGGTCAGTGGGCAGAGACTTCCACAGGTTGATCTCTTATCTCCAACATAACCTGGAGCAGGTTAGGTGTGCAGCATAGGTTACCATGGCGATATACCAAGGTAACATGTGAACCACCTAACCACCCAGAGTTAACCCTGAAGTGACCTCTAACCCCAAATCCTGCTTCTTAGTCCAGACCCCAGGTGTTTTAACCTACTACAGGTAAGCTTTATTATTATTTTGAGGCATCATTGTCTGCTCTGGTCTTTACTCACGTCTGTGATGGCTCTTCATTTGGACTTTTAATCTGCAGGACCTCAGACACGTTGGTGGCAACATTACTGACCAACTGACTGAACCCCGAAAAAGGATTCCACCTGTCCAGGTAACAAAGACAGTCAGCTGACAGGAAGAACACTCACTCAGGGAGTTAGGGATACAGGAAGTAGTTGAGGGAGGATTGTTGGCTCAGTAACGGAGGTGTTTGGCTGATGGAAGGTTCCTCACTGAGTGAAATGACCCCCGAAGCATTTCAGTGGCGGCCATGATAAGAGCCGTTTGAATTCTCTAATAGCTAAGGAAAAATGCTTCCTTTATAAACTCCTTTAGGACACACTGGACCATCCTTTACCAAAGGAGATGAGCTATGCTGTCCCACAATTCCTTACAGCCGCAACATTTAAAGCAAGTAGCGCATCCGACCGTTCACGAAAACTAACGATGATCGTAAAGGGACACAGATCATGTAAGGAACATTTTTAGCCAGATGATGTTTTATTCAACATATTTAATTCTCTTATGAATCCTTTGTGCAGTTCTACATTTGTATAAAACATCCTGTAGATCTTTCATAAATGTAATAATGAATTTCATCCAGTCATATTTATTCTGATGTTGATTTGTGAGTGGACAGGAAAGTGATGGTTTCACTTTTCTTACTCAGAGCCTTTTATTTCACTTCCTCATAGTAATTAGGATTATTTCACCAGTAAGAAGGCACAGGGGAAAGTTTTTAGATGATCTTTTTGTAGTCCATTTTCAGAACATTTTAGTTTCACCGCGGCAGACCCACGTCATCAACCTCCGCTGGCCATCACATTTAATGACGTGACCTAGTGGAAATGTGGTCGGATTGTCAGAGCAACGCGATCGCCTTACCCTAAGTCCTTTATGACTTCTCCTAACATCTTTCCTTAACCTCATGACGTTTTCCCCGGGGTTAAGGTGAAGAGGATAGTGAAAGAGGATTGGAGGGATCCAGATGCACCCTTTGATTACGGTTTGAGGAACAAGAGCAGGACAGGTGCAATATGGGAAATGTTGTTCTTTTAGTACTCACAAGCTGGACGTAGGATCTGAGTCTGTGTGATCCCTGTAGACACATTGGTGATGATGATGATGATGATGATGATGGTGATGATGATGGTGATGTTGAAGATGATGATGATGGTGATGGTGATGGTGATGGTGATGGTGTTGGTGATGATGATGGTGATAATGATGATGGTGATGATGATGATGATGATGATGATGATGATGGTGATGGTGATGGTGATGATGATGGTGGTGATGGTGATGGTGATGGTGATGGTGATGGTGGTGGTGATGGTGGTGGTGATGGTGATGGTGATGGTGATGGTAATGGTGATGATGATGATGATGATGGTGATGGTGATGATGGTGATGGTGATGGTGATGATGGTGGTGATGGTGATGGTGATGGTAATGGTGATGATGATGATGATGGTGATGATGGTGATGGTGATGTTGATGATGATGATGGTGATGATGATGATGGTAATGGTGATGATGATGATGATAGTGATGATGATGACGATGATGATGATGATGATGATGATGATGGTGATGATGATAGTGATGGTGATGGTGATGATGATGATGATGATGATGATGATGATGATGATGATGTGATGATAAAAAAAAAAGGTTGTCAGAACAGAAACATGTCAGTGTTTCTCACACATAGATGATACTCCAGCTGTCCAGGTACATTAATGTCCGCTCGTGTTTATTTCTGCCCTTAAATTAGTTTTCCATAAAATAGCGGTGTGATCAAGAGAGCGAGAAAGGGAGAGTCTGGCTGGTTGACGTTCATCCTATAATGCACCAGCTGAGGTGATGTTTCGTGTTTCTATAATGTGTTTCTATAAGTGCTGGCTGTCGATGCTGTCCTGCACTCCCAGTTTATTTTTTGTTTTTTTAAACGCGTCATCCTTGATAAGCGTGATGTAACAACACTATCGAGTGAAACAGCGTCTGTATCGTACTGCTGATGCATGGACCATATGGTGTAACAGTCCTGTAGGACACTGAGAATCACAGACACATGGACCATGTGGTGTTACAGTCCATTTGGACACTGAGAATCACAGACATATGGACCATGTGGTGTTACAGTCCTGTAGGACACTGGGAATCACAGACACATTGACCATAAAATGTAACAGTCCTGTAGGACAGTGAGAATCATAGACACATTGACCATATGGTGTAACAGTCCTGTAGGACACTGAGAATCACAGACACATGGACCAAGTGGTGTCACAGTCCATTTGGACACTGAGAATCACAGACACATGGACCATGTGGTGTCACAGTCCTGTAGGACACTGAGAATCACAGACACATGGACCGCGTGGTGTTACAGTCCATTTGGACACTGAGAATCACAGACACATGGACCATGTGGTGTCACAGTCCTGTAGGACACTGGGAATCACAGACACATGGAACATGTGGTGTCACAGTCCTGTAGGACACTGGGAATCACAGACACATAGACCATGTGGTGTCACAGTCCTGTAGGACACTGAGAATCACAGACACATGGACCGCATGGTGTTACAATCCTGTAGGACACTGGGAATCACAGACACATGGAACATGTGGTGTCACAGTCCTGTAGGACACTGGGAATCACAGACACATAGACCATGTGGTGTCACAGTCCTGTAGGACACTGAGAATCACAGACACATGGACCGCGTGGTGTTACAGTCCTGTAGGACACTGGGAATCACAGACACATGGAACATGTGGTGTCACAGTCCTGTAGGACGCTGAGAATCACAGACACATGGAACATGTGGTGTCACAGTCCTGTAGGACACTGAGAATCACAGACATATGGGCCGTGTGGTGTTACAGTCCTGTAGGACACTGAGAATCACAGACACATGGACCATGTGGTGTTACAGTCCTGTAGGACACTGGGAATCACAGACACATGGACCATGTGGTGTCACAGTCCTGTAGGACACTGAAAATCACAGACATATGGGCCGTGTGGTGTTAGAGTCCATTTGGACACTGAGAATCACAGACACAAGGAACATGTGGTGTTACAGTCCTGTAGGACACTGGGAATCACAGACACATGGACCGCGTGGTGTTACAGTCCTGTAGGACACTGGGAATCACAGACATATGGGCCGTGTGGTGTTAGAGTCCATTTGGACACTGAGAATCACAGACACATGGACCATGTGGTGTTACAGTCCTGTAGGACACTGGAATCACAGACATATGGACCGTGTGGTGTTAGAGTCCATTTGGACACTGAGAATCACAGACACATGGACCATGTGGTGTTACAGTCCTGTAGGACACTGGGAATCACAGACACATAGACCATGTGGTGTCACAGTCCTGTAGGACACTGAGAATCACAGACACATGGACCGCGTGGTGTTACAGTCCTGTAGGACACTGGGAATCACAGACACATGGAACATGTGGTGTCACAGTCCTGTAGGACACTGAGAATCACAGACACATGGAACATGTGGTGTTACAGTCCTGTAGGACACTGGGAATCACAGACACATGGACCATGTGGTGTCACAGTCCTGTAGGACACTGAGAATCACAGACACATGGGCCGTGTGGTGTTAAGAGTCCATTTGGACACTGAGAATCACAGACACATGGACCATGTGGTGTTACAGTCCTGTAGGACACTGGGAATCACAGACACATGGAACATGTGGTGTCACAGTCCTGTAGGACACTGAGAATCACAGACACAAGGAACATGTGGTGTTACAGTCCTGTAGGACACTGGGAATCACAGACACATGGACCGTATGGTGTTAGAGTCCATTTGGACACTGAGAATCACAGACACATGGACCATGTGGTGTCACAGTCCTGTAGGACACTGGGAATCACAGACACATGGACCATGTGGTGTCACAGTCCTGTAGGACACTGAGAATCACAGACATATGGATCGTATGGTGTTACAGTCCATTTGGACACTGAGAATCACAGACACATGGACCATGTGGTGTTACAGTCCTGTAGGACACTGGGAATCACAGACACATAGACCATGTGGTGTCACAGTCCTGTAGGACGCTGACAATCACAGACACATGGACCATGTGGTGTTACAGTCCATTTGGACACTGAGAATCACAGACACATGGACCATGTGGTGTCACAGTCCTGTAGGACACTGGGAATCACAGACACATGGACCATGTGGTGTTACAGTCCTGTAGGACACTGAGAATCACAGACACATTGACTATATGGTGTAACACTGAGATCTTCCAAGATGGCGGCGCCCCGCTTGGCTGCGGCTGCAGTGGCTCGTGATAGCAACAGGAATATAATGGCAAATAACCCAGTCAGTTCTGATAATTTCACAGTGAACCTGCAGCGTAGTTACTCTAAAGTAGTATACGACCACCAGGCAATTTTAGTTTTAGGTAAATCAAACAGTTTCAGACTGGTAGATGCGACCACTCTGGACCTTCTATGTAGCCTCGGAATACTACGCCGGCTACATCCAGAGGCCTGTGAAGCAGCGGAGCCTCGTCCCAGCAGTGTCCGCCAGCGGAGGAGACGGAAGCGGTGTGACCGGAAGCAAAAACGGGGATGCCGAGCGGGGCTAGCAACCAAGCTAAAAGCTAACCTGCACAGAACGCCGCTTCCTTCCATCCTGCTTTCTAATGTCCGCTCCCTGGAGAACAAACTGGACTACCTGAAGCTGGATTTAACTGCAAAACGGGAGACGAGAGACTGCTGCGCCATATTTCTCACAGAAACGTGGCTGAAACCATCCGTTCCAGATGAAGCAGTTAGCATAGAGGGGCTAACATTATTTCAGTCAGATAGGAGCAGCTCTCTCACTGGTAAATCCCGAGGCAGGGGTGTTTGCATATACACCAACAACAACAGGTGCAACAACGATGAGATAGTCTCATGTCACTGCTCTCCTGATTTAGAACTACTGACTATAAAATGCAGGCCCTTTTATTTACCCCGGGAATTCACTGTTATGATCTTCACAGCAGTGTACATTCCTCCCAGTGCAAACACCAGAGAAGCCCTGAATGTTTTATACCACTCCATCAGTGAAATGCAATCTACACATCCAGAGGGAGTTTTCATTGTGGCAGGGGACTTTAATCAGGCCAACATGAAAACTGTGTTTCTTCATTTCCATCAATATGTGGATTTTGCAACCAGGGGTGGGAGCACGCTGGACCTGGCCTACAGCAACATCAAAAAGGCATTCAAGGCTGCACCCCACCCCCACCTTGGTTCCTCAGACCATCTCTCTGTGATGCTAATTCCTGCATACAAGCCCCTACTGATCAGGAAAAAACCCACAGTGAAGCAGGTGAGGGCCTGAGGGAGCTATGGAAGCATTACAGGACTGCTTTAAATGCACGGACTGGGACATGTTCAAGGCGGCTGCTACGGACAATCATCAGACGTGTGTGGAGGAGTATGCCGAGTCTGTGTCTGCATACATTGAGAAATGCATGGAGGATGTTAGTGTGATCAAGAACATCTCCACACGGGCCAGCGAGAAACCCTGGACGACTAGTGAGGTACGTGCAATGCTGAAAGCCTGGAACGACGCTTTTAAATCTGGCGACATGGTGGCACTAAAAACAGCCAGAGCCAACCTGAACTGTGCCATAAAGATTGCAAAGCGTGCTCACAGTCAGAAAGTGCAGGACTTCTTCGAGGTCCCCACGAACACCAGACGAATGTGGCAGGCCATACAAGTCATCACAGACTATAAAGCTAGTCCTCCCCCCTGTGACAACGACGTCAACGACGTCAACGACCTCAACAACTACTTTGCAAGGTTTGAGGCACTCAACACCACTCCAGCGAGGAAATCTATTCCTCGCTCCGATGAGCAGCCAATCAGCCTGGACACAGCTGATGTCCGGAGAACCCTGAGGAGAGTGAACACCCGAAAAAGCAGCGGGCCCTGACGACAAACTGGGACGGGTGCTTAAGGAATGTGCTGACCAGCTGGCTGGGGTTCTCACAGACATCTTCAACACCTCGCTGATCCAGGCTGTGGTACCATCATGTTTAAAGACTGCTACAATTATACCAGTGCCTAAAAAATCCACAATCTCCTCACTCAATGACTACCGCCCTGTAGCACTAACCCCCATTATGATGAAGTGCTTTGAGAGGCTGGTAAAGGACCACATTGTCTCCAGACTTCCCCCCACATTCGACCAGTACCAGTTTGCTTACCGCCCTAACCGCTCCACAGAGGATGCCATCTCCTCTGCACTCCACCTGGGCTTACAACATCTGGAAGAGAAGGACACACATGTGCGGATGTTGTTTCTGGACTTCAGCTCAGTGTTCAATACAATCATCCCGCAGCATCTGGTGAGCAAACTGGCCCCCCTTGGTTTCAGCACCCCGCTATGTAACTGGCTGCTTGACTTCCTCACAAACAGACCCCAGTCTGTGCGGGTGGGCAACAACACCTCCAGTGTCATCTCCCTGAGCACCGGCTCCCCTCAGGGCTGCGTCCTGAGTCCGCTGCTGTTCACCCTGATGACCCATGACTGCTGAGCCAGGACCACTACTAACCACATCGTGAAGTTTGCAGACGACACAACAATAGTGGGCCTCATACGTGATAACAACGACATGGACTACTACAGAGAGGAGGTGAAACATCTGGTTGACTGGTGCAGAACCAACAACCTGGCCCTGAACGTTGATAAAACCAAAGAGATCATCGTCGACTTCAGGAGGCGCCATCCCAGCCACACACCACTCCTCATCAACGGCACAGCAGTGGAAAGAGTTAGCAGCACGAAGTTCCTGGGGGTGCAGATAAAAGACACTCTGACCCGGTCCCTTCACACCGGAGCTCTTGTGAAAAAAGCGCAGCAGCGCATGCACTTTCTGCGTCGCATGAAGAGAGCACATCTCCCTCCTCCTATTCTCACCACCTTTTACAGAGGCACTATAGAGAGCATCATAACAAACTGCATCTCTGTCTGGTCCGGAGCCTGCAGTGCCTCCGACTGGAAGTCCCTGCAGAGAGTGGTGAGGACGGCGGAAAAGATCATTAAGACTCCACTTCCTCCCATCCAGGAGATCGCAAAGATCCGCTGTCTGACCAGGGCTCAGAAAATCAGCAGAGACTGTTTTCGCTGCTGGACTCTGGAAAGAGGTTACGCAGCCTCAGAAGCAGAACTTCAAGGTTCTGTAACAGCTTCTTCCCACAGGCCATAAGACTTTTGAAAATAATCCCTCCATTCCCCCTCAAACCCCCACACAGGACTACCTCACTGGACTGTAAAATACAATATAACATACATCACAAACGTACAATATATTTATCTGTATAGTAATTTTACTCATAGCTTTTCTTAGTTAGTTTTTTATCCTGCACTACAACGAGCCAAATGCAACGAAATTTCGTTCTTATCTGCACTGTAAAGTACAAGTTTGAATGAGAATAAAGAAAGTCTAATTCTAAGTCTAAGTCTAACAGTCCTGTAGAGGAATCACAGACACATGGACCAAGTGGTGTTACAGTCTATTTGGAAACTGAGAATCACAGACACATGGAGCATGCGGTGTTACAGTCCTGTAGGACACTGAGAATCACAGACACATGGAGCATGTGGTGTTACAGTCCTGTAGGACACTGAGAATCACAGACACATGGACCATATGGTGTAACAGTCCTGTAGGACACTGAGAATCACAGACACATTGACCATGTGGTGTTACAGTCCTGTAGGAGACTGGGAATCACAGACACATGGAACATGTGGTGTCACAGTCCTGTAGGACACTGAGAATCACAGAGACATGGACCGTGTGGTGTTACAGTCTCTTTGGACACTGAGAATCACAGACACATGGAACATGTGGTGTTACAGTCTCTTTGGACACTGAGAATCACAGACAAATGGACCATGTGGTGTTACAGTCCTGTAGGACACTGAGAATCACAGACACGTGTACGTTTGTTTTGTCTTCTGGCATATATATCCGATGTGGTCTCTCCAGGACAACAGATGGGCCATCATATGAATAACAATAGGGGCCTTATGATTATCAGATGGTAAACACAATTTCCTCTATGTTCTTTGTATTGATCTCTAGAGAGTTAGCATCACTCTGCTCGACCACTTTGTTCTCAGCCTATTGGTGCAGCCCGGGGTCGTCAAGAGTTACTGAACTTCAGATATCAGAGCTGTATCATCAAAATACTTCAGAACTATTTTCTGCATGTAAACAGCAATCATCTGCTGAACTCACACAACCCAGGAGCCCCAACACTAGAGGTGATGGCAGATGAGAGGTTTTTTTTTACTTTGACAAACTGGACTCAAGCAAACCAAAGAGTCAAACAAGGATTCAGTTCTTCGATAATAGAAAGGTGGATGGATGGCTGCAATGGGTCAAAAAAATGTCCTGATGAGAACTGAGTTGAGTCGAAGCATGTAGACACATCAGTGTTTAATAAAGGACTTTTCTTCACAGTGAACTTGGTTTGTAATCAGGACAGTTGTTTCTTTATTAGCTAGGGATTGAGTTGTTGTGGAATAATTTTTTTAAATCGATATGTGTGCTAGGCTGAGCTTGGTTACTGACCGACCATCCAACAAGTCTGAGCCAGGTCTGGTTCATGGTTCAATGTGCCAGAGGACGCATTACACCCTCAACTGAATGGACGCAAAAAAATAACAATATATATCTAAAAAAAGTAATCAAGGTTTTCAGTGGACAACAGTGACTGAAACGGTGGTTATTACGTCCATGATCTGATGGTCATGACATGTGTGCGTGACCTGTCTGTTCACAACACCTACGCTGTATTTCATGGCTGTTGCCAGTCACAGTCATTGTCATAATCACCTGAAGAAAGAAGACCCGGCTGCACTACAGAGTGTGTGTATTACCAGCATGTTTACACACACACACACACACACACACACACACACACACACACACACACACACACACACTGTTCTTACTTCAGCATGCTCTGCTCTTTCTCCTCCTCCTTTTTTTGTCTCTCCATCACTGACTGAATGATCCGCCGCTCCTCCTCTGTCAGGTGGCTCAGGTCGGGACCTGGACCGTGACCAGGGCCAGGGCCAGGACCAGGACCAGGACCATTACCAGGACCAGAGCCAGGACCAGGACCAGGACCAGGACCAGGACCAGGACCAGGCCTTGGGGGCAGTGCAGACATGCTGACTGGGAGTGAGACAGAGACCAATCAGTGATTTTACAGCCTCTATATGTGACCCTCCACTGTGTCATAATAAAAATAATAAAAATAATAAGTGTGGATGAAAAGAGCGGCTCTACGTGCATCTATGTGGCCGATCTGCAGCCTCGAGCAGCGGACACAGCAGCGGTCAGAGAACCGCTCTGTCTGCGGTCAACACAACATCTACACAGACATACACCTGTTTATCACTGCATCCATCCATCCATCGATCCGTAACTCACAGACCGGCGCAGCGGCGTCCTCTCGCCTCCTCACGCCGCAGTCATGTCGCCTTCTCCGGGATTCAGCGGCGGCTCCGCGTCCCGGCAGCAGCTCTCATCCTTCCCGGCGCTCAGGCCCTCCTGCTCGGCCTGCTGGTGTCGCGGGTCTCGTTGCGGGTCTTCGGTGATTCAGGGTGATAAATGACTGAGCGGCAGACGAGAAGAGAGAATAATGATAGCCTCCATAGGCTGAAGAGGAAAGGGGCGGGGCTGCGGTGTGACGGAGTTACGCACAACAAAGATCAGCTGCTGTCATGGGGGGGCTGCAGCCAAAGATACACACACAGACACACACACACAGACACACACACACACACACACACACACACACACACACACACGAAGCTGTAGTACTAGAAGGATTAAAGTATTTATAGTACAGTTACAGTATTTATACCACACAGACACACACACACACACACACACACCTGTTCTCAGATCACCTGGACGGATGTTAGAGGTGTAAACAGGGACTCTGTGAAGGCTCTGCCTTGAATAGGGTCTAAGACGACACATTATCGAACATCTCAGTGTTAGATAGTCAGTGCGCAGAGAGCAGTGGAGCGGAAGCAGCGACTTGTTCGTTGGGTCATATTCCAATAACGTAGTTGTCCTGCAGGGGGCGTAGACTGCTCTCCTTTAAGACCTCAGCCTGGACTGGGTCCCTGACCACAGTCACAGGATTGCAAGAAAAGAGATGGGCCACCTACACCAAAGTCTGCACCCCTTGATACTGAAGCCAGCACCTCAGAGTCTGACACCCTTTCCCCCATGCGTTAGCTGGTCATTATTTCATGTGTCGATCCCTGAACCCTGGACCCTGAGAGGACTGGCCAGAGACTGAGAGCCTTGAGGTGAACACATGTGATCCACCTGTAGACCTGTACCTGACTGAACACATTGTCTATCTCAGCATGTTGCTAAGCTCGGCCTCGTGTTTCCTGGCTGTGACTGTCATGATGAACGAAATGTCTCCATGAGCCTCCTCTGAGACCTGAGAATGAGGGACAGTCTGTCTGGTTATGGAGTCCTGAGTCAGTAGCTGTGTCTTACTCGCACCTTTATAACACCATCACCATGACAACCATGTTTTACAGAGGACGCCACACCCAACCAGAGCTAGGCGTGACATTTAATGAGACACACTGGAGTGCTTTCACTCTTCTTCTGCTGTTTTAAAGTAAACTGATTATCATTGGAGGAGAGCAGTGTGATGTCATCATCTGGTCATGTGACTGGTAGAGCAGAGTAAGAGGATCAGTGTTTCCTGTTTTTACTCTTACAGACGGAGGGAGAGAGCGGAGGAGTGTGAGCAGACGACTGACTGACTGACAGATGAGGCTGGATGTGTGTGTGCTGTTTCTGCTGCTGATCGGCTGCGTGTGTCTGCAGAGAGTCGACTGCAGACTGCCAGACCTCACACCTGCCACACCTCAGCTGCAGGTAGGACAGGTGCATGCTGGGTAGGATAGTTTTGTGTGAGACTCGTTCAAGTATCAGTTACACAGAGAGGTTTCTATGCAGACGGCACTCACCTGTTTAGCTTGAGGAGAATCTGCAGCAGCTTCAGGAAGCGATCACAACAGAAACAACAAAACAAACAAACAAACAAATGATCCTTCAGTTTAAAGTTTAAACAGAACAAAGTTCATGTTGTTCTGAAAATGATTAAACACTGAAGAAATAATGGACAAAATCCTGAATGGAGACGATATTACACCATCATAGAACAGGTGTGAGAGAGAGGAGAACAGGTGAAAGATGAGAACAGGTGAGAGAGAGGAGAACAGGTGAAAGAGGAGAACAGGTGAAAGAGGAGAACAGGTGAAGAGGAGAACAGGTGAAAGAGGAGAACAGGTGAGAGAGAGGAGAACAGGAGAGAGAGGAGAACAGGTAAGAAGGAGAACAGTGAGAGAGAGGAGAACAGGTGAGAGACAGAGGAGAACAGGTGAAAGAGGAGAACAGGTGAGAGACAGAGGAGAACAGGTGAGAGAGGAGAACAGGTGAGAGAGGAGAACAAGTGAGAGAGAGGAGAACAGGTGAGAGAGGAGAACAGGTAAGAAGGAGAACAAGTGAGAGAGAGGAGAACAGGTGAGAGAGGAGAACAGGAGAGAGGGGAGAACAGGTAAGAAGGAGAACAAGTGAGAGAGAGGAGAACAGGTGAGAGGAGAACAGGAGAGAGGGGAGAACAGGTAAGAAGGAGAACAAGTGAGAGAGAGGAGAACAGGTGAGAGAGGAGAACAGGAGAGAGGAGAACAGGTAAGAAGGAGAACAAGTGAGAGAGAGGAGAACAGGTGAGAGAGGAGAACAGGTGAAGTGGGTTCTTCAGGGATGATTCCGTTGTAACTGGAACTTTGTTTGTGTCTGACAGGTTGAAGTCTTGATGAAGTCAGACTCATCTGTGAAGACAGAGCGGTTTGGACGACTTCCTGGACTCTGTCGGCGTCTGAAGAGGCGCAGAGTCACCGTGCTGGTAAACGTCACACCTGAGCTGGTTCACACCGTCAGTATGTGGAGAGGACCATGACACAGGAAGCAGGACAGCTCAAAGCTGATTGGTCTGATTTTATTTTAGACAGGAACATCACAGCTGCTGCTCGCTTGGTCCTGATGCTGTTACTGTCTCTTTAAATACTGACGGAGGCACTTGTCTAATCAGAGTGTTTTAAATTACAAACAAAAACAAACAAACAAACACAATACAAATAGATATTTACAGTTAAGAATAGCTCATACAGTTTATAATCTCCAGCTCTCTCTCTCTCTCTCTCTCAGTGTAACCAGGAGAAGTTTTGTTGGAGGGGGCGTGGCCATGAACGGAGCAGTGGGAGGAGTCTGAAGGCTCGGGCAGGTCAGGTGTGTGTGTGTCCGCGGGGCTCCAGGTGTTCACGTTTCTTCGTCCACAGTTTGTGAAACTCTCACAGACACACCCCGATGACAGAACAGTCAGTGACAGTGTTCGTCCTCAGGGTGGCGCTGTAGCTCACTCTGAATTTTTGTTTGTCTAAATAAATAAATGTTCTTCTTGTTCCTCATCAACACACTTTGTCGTCTCGTCTCCTGACTCGTAGTTTCTCCAATCAACGACTCTTCTTCCCTGGAAAAATACAAAAGTCCGATATTTAAATGATACTTCATTTAATAACAAAGAATCCGCCCGTACATTATAAATTAATGTAAACTGTAAATTATAATCATCATTATCATCATCAATATATATACAGTCTATGCTCCATCCATAATCTCCACTTCAGGTCAAACTCTTAAAATTTAATTATTTTATTTATTAAAATTATTATTTATTATTATTGTAATTTATTTATTATAAATAACTGTATTGTTATTATTATTATTCTACATTTAACTGCACCGGACACGCTCTGATGACGTCACATTTCACTGCTCAGCCAACGTTTCCGTTTCCAACACACCAGTGAGGCTGAGCAAAGAGGACGTCAGGAAGTGAGGCATTTAGCCTTCAAAATAAAGGTTTGAGATGCGGTTTTAAATGGTGAAGTGTTTGATGGGTAAGATCATAGAAACACTGGTAGCTGTCAGACAGACACTGGGTGGACTATTAATGGACTCGGGTGTTCTCACCTGTACACACACGCTGGACCTTTATTGTGACAAGATTAATGGAGAAACATATCAACTTGACTCTTTACAACAGATTCTGATGCAACAATGTTATTCATTTATACAAATGTAAATCGAATCAAATTAAAGTTTCAACTCTGAAAGAACAATTTTCTGTTTCTTCTGATGGAATCAAAAGATTAATTATGACATCATGCAGGACCTTATCATTAACCGCATTTAGATAGGGCTTTTATTCTGAAAACGTTAACCGGAAGTGTGACCTGTGTGTTTGGCTGCTTGTTTGTCTGTGTTGGGCCGCAGCTTGATCCGGTAACAACAGTCGGGGATCCGATCAGAGCCGTTAATAACCGGTTACCGGCCGTAGGTACCGTCCACTTGGCTTCTGTTTTCCCGCGCTCAGTCTCAGATGGCGGCAGTTTAACGGTGAGTTAGAGATAAACCAGCGTTAGTGTTTGGGTATTTAGCTGTTAGCAGGCTAGCTGTTAGCAGGCTAGCTGTTAACAAACTATCAGCTGCTCTGTTATCAAAACATCATTATGTTATTTACGTTCACACTTATCAGTCAGAGTTAATCATACCAGCGTGTGTGTGTGTGTGTGTGTGTGTGTGTGTGTGTGTGTGTGTGTGTGTGTGTGTGTGTGTGTGTGTGTGTGTGTGTGTGTGTGTGTGTGTGTGTGTGTGTGTGTGTGTGTGTGTACTTTTTGAATGAACCTTTGTTTACATCCTGAGCGATGACAAAGTTTAAACATATTTACCTGTGAGAAACTAAAGAAGAGGCTGATCAGCTGTTAATGATCAACACAATAATCACACTGTTCCATCACTTCATGTTTCAGTTATCGACACACAGACGGACAGCACACTAGGTACGGAACCAGCCCAGAACGGCACACCTGCTCGGGGTCTCAGGGGGTCACGGTGGCGTGGTCCTGGTTCAGGACTCGGCCAATGGAGAGCAACTGTCGGATCCCCATGGCCTGCTGTCGGCCTCGAGTCCTAGTCCTCCACGCCCTGTTCTGGGGCCTTGTGTCCCTCAGGTCAGTCCACGTACCAGACTCAGAAAGGTCCGATGTAAACTAAACAGAGGGATTTCACTGACTGTGAAGTGAAGGTGCTTGTTACTGAGGTGGAGGACACAAAACACAGGAATTAGAACGTGGATCTGAGGCCAGCATCACCAAAGCAGCTGCCGTGCGCTCTTGGAGGCGCACGAATCCACTGCACCTTGGGCTTCAGCTGCTGAGTGGCGCCAGTCAGGTGGCGTCCTCATTAACACTGTGCTGAATCACAGACTGATTGTAAAAACGACGACAGATATATGCAGTGAATAAAAAAAGAACGACGTTCCTGGTGGAATAGTTCACAAATTAAAATACTTTGTTAAATAATGAGGAGAAATGTTTGCCGCATTGTTTCACATTCTGTGTATCCATTCCGTGCCGAGTGCCGGGTACCGATGCTGGCCCAGGGTCTGGTTGTTTCTCTGTAGTTCCTGAACAGGTACACCACGTTGGCTTGCACAGGAGGTGGGAGGTGTGTGAACATGTCACAGAATACTTTCCAGTTTACTGTCGATTGTAGTTTTGGCACAGCGGTGAAGCTATCTGTGACTTTAGATGTGTTTGTTGTTTTTGTTGATCCCACGTCATGAACTTAGTTTATTGAACTGACTGGAACTTTATTTTGGCTCATATAGGGGGTCCTTTAATGGGTTCTGGTGGTAAGAAGGTTCTATTGGTCCACTTGAAGGTTCTGGTGGGTTGTTAATGGTCCTTCATGGACTCTAGTCATCTAAAAAGGTTTTCTGGTATTTAAAAGCTTTCAAGTGGTTCTAGTAGTTCCTTTGAAGGTTCTCGTTGTCCACAAAAGGGTTCTGACGGACTGTGAAGGTAGCTTAGCATAAACAGTAGCATTAGTGCCAAACCAGGTAACCTGATGTTCTGTGTTTCAGGGTGTTTGGAGCGGCGCTGCTGGGAGATGAGAAGACCACAGGTACTGACGAGCAGCAGCAAAGACTTGTGAGAAAAATAAACAAGAGGGTCATGTTTCAGCTTTTTAATGTTTCTCTCTGATCCCCCCCTCCTGCAGCGCTCAAGGCTCACGCCGCCCCCTGCTGGCTGCTCGAGGACTTTGTAGTGGCCACGGAGTGCTCCCAGTGTAACGCCTTCCAGACGGTATAAAACTTTGAGGAACTCTTTAGGACCGTGTCCTTGATAACCTTGTTGTCATGGTGACGTGGCTGATGAAGTCGGTTGTTGTGTTTCAGAGGTCGTGGTCGGCCTGTGAAGCAACGGGATACGTGGAGCGAGTCAACTGTACCCGCAGCAACCGCGACGAGTACAAGAGGTCAGAATACTTTATTTAAACGCTGATTTATTCTCACATCTTTTTGATCTAAACTTTATCAACTGCTCTTTTATTTTAGCTGTCGCTCTGCAGTGCTGGAGGAACATCTCTTCTGGAAGTTTGAGGCGGCCATGTTGGCTCTGACGGCTTCTTTCGCCATCTTGGTGGTCATTCGTCAGCGCTCACTGGACCGCCTCGCCTCAGAGAAAGTCCGCCGTCAGATCGAGTCCATCTAGGACTCCACAGAAACCTGGACACAGTGTGTTTTTTTCCTGAATCGTTGGGGATCAGGACTACAGAGACCTGTTTGACGTTTGCATCTTAATTTTGATCAGACAGAGACTGGATGGCCTGGAGCCAGAACCTGACCAGAACATGAACCAGTCCAAAACCGAACCAGGGTCCTACAGTGTTTTGATTCAACTAGAAGAGACGAAGGACAAAGACAACTCACAAACAGGACGTCACCTTTCAGAATAAAGGCCTGAACTGGTCTATCCTGAATGGGTTCTGCGTCTGATTAGCCAGAGTTTCTTTAATCGACTGGTGGGGGGGGGGATAAACTGTGTTTTTCTTAAACTTAAAACCTCATCTTCTGTGGAGATGAGGTTTCCTGTTAGATCTTATTTCATAAAGATGAATAAAATAGTTTTAATTTGATGTGTTCCTCTCACTTCTTGCCTGAAAGTCTGAATGAATAGTAATATTACATGATGTCACTTACGGGAGTACCAGTTCATTAAATAATAATCAGTTACAAAAAAAAATAATCGATAATCGTTTTGTAGTCCACATTTTTGTAAATGTTTCTTGTTGCATTGTGGGTTCTAGGATAGACCTAATTCAAAACAGAAAAAAAAAAGAAAATAGATGACAAACAAAGCGCTGATAAAGGCTCGTACGCTGCTACCCTAACAAAAATATCCCTTTAAGTAACCCCCCCTATGAATTCACAATGAACAAAAAGTCCCAAAACAAACGAAATATGCAATATGATCTACGGAAGTTCAGTTCAAATTGTCTTATTAGTCCACAGAAAAAGGAGTTTCACTTCGCGATTACCGCTTTACTCCGCTAAACCAATGACGTTTGATCATCCAAGACAGATGACTAGATGTTTTCCTATATTTTTGAATTTCAGATGATTATTCTTTTAATAACTACAAAATGGAACAACCTTATAGGGAGAAATAGCTCATAGCGGACGGACGAGCGAGAGTGTCATCACGCACAGAGGAGAAAGATGAAACAGTTCACCTGTTCTATTGTAACTTCATTTACCAGAGTAAAGTGTGCTCTACACTGCAGACTGTAGTCTTTGTTAACACAATGTTGCTGTCAAAACAGCTTCGTGTGATGAGCACTGATGTCTGCACGTCCGCTCATCACACTCACTGCTCTGATTATAATAAAGTGTTAAAACGGTCATAACACGTCTGTGTGGAGTTTTATTTGAGGTTGCTGTCTGTTAAAGTAAGAAATGTCATATTTGAATGTTAATACAAAGGCCTCTTACTAACAATTATTAAAATCCCGAAGATTCAAATTAATCAATAGATACGGTCGGCATCGCGTCATAGTTGGGGGCGGGGCCTCCCGTGGGGGAAAAGAATCACAGAAAAAAAAAGAACTACAAAATGATTACTCGAGTATTCGCTTTAACAATGGGAAGAGTAATCGATTAGAGAAAATTTTGCATTTCTGCACCCCTCACTGTTGTGTGCAGAGCCTCCTCCTGACGGGGGGGGGGGGGGTAGAGGGCAACCTATTAATGTTCTCTCCAATAGATAAAATAATATAAACATTAGAAACTAGGATTAAATGGTACTGCCACCAGCTGGCTGTCAGTGGAACTGACCGCCTTTACGTTAATCTAAAAACATGTTTGAAGTCTTCTGATTGGCTGACACACTCATGACGTTTCCATCAGGAACCAATGATCTCTGAGCTGAGACCCACAGACCAGAGGAGAGACAGACTTCTGTTGGTTTGGGTCTAGATTTTAATGGGTCACAAAATATGATTCAGATTTAAAAGCATCAGATAAATCACATCCTGACAGGAGAACAGAATCAGTAAAAAGACGCCTCAATCATGGCTGACATTTACTTTATCTTAAAACACTGAAAAGATCTAAATAACCTCCTGGCTTCTGATTGGTTGAAGGGTTGCAGTGATGTCTCTTGTTCATCAATAAAAAAGTTTTTAAAAAAATAGTCTCTGGCCACCCATTGGCCACACCCCCACATTTAGTTGATTGGCTCGTAGGCCATTGCTGAGGGTGCCGCCCTCTTCCGCACACAAACATAGACTCCGCCCAGTAGCAGGAGAATCATGGGAGTTCCCAGACCGACTGCCATCATACTCATAACCAACGGAGAGAAAGAGTCAACTGGAGGAGAGCCGATGCCCACCAACATCGTCCTGCCAGAAACACAGGGAGAGACTTAATGATGAAGATGGTATTCAACAGAATCGTAAAAAAAAAAAAAAAAAAGAACCCACCAGCTGAGGAACCGGGTGCTGTTGTAGAACGGTTCTCCTGCAGTCCCGAAGCTCACGTTGAGTCCAAAACTTTCCGGTTCTGCGTAGAACGCTTTGACTAGAGCTGACTGCGCCGCCGTCTCCTCGCCGTTAGTACGCCGCGGCTCCGAGTGTCGGCACTGTGTGGCGTACTCCAGAGCTGGGTTGGACCGACGGTATGCCACCGGCTTCCACTGAAGAAAACCCAGAACATCAGAGGAACCATTCGCCAATGAGACCCACTGAGACACCTGTGGGTCAGAGTCACACAGAGTATATTTACTTTTTTGAATGTGGACAAGAAGAAAAATATATTTTAATAAAGAAAGAGGGTTGTGTACTACAGCCCACTGATTTGCTGCTCTAAACATAGAATTTACTGTAGTGTATATATATCGTGAGCTCTGTGCTGATCATTTATTGGTCACAACAAACACCATGTTCTGGCAAAGGCTGGCTGATATGTGAACCTGGTACCAGAACACTTAAGGCCAGAGACCAGAGTCTTTGTGGTCATATCATCAGATCTGTGGCTGTACCAGGTAAAGAGAGAAGCAGAACCACCAACTGATCACCTGCTGGGGGTCAGTTGGATCAGGAGGCTGCCAGACCGACCTGGTTAACCCAAACGTGGGGTCAGGGTGAACTTTAAACTTCTGGCAGAGGCTTCTGTCCGTGAGGTTATAAACTTCTCACTCCAGAAGAATTTCTCGTGCATCCTAGGGGAAGTTTGGGACATTGAGTCTGAGAGCTCCATGTTCAGAGACTCCGTTGTACAAGGCCACTGCTAGGGGTTGAGGCTAGAAGACCGTCTGTGCCCGTTGTGCAGAAACCCTTAGGACCTGCTGGTGGACACAAGTGGTGAAAGAAGCTGTCGGGCTGAAGAAAGAGGCCTTCTGAGCTTGGCTTGCCCAGGGGTCTCTAGAATCAGCAGACAGGTACCGAGTGGCTTGGAGGGCTGTGGCTTCAGAAGCAAAAACCCAGGTGTGGGAGGCTTTGGAGAAACTGTGGAGAAGAACTTTCAGTTGGCCTTAAGGACGTGCTGGCAAACAGAAGAAAGCAGGGATTGGCCCAGGCTTTTTTCAGCAGGAGTGGAGAACTTATGACTCAGACTGGGGAATTTCAGCAGAGTGTGAAGTGGTCCAGTCGGTCAGCACGTCTAAGTCCGAGGCCATGGTTCTCTGATGAAAATAGTGGATTGGTCCCTCCAGGTGAGGAATGAGACACTGGGTGCGTTCGAATTGTCCCTCCTATCTCCTTTCACTATACACTTTACCTTAACCCCGCGAAAACGTCATGAGGTTAAGGAAAGATGTTAGGAGAATTCATGAAGGACTCAGGGAAAAGCGATCTCGTTGCTCTGATAATCCGACCACATTTTCCACTAGGCGACGTCATTAAATGCGACGGGCCGGCGGAGGTTAATGACGTGGGTCTGCCGTGTTGAAACTACAATGTTCGAAAATGGACTACAAAAAACGCATCTAAAAAAAACTTTCCCCTGTGCTTCTTACCGGTGAAATAATCTTAATTACCACGAGGTTGGGATTGAAATAAAAGCAATATAGACTACCAGGCTACAAGTAAGAAAAGTGAAACCATCAGCTTCCTGTCCACTCAGAAATCAACATAAATATGATTGTATGAAATTAATTGTTACATTTATGTAAGATATAACCTACACATAATGTTTTAAGCATACAAATGTAGAACTGCACAGCATTCTGTGAATGCAATATGTTGAATAAAACATCATCTGGATAAAAATGTCTCTTATCTTTTACATGATCTGTGTCACTTCACGATCATCGTTAATGTTCGTGAGCGGTCGGATGCGCGACTCGCTTTAAATGTTGCGGCCGCAAGGAATTGTGGGGCGTCATATCTCATCTCCTTTTGTAAAGGATGGTCCAGTGTATCCTATGCTAAAGGAGGTTATAAAAGGAAGCATTGACCCACCTTTCCTTAACTTTTAGAAAATTCGAACGGCTCTTATCATGGCCGCCACTGAAATGCTTCCGGGGTTAAGTTAAAGTGGATAGTGAAAGGAGATAGGAGGGACAATTCGAACGCACCCTCTGCCTCAGGTGAAAAAGGTTGAGCATCTCGGGGTCTTGTTCACGACAAAGGGAAAGATCCGGAGGATGTTCCTATAGGCCGTAACACGAGCGGATTCGAATGGAATGACTCTTAACTGTTGACTCACCGTTTTCTTTATTGAATTTTAAGAGGACAAATTTGTGAATGTTTGATTATCGCTTCCTCAATAAAAATGAAACTCCAATGACCTCTGACCCTCAACTGTGGTCATGAGCTCGTGCTAGAGACTCAAAGAATGAGATTGTGGTTGCATGCCCTACGAAGCGGTGCACTGTATCATGAGTCCCTGTTGAAGAATGATTGGTCACCTTGAATATTGTCGGCGTGAACTCATCATCGATCGATCGGTGAATTTCCACTCTGCTCAGAGGGTAAGCCCCACCCACTGCCTGCACCTCCAGCACAAACCTGGAACGAGCCGCCCGGGGTAACACACCATCTAGCCACACCTTTATTTGGGAGGTATTGGCAGTATGCAGGAGGTGGGGCATGGACTGGTCACGCCCCTCCGACTGAAACATCGCCAGCTGGAAGAATGAAAACAGGAACAACACAGGAAATGATGTAATGCAACTATTAAAGAACCAATGATCTGATTGGATGGCAGCAAAGTGACCACTTACCTGCAGGCAGAAAGATCCGCTGCTGAAGTTTTTGGCAGCGCCACAGAGCTGAGCGCTCTCTTCTGAAAGGCTGAGACCAGACCATTGGAAGCCCTGCAGCTCGTACGGAGGGAAAAGATCAGAGGATGGGTCGGCCGTGTTGTTCACATCGTCGTACTCCAACAACTGAGAGACCGGAAAGATCCAGATTTAATGTGGACTGATGAGTTCAGGTGGACTGATGATTTACAGTGGATTAACATTAAAAGGAAGAATATGTGACTTTTTGATCCAGCAGATGTCACCCTTGAGCACCAGCAACTCGTGCTGCATTGTTGTGTTAGCATGTTAATGCTAGTGCTCTTTAGTTAGCTCGTATCTTCACACTGCATGTAAATTTACAGGAAATGACCATGATCTAAAAACTCTTATGTGACATCAAATAAGCAGGCTACAGTAAAGTATTCTTCTTTTCTCTAGTCCCTCAATTAAACAACTTTTATACCTTGTGGGGAGGAGTCGGCCGTCCCGGCGATGTAAACAAAGTGAAGCTACAGCTCAGAAATCATCACAGACAGTGGGACTTGGGTGTCTCACTCATTGTAGACAGTCATGACTAAGAGTTATTTTCAGAGGATATATTTGACTTCTGCTAAGTGTGAAAAAAAGGCATATTCTTCCTATAAGGTGGATCTTTCTGACCCTGCTGAAGATGATGGCGGTGCTGTACAGAACGCTGCTCTCCGGCTCCACCTTCACGCTGCCGCTGTTATTTCGAGCTTCAAACTTGGGCCAGTCCACCTGAGAGAGACACAAGGTTAATTGAGGTGTGATCCGGACAGGTAAGCACCTCATCAGAGCAGAGATTTATTCATAGAAACTGTTTTTATCCTCCTGCAGCTCTCCAGCGCCCCTACAGGGTTGGAGAGCAATGACACCTTATAATACCTGACGTATAAAAACGTCTCGGTTTCAGGTTTATTGGCCCAATCTGGATGTCCACCCTCCCTGACTTTGATGCACATTCCTGCTCAGTGTGTGAGGGCTAAGGACTGTCCCACAGTCAAGACGTGTGTGAGCGATCTCTCGCTGACTCTACGAGCCCTTTATGCACGCTGTGTGCATATCTGCAGACTGAGCATGAGGGAATTAGCCAGAGTTCATAGCATTGTGACGTGAAGCATAAGATTCCCGGGGAATCCTCTGTTTACTTAGTAAGAACTTTTTATACCTGGGGACTCGTGTATAGACGCTGCGCACTAAAATGTCCAGTACGCTGTTTCACGCACACGGTGGGATCAAAATCAGCATGACGTGAGAATGTGCGGACCATCCTACAAACTCTTTAATTTCACTGTGAACTATTTTGATGAAGTGGGATAGATTTAAACATATTTTTCATAGTTTGAGCAACAAAAACATCTAAAGGAACAGATGTCTTAATCAATGTGCCAAAACGGAACTCTCTATTTCTGTGACATGGAGATGTCAACACGTCAGGGACTGAACAGGCTCACAGATATTCATGACACAAAGGAATCCAGGCGCACTCCCTCCTGCTGTGCAGGCATGTAGCGTGCTACGGCGCATGGGACCTAACACCGAGTTAAACGCAGCTATCACCGAGTTAAACACAGCTATCACCGAGTTAAACGCAGCTATCACCGAGTTAAACGCAGCTATCACCGTTAGGATGAAACAGAAGGTGAAACAGGGCGGGAAGTTGAACATTTCTCCTCATTATTTAACAAGGTCATTTAATGTTTGAATTATTCCACCAGGAACGATGTTCTTTTTTTATTCGCTGCATATATCTGTCGTGGTATTTAAGATCAGTCTCTGTGACTCCAGCACAGCGTCAGTGAGGATGCCACCTGACTGGCACCCCTCAGCAGTCTAAGCCCGGGGTGCAGTGGATTCGTGCGCCTCTGGGAGCCTAGCCTCAGATCCAGGTTTTAATTCCTGTGTTTTGTGTCCTCCACCTCAGTAACAAGCACCCTCACTTCACAGTTAGTGAAATCCCTCTGTTTACATTTACATCGTTATCTGGCCCATAGTTTGCAGCATGTGGCGGAGTCATAGTCATTTGAATAGTTATTAATGGGAGGAGACAAGGCGGGCCAAGTGGCATGTGCAGCAGCGCTCAGTTTCACCTGAAGGGGGATGTAGAAAGGAAAGGCACGCTCCGTTTTATACATGTGGACATTTCTGTGAGGACGCCATCTTTCAGTATGGAGGCTGTGCCGTCTTTTATACATGAGGCCCCTGAGTTGTGAGTGACTACTGTAAAAATAAAAATACTTAATGCCACTTGACATGGTGTTGTCATGGTTACAGAGCAGTCACAAAGTGCAGCCCGTGCACTCAGTGACTCTCCAGCTGACGTCTATTTAGTCCTTAAGGCCTCAGGGTTTAGGGAGGACATCGACATTCAGCCATTGTTTCATTTTCTTGTCACGTAACCTTAAAACAGGAAATAGAAACACACCTTCACAGTAGAAGAAGAAGTGTTGGTGTGGACGATCAACAGCGTTGGCGCCCCCTGGCTGCAGAACAGGAAGTGAAGTGTGTCATTGTCTCCCACGGCCCTCACATGCAGCAGGTCGCCACCAGGAGCCGGTAAGGGCAAGCCGGGGTTCAACTGTACGGACAACTGAAGGAGAGAAGAAAAAAAAAAAACCTCCACCAATCAGCAGTCATCAAACACAATCCCTCCACCAATCAGCAGTCTTCAAACACAATCCCTCCACCAATCAGCAGTCTTCAAACACAATCCCTCCACCAATCAGCAGTCTTCAAACACAATCCCTCCACCAATCAGCAGTCATCAAACACAATCCCTGATGGAATGGGTTAATTCATTGATCAGTTGATGAAGAAGAAATAAACCAGCGTTACAGATTATTTTAACTTTGTGTAACATCTTTTAAGTCAGTTTGATCAAAATAATTATCAGCAGCAGAACAAGCTGTTTGTTACCAAGGCAACACAAACAGAAGTCCAGGGCTGTGTCTGAATTAATCACTCCCTAGTCACTATATATTAAAGACACCATTTTGTAGTTCTGTCCGAATTCTGAGTGAGCATGATCACATCCTGAAGCCCACTACATATAACTCACTATGTAGGGAGGAGGAGGGGGAGGGGGCGAGGAGGCGAGGAGGCAAGGAGGTGGGGAGGGATGTCAGACACAGACAGGCAGACATACAGAAAGACAGACAGAAAGAAAGACAGGCAGGATTCTGTATCTTTCTCTCTCTCTAAATATGAACTTTAATCTGAAAATGTCATCGAAATTAAACATTTATACAACTTCCCTTCCTGTCTGCTGAGTCCTCGCGCTCTGTACCTGGATTTAAACTCTCTGACGTGTTCTCACCTGTCGTCGGTACGCGTCTCCTCCGCTGAACAGACCCAGACTCAGACTGAGAACTGAACTCACAAACATCAGAAGCACAGAAACTCTGCAGCTCCGCGACGTGGCCGCCATCTTTGTTGTTCCTGAGCAGGTCACATGACCCGCCGCCTTCATATGTCAGCTGACGGAGAGAGACCCCGCCCCCGCAAACATCCCATAGGCGCTCACTCGTAACACCCGTAATATTTACAGTCTATGGTAAGACCCCATGGCGATGCTACTTCCGGGTTGGTCTACAAAAATACGTCATATGGTTTGTTAAAGATAAACTTTATTGATTTTTTTATTGGAAATTTTTGTGTTTCTCTATTTACTCAAAATAATACAAATATAAATAAATTAAGTGTTCACTGTAAATATCTTTGTATGTCTATATTATAATCTATATGTCATAGTTGTTAATGTCCTGTTTAAGAGTCTGATCACTGTAGCACCTGTGACGTCATTAAATCAATATATTCTTGAATATGTTAAAGGAGTGTTTGTGTTTTTAATGAGGATGCAACTCTTATTTTTCAGTGTTTTTAATATTCCACCTCCTGTTTGTGTTATGACAAGTTGTCCTGTCAGCTCTCATGATGCATTTAAAGACAGCAGGTAAACTGGAGGGACTGTTTCATACCAGCTTCAAATTAAAAACTGTATTAGCAGCTGATAGTCAGAACATCAGATCAGGGTGCTCAGGTAAGTCTCTAAAGACTCTTCAAATAGTCCAAAACGCTGCAGCTCGTGTACTAACTAGAACTAGGAAAAGGGACCACATTACTCCTGTATGGGCTTCTCTGCACTGGCTCCATATAAAATCCAGAATAGAATTTAAAATCATTCTCACTTACAAAGCTCTAAATGGTCAGGCACCATCTTATCTTCAAGAGCTAATAGTGCCATACTAACCTTCAAGAACATTACGCTCCCAGAATGCAGGCCTGCTTGTGGTACCTACTGTCTCCAAGTGTACTATGGGAGGTTATCAACATTTAAGTTACTATCTGGTCTGGTTCTGTTCGAGGTTTTCTGCATGTTAAAGTTTTGCTTCTCAAGTTTATGAATAAAGAGTGGGCTAGACAGGAAGTTGAAATGCTGTGATGTCATGGATCATTTAGTGGTCTCAGCTTCTGCTCCTCTGATCACATGTACAGTATCAAGGTATTAACGCACACAGACATGTTCTGTTTGACAGTTTATTAACTTCTACGGAGTCGCCTGGTCCCCACACGCACACAGAGATGGACACACACACACAAACGCACAAAGTGACTCTGATGTTGCTTGATGTGGATTTATTCAGCTCCCTGTCCCCCCATTGACTCGTCTTTGTCCTTCTTCTTGTGACCTGAGACGATGTCATCAATCCTCAGCAACAAGATGGCCGTCTGCAGAGAGAGACACAGATGTTACAATCAGCTGTTTGTTGGTCAACAATGACTCAGCAATAATCTATCGTGTGTTTTCTCTGACCTCCATGGCCGTCTTGTAGGTCTGAGCTTTGACGGCGAGCGGCTCCCAGATCCCCAGAGCTGACATGTCCGACAGACATCCTGTCTCTCCGTCCACCCCCCAACACGCGCCCTGCTCCTCAGTGTGTTTGGCCTGCACACAAACATCAAAGCACAGGAAAGGCTCAGCTGACAGTTAAACATGTATGGAGTATCTGATTGGTTCTCATTGATTCACAGTAATAAAGACTGAGCCTGGTGAGAGCTTAAAGACAGGAACCTTGTTCTGAAGTTTTTATGACTTTGAGGATTTACTTTAAATAGAAACAAATTTGTCTGGTGATAAACATGGAAAGCTCTTAAGTATGGATGACATCATTGTAAACAGAGCGGTTATAAATTCATTGTTGGCGTACCCTCAGTGATGTGAGAACTCTGATGGTGGAGGCTCCACAGTTCTGGATCAGCGTTCTGGGGATCACCTCCAGGGCTGTGGCTACAGCGCGGTACGGCCACTGTTCGACTCCTGTCAGGGCTCTGGAACGCTCCATAAGACGCTTCGACACAGCCATCTCCACGGCGCCACCGCCTAGCAACAGCATGGGGTCCAGGAGCACGTTACGACACACCTGCATGGCGTCCTGCAGATTCCTCTCCACCTCCTGTAACCACCGTGGACACAGACACAGATCAAAGTTACTGATGATATAATAACATACACAGTATTACCACTGAACAACCAGAATGATAACATTAAAGTGATGATGTCATTGTGCTTACAGCCAGGATCTCCTTGCTCGCCCCTCGTAGCAGGATGGTGCAGGCTTTTGGGTCTTTGCACTCAGTGATGAAGGTGAAGTACTCATCACCAAGCTTCTTAACTTCAAAAAGCCCCGCCCCCAAACCTATGTCTTCCTCGCGCAGCTCGTCTGTCCTACTGACTATACGAGCCCCACACGCCCTGACGGACACAGAAACAGTGTTCAGACATGTTTGTTACTCTCAGCTGATTGGCTGCAGGTGGAGAAAATCATGATGTAAGCATGTTACCTGGCAATGCGGTTGTTGTCGGTCTTCCTAACGCGGCGGATAGCGGTGATGTTTGCCTTCATCAGGTAGTGCTGAGCCAGATCTGAGTCAGGAAACAGAGTTTATGGTCTCAGTCTCTAGTTTCAAGTCTTCTTCATACAGCTTCAAGTTCATTCAGTACACTATGGTCCATTTAGAGTCAGAGACCAGGAAGAGGGCAGGGCTACATGTGATTGACAGATCAGTAACATGGCCAAAATAACAGAATCAAGACTAAAAGTTCCACTTGTTGAGCCTCATCATATAAACTTCATAAATACAGTGTTTGGATGTGAGAAATCTGTGCTACAGGTGTGTGTGTGTGTGTGTGTGTGTGTGTGTGTGTGTACCTGACACGCCCTTCTCAGTGAAGACCAGGTCTGGTTTGAGGCGGATGATGTCCTCACAGATCTGCTGGATGTATTCTTCCTCCATCTGCAGAATCCTGGCAAAGTCCTCCTCCTTACTGATCTCAATGTCCGTCTACACATGCACAAACACGCAGAGATATCATTACACAGTGAACATGTAACATACATAAAGACTCCTGACACAGCACGTCTGTGTGTGTGTGTGTCTGCATGCGTGCGTGTTACCTGGCTCTCTCCCTTCTTGTACTCCAGAGAACAGTCGAGCAGGACGATACGAGGATCTTTGATGAGTCGTCTCATCCTCGGGTGAGTCACGTCTTTGTTCACCATCACACCTTTCAGCACGTAGGAGTCCTCGATGATCCCACCTGGAACCTGAATGCAACACGCCAGGAAGAGTCATAGGAAGTGTTAGAGGGGTCTGGATTTTCAGCTTGGGAAGTTTTCTTGTTTCCATTTGTAGTCCAAGCGTATTGACCAATCACGTATCAGCATGAAAAACTGAGCCTTTATCCGCACTTGTACATATCTTCCGTCTGCGGCGTTCTAACAGTGCTTAACCAGGGATGTCAAACATACAGCCAGCGGGCCATATCCGGCCTGACAGCAGGTTTCATCAGGCCCGCGAGACGTTTTGGGAAGAAGGAGGAAATGTATTGAAAAATATTTTGAGATTTTTTATAAAGTTAATATTTGTAATACGTATTTTCCCGGAATTGTATTAAAACCTATGTAAAATGAGCAACGTAAAGGTTGATATCATGATACGAATATTAATTAAACGGGGCACTTTGAACTATCTTCTCAGCAGGGACTATCATAAAAAAGAGGAGTGGCCGAGCGCACGAGCTGCTCCTGCATTATGCTGGTAATACATCACATCAGAAAACAGGCTGAACACTAAGAGAGGTGACACAGAATGCAGGTTTTCAAGAGAGATCAAAGGAGCGATATTTCTTTAGTTTTATTTGCTCACAAATTGCCAGAATTTTATCAGAGCCACGGGACTTAACGACAGGCACACTGCTGCACTGCACGCGCATCCTGACAGTCTTCAGTTCTGTCCACACTTCTTACCAGCTTCTCCTGTCTTGACTGATGTAAAACAAAAGTTTTGGCTGATAATAACAAAGCTTCCTATGGAGTGAGCCACAAAGAGCAGCTCGTGCAAATAAAAAACAATCATCTCCGCCATGCGTAATGGCCCAGACCGTCTCCACACATCCAGACTAAGTGTAGGTTGCGGACACCGGCGTTGAGCCTGATGACTCTCCTGACTAGTTTTACCTCTGGTTATTGTAAAAACAGTAAATTAAAATGAATAATAACTGATTTTATTTACAGATGGTTCATTTTTAGGTCACCCAGAGGTGAACGTGTTGTGTTGATCACCTAAAAGTTTCAGCACGACATCACTTCTAAATGCAGTAGCCTGCTGTTGCAACTTTATCACCAGCTTTCATCAGACTGTAAATATATAACTATTACTGAACAATTCATTTGCATTCGAAAACGATATCACGCACAGGCTGCCTGATCATACAGAGGTCCGCTGGTTTAACCGTGGAGCAGCGCTAAAATGCTTCCTCGAATTGCGCACGGAAATGGCACAGATTCATGGCGCATAAAAAGTCAGAGTTAGATTACGATAGTGCGGACACGTAGAAGAACAAACTGCCAGACTCATCAAGTCGTTTAACTGAGTTTACTTAGTTGAAGAACGTGCACTCCACACGGAGCTGATCAGACTGCAGTGCACAACGCTGAAGGATCAATTCAAGTCTGTTGGTTTGGAAACATGTTATCATTTTATAATGCCTAATACTAAAAAGTCTATAGCGACTAGCTTTCTGGTGCATTACTGCCACCACTGGACTGGAGTGTGGGACAATCTAGTTGTTTGGGACGACGCATTGACGCAAATTATTCATATCGACGAATTTATGTCGTCGATTACGTCGTCCCAGCTCTAGTCATAACGCCAATCAGCATTGATATGTCCCCACTTCCTTGAATGCAGCAGATATGATCGCTCTGACCTCCACTGGACAAACAGACACTTAAAAGTTATTTTCTTCTCCTCTCGAGGACAGCTGATTACATAGATCAGGAGGGGCGGGACTTAAAGAGCTACGAACCAACAGGATGCCTTACCTTCTCAACCTTGGCATACTTCTTGATGTCGATCTCTTTGCGTCCGTTTTCTTCGAGCTCCACGGTGCGGACGGCATCCAGAGCGATGCCACAAGCCAGCTCTGACCAGCGGCTCAGAGCTTTGGTGTTAATGGCTGAGTGAACGATCTTCAGCATCATGGAGCGGTCAGACGTGTCCACGGGGAAGCTGGGAAGGGAGAGCAAGATCTCATTATCTTCACATAAAAATGCCGCCAGGGTCCCAGAAATGTAAACTTTGATGTGATTCTAGTTCCTATCAAACAAAACCAAAAGTTAAAGTACTTTCTGATACTATCCATCACTAAATCAACAGATTGCATCATTTACAAATGAAATAATGTACATTTTACCAACCTCATCACATTAACACTAACAGTCAGTCTGTGTGTGTGTACCTGATCTCCTTCAGAGTCTCCAGCATGTCCTCCAGAGCTTGTCTGTACGCTCCGATGACCACCGTCGGATGCATCTGCTGCTCCAGGAACTGCTCCGCCACAGACAGCATCTCCCCCGCTACACACACACACACACACACTGAAGTCAAATGGTCCAGTCCCTCAGCTGGCTTGACATTAATCTACAAGTTCATGTCCCATAAAATCTGATTTAAAAGACACACTGTTAATTTAAATTTACCCGTATAAAATGCTAACACACACAGCATGTCACCTGATATGTTTGAAAATTCGCCTCCATTCATTGTTTATTGCAAGTGCTGCTGGGATACATAACAACACAGACCAGGCTGCAGCACCACGTTTTACCAGCTCTTCTCCCTCATGAGGTCATCATGGTGCATCTTAAGCAAAACGTGGTATACTGCTCAGTACATAAAGCTCCTCAGAGTCTACGAGTGAGCAGAAAGGTGCGTCTGTGGTTCACAACTTAAACAGGTGGAGAACTCCACAAATGCAACACAGATGGTTTCTAAAAGAGTTGCTCAGAAAGGAATGTCCTGGACTTTGATGAACGCAGAAGATCATCACGAGGCTTATGAAGCGGAGCGACATATATTCAGGATTTGACGGTACTTCATATATAAAACTATATATTTTATATACAACCTTTAAATAAATGTAAAAATATTGAAATAAAAACTGAAATTAATTCACATGAAACATACCCAGTATGATGACTGAGGTAGTCCCGTCTCCCACCTCCTCATCCTGGGTGCGGCTGATCTCGATCATGGACTTGGCTGCAGGATGCTGAACCTGGATCTGTTGCCGTGGAGATAGAGGTTATCAGCAGTTTGACAGAAAAACAAGCAGCAGGCGTCAAAATGCTTCTACACTGTCACATGAAGGTTGGGTAATATCATTATTAAATTTCCCTGCATGCTGCTTCTGACAATGAGGTTTAATATTCACATGGATGATTGTAAACACGGACCAGACCGTACCTGTGTGTGTGTGTGTGTGTGTGATCACATTATATGCATGTCTCATGCAGCAGTAAAGTCTGTCCTCTGTGATTCTAATCTAACCCCATCGTCATTTTTGTCACCTGTATTCACAACAGTCACATTCACTGATCAGCCCTCCTCCAAACAGATTACTCTCTCAGAACTCTCCTAAAAGAGGACATATTATTCCCCTTATCCATCTTTTCAAACAGTCCCCTTTGGTCTGAATGAAACATCTGTGCTGTGGTCAAAATATAACACGAATCATGCACCAGAGGAGGTTTGTGAGCCTGTATAAACCAGCTTCCTCAGAGAGCTCTGTTTTGGTGTGTGGCAAAAGTTTTGTTCTAGGCTGGGGGTGGAGTCCATGGGTGGAGACACCAGAAGAGGGGAGGGTATTTTGTTTTTAAACCAGAATCCCACTGTGACATCACAAGGAGAGCACATTAGAAACAGAGCATTTTTCTCTGTGTTGTAAGACTTATGCAGACCACAAACAAAGGACTGAATGGATTTATTTAACATTTTGTGGGTCAGTAGACACTCAGGTTACCCAAGTATGTGTTCAAAAACTTTTTTCATAATATGTCCCCTTTAACGTAATTATATTTACACTCACCTCTCTGAGAATGGCGTTTCCATCGTTGGTCATCACAATGCCTCCCATAGGATCCAGCAGCATCTACACACATGCACATTAACAATCAATAAATCCACTAATAAACAAACAGCTTCACTCACTTTGATCTCATTAGACATGCGAGCAGATCAAGTCTCACCTTCATCATGGCCCTCGGGCCAAGACAGGTCCGGATCACATCTGCAATGGTCTGAAACACAAACACACACACACATGAGATTAAACAGCACTGAGCAGTGATGTCACAAACAGAGACAATAACGTGTTTCTGGTCTGACCTTTGCAGCATTTATGTTCCCAGTCTGAACTTTACGTCCTGACTCTCTCTTCACGTTCTGATCTAAAAACACAAACAGATGATCAGACACAAAGACAGGACTCAATAATATTGGTACTTGTAAATCTCAACAGGACAGAGTCCAATAATAATTTCCCCAGAGGAGCCAATTAATTATCTTAATTAATACTGATCATTACAGTATTATTATTATTATTTAAAATCAGGGTGTGGCTGCTGCTTCATCTCTGTAGTTATTAGCTTAGCTTTACACAGAGATGGAGATTATTATCAGCAGAGCAAACGTAAGCTACCACAAAGATGGAGATTATTACCAGCAGAGAGCTAACCTTAACAAAGACAGTTTCTGTATTTAAACAGCGACGTCAGGGACATTACGGTAGCTCTGATGCTACACACAGTCATGTTGGGGTAAGTGAGCGTTAGCCTGCTGCAGAGCTAGCTCCATCATCATGCTGAGTAACGGGGATAAAGTAGCTTAGCTTAGCAGCTCTCCATGCTGTCTGCGGGCTTTTAGCTCCTGTAACGTAACGATGCTAGCGAGCTGTTAGCTCGTTGTCTGTACACGACGATGCTAACTGTTAGCCTGTTAGCACAGCACATGCTCTGACGCCGGTCGGTAACCGGTTTCCGCTCGCTCGTTTAACGGCTGCTTACCGGCAGACAGTGACGGTAACAAACCGCCACCATGCCCCAGTAGAACAGATGAGAGTAAGTTTTGAAGAGATCCAGGTACTTACTGAGCACTAACACCTGCTGGCCGAACATCTTGACAGTGCGACACGGACAGAGACGGCCTGGAAGGTTCTGAGAGGCACGAGGAGAGGGAGGGCTGAGCCGCAGGGGCGGGAAAACTACCAGAACATGGACCAATCGGCTGAGAGAATGTGATGACTGACAGAACCGTTCGCCAATTAAATCAATGAGAGAGTTAAAGCGATCCGAGGGAGGCAACGAGCGGGTCAGCCTTTTATGGTGAAGCCATGGGTGAAACAGACTCCAGTTAAACAAGAGAAGTTATTGATCGTAATCAGATAATATTTTTGTAATCGGATAATTAACCACTAATTTTAAACGATTTAAATATTAACATTTCATTCATTTAAACCTTGATCTGAAGGCTGAATCTGTTTTTTGCTTCTTATATCTTTACATTTTTAAATTGTATATTATTTGTAATTGCTTCTTATATTTTATTATTTAAGTTCTTGCAATTCTTAATTTATTTCCTTAAAAGGGGCTATATGTGACTTTATACGTGTATAAATCTTTTTATTGCGTGTATAAATCTTTTTAATGGGCGATATTTTTATCGCCCATTAATAAGCGAACGGTTAACTGATATGAAAAAGTAGATGTTCACTGTCTATCTGTGTTGCCTGTATAAAAAGTTTCCCCGGGTCTATTTTCCAATAGCTCCAGGAAGTGACATTTTATGCACGTTCTCAACGTCCTCCTCACGCCGCTCCGCTTACAGAGATCAACAGTACAAACTCATCACACACTCCCGGTCTTCACCTCCACCGCCAGGGGCCGCCTTCCACACACTTCTATCCGCCCTAGGAGCTCTCAAAGGCGGACAAACTCATCACGCACTCCTGCTCTCAGCCAGTGCCTGCTGAGACTGAATACAGACACACAGACTCCTTCACAGACTTTCACATGTGTATGACCACTTACCTCCTCTGTAAACATTATGCGGTAAATATCCAGTGTTTCGCGGCCGATGATGATGTTCGTTTGTGCACATTGGAGAGCGAGCATCAGGTTACTGGTGCAGTTCACCTGACGGCCATGCGGTATCGCTACAAACACATTTTGTTTTATTAAAGTTACATACAGCCCCTTTAACTGTTCCTGCACCAATACACCAAGACAAATTCCTTGTATATGTATATGTAAATGTACTTTGCAATACAGACCGATTCTGATTCTGATGTATGTCAGAGGTTTTTAAATCATTCTGTCTCCGTCACATCTTATTCAACTATAAACTATATAAAACTAAAGTTTCATGTTTGTATGTTCTGGTGACATAAAGAAAAACTCACACTGAACCCTTCACATCTTTTTTTATTCTATTGAGTTTGATCTGAACTTAAAATAGAAACATGTGAATTTACAATAAAATCAGTTCTGACATGTTTGTCAGGCTGATGCTAAGCTACCTGGCTGCTACACTATGCAGGCTGATGCTAAGCTACCTCCTACTCTATGTATGCTAAGCTACCTGCTACACTATGTAATTTATGTGAGAGCACAAGACTAAGGATGTTAAAACCTATGAACTTCCATACTCATGTTTTTAACAATAAAACTTAGTTTAATAAGACAGGTGTGTTCACACTCCTGCACACCGACTACATTTCACTAAATCACGAGTTTAACTGCAAGTTTTCATTATCAAAACAATAAGTCCCCCAACACATGAATAAATATCAGGTACAAATTTAACTTTCAGTTCTGAAACACGATAGCACCACCTGGAGGTCTGGAAGTGTTTATTAGAAACAAAACAGTTCATTCATAAAAAGTATTACAAATAAAGCTCCACTGGATGCCATTTTCTACTTCTCTTTTCTTGATGTGAGAATGTTTCTGATTGGACGATGTTTGTTTGTCTTTTCTCTGAGTACGAGGATCACAGACAGCTGACTCAAGCCGCCATGTGTCACTTCATCAACACGTTCAGCTCAGGTCCTCTTCTGATTGGCCGATGATTTTACACCAGTCTGTCATTTAATGTACGAGGAGTCTCTGAGAGGGGTCAATACATAAATAAATAAACAAACAAATAAATAAATAAATAAATGTCCTTAGGTAGGCTGGTGATGTCATGATGACATCATGACATACAGGTGTTTTTGTGAAAGTCAGCAGCTGTCTGTCCATCACTTCCTGTCTCTGGTCCAAAGTCTGGTCCCGGTCTGTCAGCAGGATTTCCCACTCCTCTGCTACATGTCTGTTGTCATGGAGACCAGGTGGTTAGACCTGATTGGTGGTTGAGAATTGGTCACAGTTCGTCCTTTGACCCGCCATCCACCAGACTGTGGCTCATCTCACGCTTCAGAAATTTCAGGAAGTCTTTGAGCTCCCGAGCGCCCTAAAAGAAGCACAACAACGAGAAGCAAAGGGCTGAGGTCGGATTCAAACCCCTGCAATAAAGGACTACAGCCTCAGTACATGAGGCACACTACATAACCGCCAAGCCATCCGGCGCCGTCTAACTGTTATTTTAACGATCAACATTAAAAAGTCCGTACGATTTATAAAACGTCTTTTTTATCAGAAGGAAAAAAATTACTTTCAATGTATCTGTGCAATCTAACCGAAAAATGGTGGAAGAGCAATGTGCATGTGTGTGTGTGTGTGTGTGTGTGTGTGTGTGTGTGTGTGTGTGTGTGTGTGTGTGTGTGTGTGTGTGTGTGTGTGTGTGTGTGTGTAGGGAGGGTGATTTGAGTCAGCACATTCACGCTGGACATACGCTTGCATGTCTGATTGTCTGATTTCCACACTAAGTGGTACACGCAGCCTAACTAACAGATGGATGTACGTTGTTGTGATTGTTTTTCATTCACTCCAGGCGCTGTGACCTGCATCAACAGGATGTTTAGGTCAAAGTTCAGCAGGTCTGATAGTGTAGAGGTGTAATGCAGGGTAATAACTTGGGAGAGCGGGGTTCAGCCGGATCACACTTTCCTCAAGCTCTCACATTGATCGTCATGTTTGATACTCTCCATCGTGAATCTGAAGGACATTTCATAAGTGCTGAAACACTCCTAAGCCCTAACTCCTAACCCCTAATTCCTAACCCCTAACTCCTAACTGAAGGAGAAATAAATAAAGGAATTGATCAGCTCTGCTGAACTTTGACCTAAACATCCTGTTGATACAGATCACAGCGCCTGGAGTGAATGACAAATAAAATCTTACACACTAACTCCATGCGTTAGTGTGTGTGTGTGTGTGTGTGTGTGTGTGTGTATGTGTTACCTCATATCTGATTGGCTCGTCCTTTCTGCCCACAGGAGCAAAGTAAATGGTGGGAAATCTGCAGAGAGAACAAACAGAGCTGAGTCCATGTTCACACCTGATCCTGATCCTAAGTCTGAACCTCAGAGTCCTGAACCTTCTCACCCCTGGACGTCGTAGCCCGATGGAACATCGTTCTCCACTGCGTTCATCTTTGCAATGACCATTTTCTTATCAGAGAGCAGCTGAGAGAGAGAGAGAGAGGAGGGTCGTCATGATACCAGAATTTAAACTTTGAATGATTATTCTATAATAATATAAGACACCTGTCCTGACACCTGATTTCAGGTCATTTCTTGTTTTAGGTCAACAGAGAGACAAACTGTAGTGACGCGAGTGTTTAGTGTCATTGGAAAAGGTGTGCAGGAGTCTGTCTGCAGCCTGTGGTGGACTCCTTCCTCTCCTACACACCTGTCTGAGGAAACTGTTTTTATGAAGCTTCAGTTCTTTTGACTATCGATCATTAAACTGACTCATCACATCATTAAACTGACTCATCACATCATTTTTAAAAGTATCGACCATTGTGAAACTCTAAAGACAGAGAGAGAACGTCCCCTTTGAGAAGAAGTGAACAGACAAATACACTTTTAATGCATCCTCCTGATTGGTCCGTTTCAGCTAATAGTATCTCTTGTTTGGATCTTAGAGCTGCTGACACAACTCTGAGGCGGAAACAAGGGTACTCCCAAAGCATGCTGGGTAATCTGCAGTCAGCGTGTGTGTGTGTGTGTGTGTGTGTGTGTGTGTGTGTGTGTGTGTGTGTGTGTGTGTGTACCGTGTCAGCCAGCTCCTTGTAGACCAGCTCCAGTTTCTTACAGTGTGGACAGGAATTAGAGTAGAACTGTATCAGAACATCTTTATCTGGATCATTGACCACCTGATCAAACGACTCAGCGACCACAACCTGACCCATCACACACACACACACACACACACACACACACACACACACACACACACACACACACACACACACACACACACACACACACACACACACACACACACACACACACACACACACACACACACACACACACACACACACACACACACACACACAAAAACAACAAAGAACAATAATCATGACCCAAGCAGCAAGCTGTGATGGTTTTCAGATTTGTCAGAATAAATATAAACAGAGACTTCACTCATGTTCAGAATCAGAATCAGAATCAGAAATAATTTCTTAAATTCGCTAATGACCCAGAGCAACATGTGCACAGAATAGTTAGTCCTGTACAGGTGTCAGTCCTGTATAGGAGATAGAATGGTTCAGGTCTATGCTCTCTTCTGATTGGCTAACAGGCCTGAAGTCTGCTGTTAGACTTCATATGACCTAAACCATGTGACCTACTGTCACAGGTTGTGACCCCAGCTCACCTTGACAGACGCAGAGTTTCTTTCAGGTACAGGTTCAGACTTCACGTAACGTTTGAGAAGACCTGAGAAGTAATCATCGAGAAACCTCTCCAACGACTGACCGTCCCTCCTGAAACACACACACACACACACACACACACACACACACACACACACACACACACACACACACACACACACACACACACACACACACACACACACACACACACACACACACACACACACACACACACACACACACACACACACACACACACACACACACACACACACACACACACACACACACACACACACACACGCAGAGAGAGCTAGCTGATATCAAGGTGTATTTTCTGAAGGCTGTGAGGTGAGACTGATGTGGGGACAAAAAAATCTCATGGTGTACTTCCTTGTTAGTCTGGTTTGGCATTATTTGATCTGACTAGTCTGATTTGGCCTGGGTCGGCCTGGTTAGCCTTATTTGGCCTGGTTAGCATTGTTTAGCCTGGGTTGGTCTAGTTATCCCTGTTTGGCATGGTAAGCCTTATTTGGTCTGGGTTGGCCTGCCTAGCCTTGTTTGGTCTGGGCAGGCCTGTTAGCCCTGTTTGGCCTGGGTCGGCCTGGGTACCTACGTGAACTCCTCTCTCATGGTGTACTTGTGGCCCAGTTTGGTCCGGATCGTGACGAACGGCAGCTCTCCTCCGTCTGATGTGCCGAGGCCAAAGTCCTCCTCCAACTCAGACAGGAAGTCCTTCTTATTGGCCACTGAGAATGTCAGGCCCCGCGCACTGTATTTAGATGTAACCTTCATCACCCTAATTTAGAGACAGAGGGGGCGGGGCTTAACAAACAATAGCAACAGGTTACATGTTAAAGTTTTATTAACCTGAACGAGCTTACCTGTAACCCAGTTCGCCTGTAAATTTTGTTTCCTTCCTGTCACCTGTACAGGACTGTCACCTGAATGTCACCTGTACAGGACTGTCACCTGTATGTCACCTGTACAGGACTGTCACCTGTATGTCACCTGTGCAGGACTGTCACCTGTATGTCACCTGTGCAGGACTGTCACCTGTATGTCACCTGTATGTCACCTGTATGTCACCTGTACAGGACTGTCACCTGTATGTCACCTGTATGTCACCTGTATGTCACCTGTATGTCACCTGTATGTCACCTGTACAGGACTGTCACCTGTATGTCACCTGTGCAGGACTGTCATCTGTATGTCACCTGTATAGGACTGTCATCTGTATGTCAATGGTACAGGACTGTCACCTGTGCAGGACTGTCACCTGTATGTCACCTGTATAGGACTGTCATCTGTATGTCACCTGTACAGGACTGTCACCTGTGCAGGACTGTCACCTGTATGTCACCTGTATAGGACTGTCATCTGTATGTCACCTGTACAGGACTGTCATCTGTATGTCACCTGTACAGGACTGTCACCTGTATGTCACCTGTACAGGACTGTCACCTGTACAGGACTGTCATCTGTATGTCACCTGTACAAGACTGTCATCTGTATGTCACCTGTACAGGACTGTCATCTGTATGTCACCTGTACAGGACTGTCACCTGTATGTCACCTGTACAGGACTGTCACCTCTATGTCACCTGTACAAGACTGTCATCTGTATGTCACCTGTACAGGACTGTCATCTGTATGTCACCTGTACAGGACTGTCACCTGTATGTCACCTGTACAGGACTGTCACCTGTATGTCACCTGTACAGGACTGTCACCTGTATGTCACCTGTACAAGACTGTCATCTGTATGTCACCTGTACAGGACTGTCACCTGTATGTCACCTGTACAAGACTGTCATCTGTATGTCACCTGTACAGGACTGTCACCTGTATGACCTGTATGTCACCTGTATGTCACCTGTATGTCACCTGCATGTCACCTGTATAGGATTGTCACCTGTATGTCACCTGCATGTCACCTGTATAGAACTGTCACCTGTTCCTCCAGTAGTTGGACCCTCGGCTGTTGTGATGGAAGTCGAGGTCGTAGTACGCTGTCAGCAGGTCTCGTACTCTCAGACGATCTCTGTTCTCCACAGTCATGTGAGGGCATAAACCATAGCTGCAGACAGACAGGTAGAGAGACAGACGGGTTGTTCCCCTGATAGCCACTAGGTGATGCTGTAGTCTGAGGTAAAGGGGGAAAGTTACACGTTATCTCTGATGAAGCGTCTGAGAGATCCGATGGTCAGATAATCTTTGAAGACGACAACACTGTCCTCAAATTTATTGGCCAGTCTGGGAGGTCTGAACAACAACACACACCTGTGACACAAACACACACACAGGTAGGGTTGTCACACTCCCAATTTTAAGCTTCATAAAAATTAAGGTCGACAAAGACAAAGAATCCGATCTTAAAGTAAACAAAGCAAATACATTTCATAAAAACAAAGTTACATCAGTAACTCACTCAGAGTTCACCCCGTATTTCTCCCCCAGCTTCAGCTCTACACTATGAGCAAATCTGAACTGGTCTCTCAGGAGACCTGCAGCTCGCACAAACTCTGACAGACGAGGGCTGTCTGCACCTGAAAACACACCTTACACACACACACACAAACACACACACACGTCAAATGGGGCATGGTATGTGTTTTCACATGTGAACAAAGTGTTTATTATGATAACATCAAACCAGGACCAGTCTGCTAACATCACAAACTGTAAGCTAATGTCACGTACTGTAGGCTAACGTCTCTACGGTAAGTTAGCATGTGACTGTGTGAGGTCATATGACTGTGGTACCGATGATGCTGGCGTCGTAGTGGTCCATGAATGTGTGCAGGTGTTCTTCAGTCTTCAGGAGAACTGAGTCTGGACCGGTCTGCTTCTTCATGTACTGATAGATCCCATCTACACGCAAGCACACACACACACGCGCACACACACACACACACACACAACACCATGTTCTATAAACAATAACAATAATATAAGTATTACAATATAATAATCTGGAACGTGACCGCTAACTGCTAAAGGCTACCTGCCTACCACTAACTCTGCTTCAGGTAGAGAACTGTGATTGGTTACAGCTTGCTTGTCTGTTTTACCTGCGGTGCGAGGACCGTCATAGGGGGCAGAGTCTTTTCCGTTCCTGAAGATCTTGAGAGTGGGATAGCCAGACACGCCGAAACGGGCACAGGTCTCTGAGTGAGCCGTACAGTCCACCTGACACAGGAAAGACAGGTGAGAGACAGACAGGTAAGTCATTATACCTAACTAATAAAAACACAATTACACTTAACAACAGTAGATTACAGGTGGGACAGGTGACACAGGTGAGAGACAGACAGGAAGTCATTCAAACTTTATTGATGGTGTCTGTTTGAAGAAATGACTCAAAGCTTCATCAGTGAGGTGAGACATCCACAGTTATCACAATTAAAAAATATGTAAGTTTGTCCAGAAACCAAAGATGTTTGATACCTTTATGATACCAGGTGTTTTAAATCAATACACAAATATGTTGCCAGCGTTTTTACACGTAATCATTGGCAATGTTTTTGTGAAATTTAAACACATTTCTTTTGCTAATTAAAACCAACAAATTACCAATATTGAGTGTGACAAACAGGTATTATTGTTTGTTTTTTAATCATATGTGATGACAATATTACCTGAAACCATGACAACAGGTGATTTATCATCATAATCATAATCACAGATGTTTCTTATATTAATATTGATGATGATGATGGTACCTTAGCTAGCTGCACGGTGCCCTTCAGTCGAGTCGCTGCTCTGTCAAACTCTGGAGCCAACTTCTTACAGTGACCACACCTGGAGAGGTGAAGGACAGAAGGAGCAGTGGAAGGAGACAAGGGAGGGAGGAAGAAGTGTGGGGGGGGGGTCATATGAAAGATGGAGACGGGAGGATAAGGAAGGAGGTAAATATGTCAAAAAGAAGTGATGGCGAGAGAAAGGGGGGATGACAGGAAGAAAAATGATGGAGGGGGGAGGATAAAGAAAGAATGATTAGTTGATGTATCCGCCATCATCTCCATGTTCACATTAAACCTGTTTGTTCTAAACCAGCTATGCTAACGCTAGCGTCCCGGCTCCGTTACCATGGAGCATAGAATTTGATCAGCATAGTCTCGTGCTCCGTTGCCAGGTAGTCGAAGTCCGCGTCCCCGAGCTCCAGCACGTCCCTGCGCGAGGACTCCGCCGCGGGAAAACAGGACAACAGGACGAGCGTGACGGCGGGAATGAGGCGGACAGCGGCCTCCATGATGAAGAGAAACGGTGAATGATTTTTCGGTGGAAAATGAAGAGAAACAGCGGAGACAGCTACAGACCGAGGAGACCCTCCGCTCTGTGTCAAGCTCAACCGAGAGAAGGGACTCATCCAACAACTTCCGGTCACGGTTTTCCACGATAAAAGCCCTCATCGTGACAAAGCATAGCTCAACAATAAAAATATCAATTTTCAGGGTTTATTGTGGGCTGTTACGCCTTTATTTAGAAGAAGAACATTGAATACAGTTAGATACTGGGGAGAGAGAGAGAGACACAGAGAGACAGAGACAGAGAGAGAGAGAGAGACACAGAGAGAGAGAGACAGAGAGAGAGAGAGGGGGCGAGAGAGAGCGAGAGAGACACACACAGAGAGAGAGAGAGAGAGAAAGAGAGAGGGGGAGAGAGAGAGAGACAGAGAGAGAGAGAGAGGGGGAGAGACAGAGAGAGACAGAGAGAGGGAGAGAGAGAGACAGAGAGAGAGAGGGGAGAAAGAAAGAGGGAGAGAGAGAGAGGGAGAGACAGCGAGAGAGAGAGAGAGACAGAGAGAGAGACAGATAGAGAGAGGGAGAGAGAGAGAGAGAGCGACAGAGAGAGAGGGGGAGAGAGACAGAGAGAGAGAGACAGATAGAGAGACAGAGAGAAAGAGGGAGAGGGAGAGAGAGGCAGAGAGAGAGGGAGAGGGAGTTGGCTGTAAATTGGGTGTGAGTATAGTACTGACCACTGCACTACTGGTGCAATAAAAAATATCTATAAGGGTGAATCCGCAGTGTTGTACTATCCACCTCTCCTCTACAGCCGACATACAGTATTTAATGATCCAATACGAATACCTGTGATACACTGGGCTTTTATTGTGAAAGGCAGATTACCGTCACCAGTACAAATGTTTCTAACTTGACCACCTCACCATCCCCCCCCTCCCTCTCTTATTGGCATGAATGAAATACTTATAATATATACAAAGCATCATGTAATAATGAATATCATCAATAATCAGCTGACTCAAATGGAAGGCAGAGAAAATACCGGAAAACTGCTCCCTGATTGGTCACAGCATGAAGAGCTGACGTGCTGTAGCTTTGAGATTGGTTCGAAAACCCGACGTTTCTTTATTCAATGTTTTTACTTTGAAAAGCATTTTCTGAAAAAAAAAAAAAAAAGATTAAATATTTTCTATTACTTTATCTCTTAAGTCTTTATTTTTTGATGACATCACTTGGCATAAATATTTACCTAATAATTAATTTAAAAAAAGGATTAATAAGAAAACATCTGATTTCTCTAAATCCTTTTTTTCCATGACGAGCTGGAATCAAATGATATCATGAGAAACAGACGTTAGAGTATGTTTATCCTGACTGTAATTAAGACTTTAGACCTGATTAAAGGGGCTGTATGTAACTTTCAAAAATACTGCGTTTGTAGCGATACCGCATGGCCGTCAGGTGAACTGCACCAGTAACCTGATGCTCGCTCTCCTATGTGCACAAACGAACATCATCATCGGCCGCGAAACACTGGATATTTACCGGCATAATGTTTACAGAGGAGGTAAGTGGTCATACACATGTGAAAGTCTGTGAAGGAGTCTGTGTGTCTCCGGGAGAAGTGTGTGGAAGGCGGCCCCTGGCTGTGGAGGTGAAGACCGGGAGTGTGTGATGAGTTTGTCCGCCTTTGAGAGGTCTTATATAGAAGTGTGTGGAAGGCGGCCTCTGGCTGTAGCGGGAGTGTGTGATGAGTTTGTACTGTTGATCTCTGTAAGTGGAGCGGAGTGAGGAGGACGTTGAGAACGTGCATAAAATGTCACTTCCTGGAGCTTTGAGGAAAATATGACCCGGGGAAACTTTTTATACAGGCAACACAGATAGACAGTGAACATCTTTTTCATATCAGTTAACCATTTGCTTATTAATGGGCTTTGAAAAAGGATTTATACACGTAAAAAGTTACATATAGCCCCTTTAAAGGTTTGACTCAAACTGAACACTTCTAGTAGAAGAGAGAATTCCTCCCATGATTGCCCACCAGCCTCGACCTCATCTTTTGTTATCGTATTGATTGAGAGCCCCCTGGTGGCGGAATTTACATACTATGCCTTTTTATGTTGTCCTGATAGCAGAAATGTAAACTTCGATGTGGTTGCAGTAAAAATCAGATTGTATAAAAACATGTTTGTTACTATAGTAACAAAGATATAAGTCTTAAGACACCCAATATTCTGTAATTTATTGTTTTTTAATGATCAAAAACTGCCCACAAACACACTGCCCCTCACTCCTCCCCCTTTTCAAAACATTGCCGACGTATTTTTGTGAGCGCATTTGATTTCTTTCTAGGTCTGCATCATTTTAAAATGTGTGCTATCTAAAAGAACTGAAGGAGTAAAATGTTGACCACCTTTATTTTAATCTCTAAATGGGTCATCTATGTTACTTGTGGTCATTTTCTGTTTTGTTTTTTTATTGATGGACCACTGTCACCTTAATCTCTTTTGTGATTATTTTAGGTACTCTTACAAAAACAAATCATCCTTCCAGTTTTAGAAATATAATAAATGTTTTATTGAAGCACTTGACCTTTAGCCATCGTCGATATGAACAAACATTCTAAGAGACCTTCACAAAGCATCTGCATGTTCTTCACTATCACACAGTGTCGGCACGTTCTTCACTATCACACAGAGCGTCTGCACGTTCTTCACTATCACACAGAGCGTCTGCACGTTCTTCACTATCACACAGAGCGTCTGCACGTTCTTCACGATCACACAGAACGTCTGCATGTTCTTCACTATCACACAGTGTCGGCACGTTCTTCACTATCAAACAGAACATCTGCATGTTCTTCACAACTTTCACACCAACACACATAAGGCCACAGAGAACCACAGACTGATCAGCAGACTGGACCTTCACTGTCTGAGAGCTGCACAAAGAGTATCAAGTTAATGTTCCTCCTGGTTCTGTGATAGGATGGATAACTGGAATAGAAAGAAACATGAAAGAGAAAACCAAAGTACAGCTTCATTTGTTGCTTTTCTTCTGTCCTTCATGACATTATGGTGACCCCACCCCCCTGAGTCAGTGGGCGGAGTCTAACTGAGGCCAGAGGAGGTACAAATAAATAATAGATATAAATATAGAGGACTGAGGTGTGTTCCTGTCAGGATAACATGAGTTCTTCAGTCTTTAGAACAAACAGAATGAAGTTCAGTGGTTCAGCAGAACATCATTCATTCTTTACCAGTACTGTCCAGAACATCACCTCCCTCCTTTTTCAAAACGTTCCTTCACTACGACAGGAATAGAACATCAGCAGAACAAACATGAAGAACTCTGTATCATCCCAGGTGGAATGTTCTCGAGTCAACAAAGAACATCATCAGAATGTTTGAGAATCATTGAAACCTCAAAGAACCTCATGTCCACCTGAGAGCTCTAAGGAATGTTACAGAATATTCCCCCTGCTGGATGTCCTCTGACGTCCCCTGAGGGCCCCCTGCAGGACGTCCTCTGACGTCCCCCGAGGCCCCCCTGCAGGACGTCCTCTGAGGGCCCCCTGCAGGATGTCCTCTGAGGAAGTTGCAGGCTTGTCTGTGATTGGCCACACCTTCAGTCCAGGGCTCCCTCTTGTGTGCTGATTGGCTGGCCCTCTGAGGAACAGCAGGTGGATTTTTGGACATGAAAGAGATTCATCAGGTGTCTGAATCGCCCTGTCACCTTGAGGAAACAGATGAGTCATTTCTTTAATCTTTAATAAATCACCAAGAAAATAATGACTTAGGCTCCTCCCCCTCATACCTGCTGGGCGGTCTTGTTTCCCAGGTGGGCGGAGACCTGTCTGAACGTTTTCTGATTGGCTCCCTTCTGCTTACAAGCGGTCAGGATGGCTCGGTCCGCCTCCCTGAAACACACAGAGGTCAGAGGTCACAGTCTGTTAGCTGGTTCAAACAGAACTTTATTAATATCAACAGGATGAACAAATGAGTAGAAGTTTAGTGTTTTGGTTCTGACCGGGTCCAGACCACTTCTTTCTCTCCACTCGTCATGGAGAGGATTTTGTTGCAAACGGTTCCCTCTGACTCCTCCCCTTCCTCTTCGTCACTTCCTGTCTCGCTGTCATCCGGTGTTTCATCCTCGTCTTTTTTCCTGTTTATGTTCTGAGGATTGTGAGAAATGCAGTCAGTCACTGTGGTGTCAGAGCTGGTTGCTATGGGTGACGACTGAGTGCGAAGTTGCTGGAAAAACTCCCAGAATTCCTTGTGCAGGTTGGGGTGGCGTTTGAGGAAAGAGGAGATCTGAGAGAGGAAGTAGAGAACATTATTCTTCTGTGGTGTTTGATGATGTAGGCTGATGTTTATTTACGTTGATATGATATCACATTATCTCATTTGTCTGCTGAAGACTGAGAACTGAACAATCATCATGACTAATCAAAGGCTTACATAATCTACCTTGTCAACGTCCTCAGGCATGGGGGCGGGGCTGCCTTGCAGCACTGACACCACCTGCTGGTAGAGGGAGGAGTCTTCTCCCAGGCTCCGCCCAAGTCTCTGCAGAAACCAACGACTGCGTTCAAACAGCTTCAGCTCGGTTTGCTAACAGGAAACACCAGAAGAGAAGAAGAGTGAGGTCAGAGTGATGACATCATCATGTCAACATAATGTCATAATGTAAGAGTGATGAGTCGATGCAATGTCACACACCAGGTTACAGCAGTCGGCCTGTCCCTGGCTCAGGAAGGCAGCGAGCTCTTGGAGCAGCTGAGGCCAGGGCCGCAGCAGGCGGCTCAGAGAGTCAAACAGGAGTTCAGGAGCCCCAGAGGCCCCCAGGGGCCCCTCTGAAGAGAACTGATCCAACACCTGCAGCAGCTGTTCAGAGACACCTGGACACACCTGCACTGCGTCACACACCTGTGAGGCAGCAGGAAGTAAAGACAAACATCAAGAATGATCAGTACACGCATCATCAGATCTGAGAGAGAAAGCTTACCAGCTGCTCTGTCTCAACTTCTTCTGCTGCTCTGGACGGCGTTGATGTGACTTCCTGTTCATACTCTAAATCTGCCTCCACTGGGCCATCACGTACGTTGTCGGGGGTGACACTTCCTGCTGAGCTGGGTGATGATTCAGACAAAGCCAGGACGACCTCACTCTCCTCCTCCAATTCCTCCTCGTTTGTCCTGATGACATCATCACGTTCCTGTATCTCCTCCATGGAGGGGGCAGGGCATTCTGAAGAAGGCGGGATAACAGCATCTTTAGAGCTCCTCCCCCTTCTCCTCAGACTGGTTAGGGTCTGATTGTGGCAACTGATTCGCTCTCTGGTCGGCATTGAGACAGCTGTGGTGTTGATGATCTCAGCATGAGGGTCACAGTGAGACGGGAGGGGGCGCTGGAGGAGAGCTTTGGGAGGATTTAGGGGGAGTTGTGAGGAGTCAGAAGGAGGATGGGGGAGGGTCTGATTCACCTGCAGGAAGCCCACACGTCTGAAGTCCAGGTTTTTTGGGAGTCGGGTGGGATACTTGGTCCCGGGGGGGAAGTTATTAGAGTGAGAGGAGGAGCGAAGGAAGGTCAGGTGACTGTGACGGGCAGCAGTTGACCTGCAGGGGGGCGGGGCCTCAGGGGTGGAGCCGGTGGGGCTGTTATATATCTTGATGGTTGGGTAGATGACAGGAAGACTCCTCTGTGGAATAACATTAATGTTGTTATTATCATTATTAATGACTAAAGGAGTTATTATCATCAACACAATTTCGATTCCACTGTATGTCTGGCATATTTTGAAATTGAAAAATAAAGTTGACTTTGATCAGCACAGTGACAGTCTAAAGGGGGTTCGTCTCACCTGCAGCCACAAAGGCAGCACACTCTCCTCTCTCTCCACAGGGGGGCGCAGCTCTGTTCCAACTACACCCCGACATGCCACCAGCATGGGCCACACCACCCTCTGATACCTGAAGGCCTGAGACCCAGACAGACAGACAGCTCAGAGTGTGAAGGTGAGACAGACAGCTCAGAGTGTGGAGGTGAGACAGACAGTTTACAGGCATGAGGCCATCGTTACCTTGACGATGTTGTCAGGGTGACCAGGTCTGCAGCACTGCAGGATCCTTCGTCGGACCTGGACCAGACTCTTCCTCAGCAGGAACTGAGACACCAACTTGGTGGGATCACATGACCCCTCCATGTTCCTGAGACCCAGGACCAACAGGCTGAGAACACACACACACACATCAGTGTTTTGGGTGTACATGTAGGCATATGTGTGTATCTTTGTGTGTATATTTATTCGTGTGTGTTGTAAGTACCAGTCCTCGGCTGCAGTAAAGGCAGATGTCCTGCGGGGGCAGTAGAGAGCAGGGTCTAGGCTGGCACAGGGCAGCAGCTCAGGGTAGAGGAACACCGGGCGAGTAGCGAAAAGCCAGGCCAGCTCAGCCGGCATGACGGGGAAACTACGCACTGTGTACACACACACACACAAACACACACACGCAATCTCTTAAATTCTCTTCTTCGTTTACTTGTTAACAATGGATGTGCACACAGCACCTTACACACCAAGGGTCTGTACTATGAAGCAGGATTTGGGGTTAGAGGTCACTTCAGGGTTAACTCTGGGTTTTCAGTTCTACGAAGGTGGTTCACTTGTTACCTGGGTATATCGCCATGGTAACCTCTGCTGCACACCTAACCTGCTCCAGGTTATTTGGAGATAAGAGATCAACCTGTGGAAGTCTCCGCCCACTGACCAAACAGATCTCTTGATGGTGGAGGGAGCTGATGGAGAGGGGGGAGGAGGGAGAGAGACCCTTCATGTGTCCCGTATAATAACATTATAGTCCGTAGTGAATGATTATTTTGAACTGATATCATCCTTCATCCTTCAACAGAGACTAAAAAAAGCGGAACCTTTGAGTTGTGTTTTTAAGATGTTAAAGGATGAATATCTTCTTATGTCTTTGAATTATATCTTCATATGAATGTTTAGTGTCCCCATGCTGCTCTGTTTGTTATCATCAGAGCTGAACTATAACTTCTCAAACTGTTATACTCTCCACATGAAAGAGTCAGAGACACACATCCAGTTCAGAGAAAAAACAGGAGTTATTATCTTCAGTTCTAAGGTGAACTAACGATGGGACAGAAATATAATAATCTGTAGTTTGGACATTAATACTCTCTGATGTTTCTTTTTTCTGCCAGTTGTCCTTCCTGCATTTGTTCCTGCAGCTGTGTAACTTTAGTCTCTGGGTTTGTTTTAAACCTCTTTATATTATTAATATAGTTTGTTCAGAGTTTGTTAGATATGACGATCTGCTGACGGGAGACGCACTTATGATAGTGTTAGGTTATATGAAGCTAGCTCCGCCCCTTTTCTGTGAACGCGCTCTCTGAAACTCGAGGGTAACTTATGTTGATAAGCGGTTTCATGTGACTGTTAATCACGGTCTCTGATGTTAGGGTTAGTGAAGCCAGATCACCCAAAGATACCCTGGGTTGGAATCTCTTCATAGTCCAGACCCCTGGTCCATGTGCGGCACACGTGCCTTCAGTGTTGTTTGTCTCATGTTTGTTGTTTTGTACTCACTGTATCCGCGGGCGTCAGGTGGGCGGGGCTGCAGCTGGTAGCTGATGGGCATCTGTTTCAGCTCCTCCAGAAGCTGCAGCGCCCCCTGTAGGTTGGAGGCTCTGAAGGCGCTGCAGAAACCAGGACGAGAGGAAGACGCGAGAAGCTCCGCCCTCTGAGCGAGCAAGTTCAACTCAAACTGACAGAGAGAAGGGAGTGACACGCTGTCAGCCATCTTTGTTTGCGCCATCAACAACATGAACATAAAGGTGTTTAAACTGACATAAAACATGTTTGAACGGATAACTTTAAATAAAGTGTTTTAATGTATTCAGTGTGTGTGTGTGTGTGTGTCTGTGTCTGTGCATGCGTGCGTGCGTCTGTGTGTGTGCATGCGTGCGTGTGTGTGTGTATGAGTTACCAGGAACTGTCTGGTGGTCTCAGCCTCGCTGTGCAGTTCAGCCACAGGTGAGCTCAGCAGGTGTATCTGAGTGAGCAGCTGGACATGCTAACAGACAAAATGAATTATTATATTACATCCACAATCCAAGTGTTCACACCAAAACAGACATGTTTTTTTTTCATAAGTTATCAATCCTGCAGGGAACTTCTGGTTGACACTTCTGGTGTGTGACTTTCTCACACACACTGAAATACACACATGCACAAACTGGATCTGTGGACATGAATTAGAGGAGCCATGTCAGAGTTGGGGGAATACTCAGGGGGCACGGCAGAGCTATTGAGGGTTCAGTGCCTTAGGGCCCCCCGCTGTGCCATTCCCACGCTGGCCGGCACGGCCCGCGGTCACACTGCACAGGAGGACTAACCATGCCTAAGCAGTGCACGATTGCCTTTTGTACATAATGCCTTAATACAGGACATGCATGCTTTATGTTATTATGAAGCGTGCTCAGTTTACAAACTCAGGCGGACTCCAGAAAAAAAAAAAAGGGACACGCAGTCGAGTCCGCGTCTGCACATCGAACAACACAGAGAGCATGACAGCTACTTTACGGCTTATTTTAAGTCATTTTAATCAGACACAGCCATAAATAAATTAAAAAATAAAAGAGACCAACAACACAACACAGAGAACATGACAGCTACTTTGTGGCTTATATTGAGTCATTTTAGTCAGATACAGCCATGAAACTCTGGATTTCTCCATAATGAAGGCTGTCAGTGTTGTGTACCCACGTGCTTGGCTTGTGCATGAAGTTTACCGTGCCGAAGCACACTGCACGGAGCGCTCACACTGGCCAAACTAACTGGACTTCAGGGTTGAAGCATGCTTGGGCACGGTACGGATTGCCAGTGTGACCGTGCCCTTACTCAAGGGCACCTCTGGAGTACTCAGGAAATGACCTGGCACCTCTCCGGCTAAGAAATGTTTATTGTCATTGTACAAGTACAACAAAATATTGTTGGAGACCAGATCAACTGCTATGTTTTAGCCCACACAGGGACTTGAACCGATGAACGTCCAGTTCCCAGCCCAAGTCCCTACAGACTGAGCTACTGCACATAAAATAGCCCTCATCAGATATCATCAAAGCAGCTGCTACAGGCACACTGACTGTACATTAATGTGTAGTCATATCTGTAGAAGAGTTACCTGCTGGAGCTGCTGCTGCAGTCTGCTCCTTTGACGAGTGTCCAGCTTCAGTGTGTACGGCTCTGCACAGGGCGTGTGTGTGTTACAGGGTGTGTGTGCGTTACAGGGTGTGTGTGCGTCACAGGGTGTGTGTGTGTCACAGGGTGTGTGTGTGGGAAGAGCGAGCTGACGTCTCTTCCTGATCTGCTCCAGCTGCTGCTTCACTGTACGTGGCTTTGTTATTAGGCTGTCCTCGTGGTCGTCGCCGCCCCCTCTGCTAAAAGGAAATAGAGTAAGAGAACACACAAAGTGTGTGTGTGTGTGTGTGTGTGTGTGTGCATGAGTGAGTGTGTGTGATACACACGTGTTATGCTGATCCTCATTTGCATGTGTCTGAACAGTGTGTGTATCATCCAGTGGCTCCTCCTCTTCCTCGTCAACTTCCTGTCCTGTGAGGTCTTCTTTAAGCTGGACAGTACACACACACAGTCAGTTTTCCTTTGATCCCAGCCTTTATGCTAAGTTAAGTTTACCTGTGTGTGTGTGTGTGTGTGTGTGTGTGTGTGTGTGTGTGTGTGTGTGTGTGTGTGTGTGTGTGTGTGTATATGTGTGCAGACTGAACACTCACAGTTTCGAACAACTCCTCCATCAGCTCGTTCACCTCCTTCTCTGAAACAAACACAAACAGTGAGGATTAAAACGTGTTTGTTGTTTTTGAAAGTGGTCAAACAAAACCCAGAAACTCAAACGAGTCATCTCGCCTGGATGAGGGAAACCGGGGCACCCCCCTGGAGCCAGTCCTGACCAGGGTGTTACTGTTACTGTCCCTTTAAAAAGGAGGCCCTGTGACTGTGAGTGTGTGTGTGTGTGTGTGTGTGTGTGTGTGTGTGTGTGTGTGTGTGTACTCACTGGTGATGCGGACAGCCTTATCGTCACGGTAATCCTCCTGGTCAGGTTCATCGATGTCAGCCAGGAAGTTATACTCAGGATCATCTTCATCATCACACTCGTCTTAGAAAAAGAGAGAGAGAGAGAGAATTATAACATGTGACCCACGCACGCACGCACACACACACACGCAGCACACACACACAAACCTTCATTGTCTATGTCTGAGATCATCAGTCCTCTCAGCCAATCGGTCCACTCCCTATCCTCATGGGTGGAGCTTGAGTCATACATGTCAGGTGTTATGTCAGGAGCTCGTAGCTCCGCCTCCAGCTGACCCAGTGGGATGTCCCGTAGAGGACGTTTAGAGCGAGTCCTGTACGCCATCAGCCCCACCTCCTCCTCGGACTCAGACAAAGGCTGACCAATCAAAACAAAGATCAAGAATCAATCTCCCTGATCACCTGTCTGTGGTTACCAATAGATCCCTCAGACCCTGACTGTGAGTCACCCAGGTGACAGTTACCTGGTAGGGCTCCATGCACACAGCCAGCTCCTCTTCCACTGCATGGAGCTTCTCCAGGAAGCTGCTGTCAGTCGCTGCTTTAGGGGGTGGGGCTTTAGGTGGAGGTGGCGGCCCCATAGAGACAGACACCGCCCTCAGACGCCTTGAGCGGCTACGAAAGGTCTGAGGAGAGACAAACGAGATTAAAAAAAGAAGTTGAACACACAGACGCCCAGGAGGCGGGGCTTAAAGTCAATAACATCTGGGTCAGTGCATCATCAGGTGTGTGTCACATGACATCATCCACCTCTGCTATACTGTTGCCATGCAGATAGATATACCTGCCAGGGGCTGCAGCTGTCCTCCTCCCCCCTACTCAGACGACTCCCTCTGGGGGAGGACGCCGTGCTCTCCATGTCGCTCTCCTGGAACGTCTACATACACACACACACACAAGTCAGTGATGAGTCATCAGTATGAAAGAGTGCTGTAGCCAATCAGAGGTCAGCCTCACGTCTTCGGTGGTATCGTCCTCTTCGTCCTCATCAGGTCGGTACTCTTCATCAGAGGAGTCCTCGTCAGCCAGAGGGATGTCCACGAACTGAGGAGCCTGAAAACAACACGAGGCATTCAGTGCCTTTCACTGGGAGCAGACAACCTCAGACAGGGGATGACATCATCATAACAAACAAATGACATCATCAAGAGAAATCAGTGATCTACATTTAATTCATGAAGAGGTCTGTTTCCAGTCTCCATGCTGGAAATACTGTCTCAGCCTAACTTTCAGTCAACCTAACGACAGGCTGAGAGCTGGAGCTGAGGCGGGTTTTAAGCCTCTTGACAAACCGTTACACCGCGCCCGCCTGTCAATCAGGTCAGCTACACGCCTTATTGTGAATAACTCTTATCCTTCATCAAATCAAAACTGATGAGTCATCAAAACATTCACCCCCCGTACAGTGTGTGCCAATCGAGACATGAGCTAATCAAACCTATTTGGTTTTTTTTAACCAGGCTGTAAACATGTTAATCTCTGCTGTAAAAACAAGCTTTTTAGAATGTGTGTGTATGTGACTTCCTGTGCTTCTGAAGCCAGCCTCTAGTGGACACTCGAGGTACAGCAGGATTTTACACTTCAGCATCGGCATCATGTTTCAACACCGGAGGTTGCTGCTTGGTACAAAGTGAATTCAGTATTGTTTTAAATAACTGTGACCTTTGACCTTTACCTTCTTGACATCACTGCTCTTCTTGATTGGTGAAATGTTCCAGGCTGGAATCACCTGACAGAGAGAGAGACAGGTGAGACAGGTGAGACAGGTGAGACAGACAGACAGACAGACAGACAGACAGACAGACAGACAGACAGACAGACAAGGTGTCTCACCACTCCTCTCTCCACCACTTCTTTAAACTTGGATCGGGTCATTTTTGGCTCCTGAATAAGAAAACCAATCAAATAAAGATCAGCAGCTTGATAAACATTAACATGTAGTTAAACTCTTCTGAATGGACGACACTCACAAACGGAGGGATGGATTCAGTCTCGTTGATGGCAGCTTTCATCATGGCCACTACGTGTTCGTTAGTTATCACTTCCTGCAGGCAAAAGTCAAATATCAGGCACATGAGCAGGACAATAAACACACAGAGCCAAAATGGCTGCCTGATGTACTCCAAACACAGAGGCCCTTACGAACAGCCACAGTTCAGTATGCAGTGCGTACTTTTCAGTAGACTCAACCCTTGTGGTCATTCAGGAGGCTTTTTTTGGGTCTGCCTCAGTAGACTGAACATTTCAACATGGATACTAACTTCACGTGTAAAAGAGCATGGATTCATTGGATCAATTTTGAATCTAGAGTTAAAGTCCCGACTGACATCACTACTTTAATTAACAACAGAAAATGCAACAAATGTCTGAATTATTATAAAACCTTTCCCCCTCTATTTAAATAATGATTATTTATGTCTGTGTCTTTATTGGTTAATTTTACTTAACTGTATATTACTGTCTTTCATTTGTACTTTCCTTTATGTTATAACTGTATGTTATTTAATATTTTACTTGATTTACATTGTGATATTGTTTTTTGTTTACATGACTGTATATATTACTCTTCTTGAATAAAGTTAAACAAAAAAAAAACAGGTGGATGCGGCTGGTTCGGGTAACGCAAATGACGCCACTTCCTCACTGAATGAATCAGACGAAGTAGAAACAAATAGCAGAATAGTAGATACTAAGAGTATACAGCACAGATAGTGTTGTACAGGATACTGCCCACCTGTCAGGGAGCAGCAGGTGTGTACTCACGTGGATTATGTTTCTGACGTTCACCGTGGTCAGGTTGTGCTGTTTGGATTTAGTCTCCAGTGATTGGTCCAGCTGTCTGCCAATCTCAAGATCAACACTTGACTCCGCCTCCTCCTCACTCTCTGAAGCCCCGCCCACTTCGGGATCTTCATCCTCTATCAGTTTCCTCTTCCTCCTCCTTCCTGACCTCCTCCTGCCCGACCTAACCTCTACCTGACTGTCCTCTGAGATACAGGTGGAGACGGACAGGTGGAGAGAGACAGACAGGTGGAGGGAGACAGGTGGAGAGAGACAGACAGGTGGAGAGACAGGTGGATAAAGACAGACAGATTGAGAGAACGACAGACAGGTGGAGAGAGACAGACAGGCGGAGAGAGACAGACAGGTGGAGACAGATATGTGGAGAGAAGGAGACAGGCGGAGAGAGACAGACAGACAGATGGAGAGAGACAGACAGATAGGTGGAGAAAGACAGACAGGTGGAGAGAGAGAGATAGATTGAGAGACAGGTTATTTGTTTTGTTTTGCTCAGTAGTCTGTAAGAGTGTGTGTGTGTGTGTGTGTGTGTGTGTGTGTGTGTGTGTGTGTGTGTGTGTGTGTGTGTGTGTGTGTGTGTGTGTGTGTGTGTGTGTGTTACCCATGGTGATGATGAGGCTAGAGTCTGTGGTGTCTTCCTCCACCAGCAGGTACTCCTCCCCCTCGTCCTCATTCCTGGCTCCGTCCCCTGTAGGAGCTGGAGAAGGTTGTAACATAGCATCATGGGCGAAGGCGTGGGGACTGGAGTGCTGCGGCCCGGCTGCAGGGCAGGGTTTAGTTGGGCTGAATTTGAGGCGTTTGTGGAACGGGTTCATTATGTGGGAACATGACCTCTGAAACAGTGACATCATCAGTCAGTTTGTTAATTAATTTAAAAATAAATGTTTGAACACAGAGAGCAAAATCAATAAACCCAGGGGTGTAGTGCAGGGTAAACGCAGGTAAACTCAGGTATACAGGTATACACAGGTATACACAAGTATACACAAGTATACACAGGTAAACTCAGGTAAATGCAGCAGGTAAGCTCAGGTATACAAGTATACACAGGTAAACACAGGTATACACAGCAGGTAAACTCAGGTATACAGGTAAACACAGGTAAACACAGGTATACACAAGTATACACAAGTATACACAAGTATACACAGGTAAACTCAGGTAAATGCAGCAGGTAAACTCAGGTATACAGGTATACACAGGTAAACACAAGTATACACAGGTATACACAGCAGGTAAACTCAGGTATACACAGCAGGTAAACTCAGGTATACACAGGTATACACAGCAGGTAAACTCAGGTATACACAGGTATACACAGCAGGTAAACTCAGGTATACACAGCAGGTAAACTCAGGTATACACAGCAGGTAAACGCAGGTAAATGGAGTATACCCACTTCCAATCCCCCTCTGATTAACAATAGTATTAAGTATGCAGCAATTTTTTTTCTAGGATGGTGAAGGGATGACCCGCCCAACTCTGTCTCTAATTGGCTCGACACAATAAGGGAACTTTTTCATCGTCCTAGGAACTGTTAAGAGGCTCACCTTTTTATTGATTCTGAACTACTTTAGTTCCCAGGAGTCTAAAGGAACTCTTTTAGCTCTTGCTTCAGAATAGGTAGCATGGCGATATGAATACATGGGGAGGAGTTCTCAGGGAACTGCTCGGTCCTCTACTGGTGCCTGTGTGCTTGGTGGTATAAATGGACCTGAGCTTGTATATTTCTCACACAACACACTGACGATGAGGACTAGTTCACTCAGAAAGCATCACTGTGTGTCTCAGTAGTTCAAATACTCAAATCTGCCCCATGTGGATTATTTCATAACGATCCTTTACTGAAGTCCAGCAGCGTGTAAATACTAAAGGCACATTTATAAGGTTATTCAGTTCATGTCACTGCTGATGAGAGAGGCTTTTTATCCTCTGTTAGAACTTAAAGACACATTTAGAGTAAAGCTACTTCTTCAGGCACACCTGGACAAACCTGGTCAATAAAACGGATTCTGATCGACGAAGGGATACATATAAATATTAATGACTGAAGTCTACACAACATCTGTCTGTTTACCTGCACCAGCTAACAGTTAGCCTCGTTAGCTTTGTCTCTTTGGTCCTGCTGGTTAGTAAGCTAGCATGCTAACACTGAGCCGGCTTCAGTTAGCGTTAGCATCATAACAGAGCCGGTGTCTCCCGGTGTCTCCCGGTTACCCAGGGCCCAGTTCTGACTCTCCGAACAAACACAGAACCGGCCCGTTAACGTGTCTTTAACGCGGTGAACACAGCAGAGCTCAACTTACCCGCCACAACGACGAAACGCTACTGAACAACAACAAAAAAAACTACACTTCCGGCTTTGCGTCACGACCGTACTGTGACGTCAGAATAGCTTTGGAAGTAAAGTTTTTAAAAAAATGTAAAGATAAATTATATGTTTATTTGTATTTTCATAATAGAAATAAAAACAGCGGCAATTGTATAGCACTTTATTTTAATATGGATCACATTATCGGTTAAGATCGGGGAATCGAATCCAAACCTGGTCCCTAATCGAATCAAACTTCTGGATTGTGTTGTTCAAAACTTCTGAGTATCAGGATTACCCTGATGCAACAGAGGGCCGGTGGACTACAAACAAATTTAACAAACTGACCTAGTGGTCAATCAAGAGAACTACAGCTGATCAACAGAGTTAATTATGAACTGCATTTTGACCACCAGGTATTTTTATGTAATTCGATTTTATAAATGCATAAGGTAAATTCTGGACTGGGTTTTTAGTATTTATTAAAATCATAAAGAAATAGAATACATTTTGTCAATTAAAATAACATCATGTGACTCCTTTCCAATTTGAAATGATTGCTTCCCCACTCTGACAGCCAAGAGGTAGACATGGTTTTACCAATTAAATATTGAAAATATTTAATATCAAACATAAAATGTCAACTTAAAAAGGCCTACACAAATCTGTACTGTTGTGCTGATTTTAGTGCCCCCTGCTGCTTATTGAAAGAACTGGCCATTTTGATATCCTTTATCCAGACCAGTGAAAAGGCTACTATAGCATCTGCTCCAGTCCTGCGCTCCTGTGGCAGCGACAAGCATGCCTCCTGCAGCTGCCGTACACTGTGCAGGACTGAGCATCATGTCGCACGCCGTGGAGCAACACTCGTGTGGGATGATGATGTCGCGGGAAAAGAAACATCAGTCTCTTCTTTTTAACGAGAACATCCAAGTCTGCTGCTTGAGTTACCCTGCATGTTACAGCCCATGAGTCTGAGCAACCTGCAGAAAAAGAAAAATTACCCAATATTAGATTTATTTTTTTTAAACCTCCATCCAGACAAGTCTGTATTTGGATCAGGGTGATCCTATCCAGTTTGTCTTTTTTGCAACCGGGATGAAAGAGAGCTGATTGACATGATCCTGAGAGATATAACAATTATAGATCCAGGTCATACCTTTTGAAGAACTGGGCCCTGGAGCTCACTTGTTTGTAATTTAACAGACACAGATCACAGGTGTGTGTGATCAAACACCTGAGCACAGGTGACCCTCAGGACGACCCCCCAGGGGGTGATCCGTGTCATAGTGATGCATTCATTTGTTGCTCGCAGTTATGGAGGTCAAAGGTCAGAATAATTTCAAACAGCCGTGACACATCAAATGATTTATTAAAAAATAATTATTAAAATATATGTTTAAATTTAAAGTCAAAATCAGAGTTCCCTGATGTTAAAACAGGTGTCCAGGTCCACCTGTCAGCTGCGTCAGGAGTCACTTCTTCCTCCTCCTCACTGTGGGACTCAGAGCCTTCAGCACAGACACAGGTTTCTTCAGCTCCTTCATCACCTGCAGGCCCAGAGCTCTGATAGGTCCCAAGCACTCCCGAGACCTGCCAGGGGGAGGGGACGAGTCCTCCAGTTCTGTGTCAGTCACGGTCACGGTCACTGGTTTGTGCCGGTGAAACAGGGACTCCCGTCGGCTTGTACAGGGGCTGGCAGCCAGCACAGCGCTGAAGCCGTAGGGCGTGGTCACTGTCTGAATGTGCGGTAGAGACAGGGCAGCACGTGTTGTCAGGTCCACATCTGCAGACACAGGACACGGACGTCTGACTCGAGGTGCTCGAAGGCAGAGCAGACGACGGTGCTGGGCAGGGTCGGTGGGGGGAGTGGTTTCTTGACCGATGTCATCATGGTCTGCCAGAAGTCTGGTACGGTCAGGTGAGCTCCGGTGAGGTCGAGGGGAGAGGAACTGACTGCGAGATGGTACGAAGAATCCAGGGATTCTTTCTGGAGTCAGAACCAGTGACCTCAGAGACATGATTGGGGCGGGGCCTCAAGAAACACAGACAGAGGGCGGGAGCGGGACTTCTGGGAAAAAAAAAAAAACGAGTCAGATTATTAAAGAAGAACTACTAGCGGTTTGCGTTTCAAAGGAAGTGGCCATATTTGCAAACGATGGCGGAGCTGGAGACGAATGAGGGATCCTCTCCAGCTCTACCCTCTTTTCCAAATATAAATACTTTTGGTCACTTCTGGCTCCAAACAAACAAAACCAGAAGTCAAATTATTGTTGATAAAGCACGGTCTAAAAAAATAAAAATAAAAAACATGTAAATTAAAACTCATTTTAAAGGCTTTATATGCAATTTTTTGATCCAGCAGATTTCACCCTTATGCACCAGCATGAAACCAAAACAACTCGCGGTGCATTGTTGTGTTAACATGCTAGCGACCTTTAGTATGCTCGTATCTTCACACTGCATGTAAATTTACCCAAAATGAGTGTGATCTAGAAACGCAGTTAAGCAGTGAGTACAGTATGTTATTCTTCTTTCCTCTAGTCCCTCAATTAAACAACTTCTATACGCGAGGTGAGGAGTCAGCCGCCACCCCAGCGAATTAAAGTGAAGATCGGACTCAGACAACATCACAGACAGTGGGACACTCATTGTAGACAGTCATGACTCAAGAGTTATAGTCAGAGGATATACTTGATTTCTATTATTTAAGTGTGGAAAAAAAAAAAAAAAAAAAAGAAAAAAAAAATCACAAAGCCTTTAAATCATGAATCATGCAGAAAATAGAAATTTAACAATATATAAATATGATTCTTAATAGACGTGAAACATGGAACACATTTGTTTAACAAATCAAAATGATGAAACAGAAAAAAACAAGTTTCAGAGTCTATTACCCGAGTCAGTCTGCTGCTCTGGAACAAGTGATCCACATGCGAGTCTGAGGTTTTTAATCAAGAGCAGTTGAGTCTGAGGTTTTTATCAGCAGCAGGTGAGTCTGAGGTTTTTATCAGCAGCAGTTGAGTCTGAGGTTTTTATCAGCAGCAGTTGAGTCTGAGGTTTTTATCAGCAGCAGGTGAGTCTGCGGGAGCAGCAGTTGAGTCTGAGGTTTTTATCAGCAGCAGGTGAGTCTGAGGTTTTTATCAGCAGCAGTTGAGTCTGAGGTTTTTATCAGCAGCAGGTGAGTCTCATCCCACTGATCAGGAGCTGCAGCACAATCATCAGATTCTGATTGTTTGGCTCCCTCAGTCTGAGTCTGATTAAAGTTTAAACTCTGTAATTTTCATGTTTTTAATACATTTAACTCACTAAATCTAAAATATACTTTATTTAAAATGAGTTAGGGTAACCTTTAACCTCAAATGAGTTTTTGTTATAAAGGTTTATATTGGGGCTTTTATGCCTTTATTTTGGTAGGACAGGATGAGAGAGAGAGACATGCGGGAAAGGACTTACAGGTCAAACTTGAACCTGTGCTGCCTGCTTAGAGGACACCCTCTGTACATGTGGCATTGACACTAACCACTAGGCCACCAGCTCCTGAGTCTTTATTTAGTCATGAATGAGATGAATAAAGACGTTTCTATAAGACCTTTAAAAGCAAACACCACCATCAGCTCCAAGACTCCCCATCAGTATTTCAATAAAATCATTCTAAGGATTTCATGATGTCATCAACATCTGACGTCATGAGAAGAAACATTATTTTAGATATTCTTCAGCAAAGATTCATCACGACTGAAAGTTTTTGTATTAGATTTCTGGTTATAAAACATGTAAACATAAAGAGTTGGGAAGAGTGTTCACGTGATTTCCGTTTGGAAGGTCGGAATTAAGATGTGTAACGTCTCTGTTATGAGTTATATTTGAGATAAAAGTTGATGTGCAGTAAGTGAATTATTAAAAAGTATGTTAACATTAACAAAACATATTTTGCCCCTCGTGATGACGATTCTGATGTCAAGTCGGGAAGTCGGGTGCCTCATTCTTTTCCGAGTTTCCGAGTTGTTGTTCATGTGCATTTTACAACTGGGAAGCTCGTTTTTCCGATGTGTCCGACACCACATGTATGCACCATCTGTCCTAATCGTTTATAATCTGGAGGGTTTTTGTATTTAAAAGTTTAAGGACAACAAACAGATTTATTAGAGCAGGTTATTTTAATCCTGACCCCTCTGAAGTTCAGATTTTAAAGTTATCCATCTTTGATTTAAATCTGTTACCAAAATAAAACAACCTTATTAAACAGCTAGGTGGTGTTTGATGTTTGTAACAAGGACCCAGATCAGCTCCCTGAGGTACTCCAGGACCGCCAAGACTGTTCATATTTGTGATAATTACTCACCTCACCTTTTAAGTTTGTGATGAAATTCTGATGACTGATCAATCCACAGAGACGGTCAACTCGAAGTTTTAACCAACAACGTTTTGATTTCTTTAAAAGGTTTAAAAATCTAAAAAAAACTATTCAATTAAGACATTTCTGTGGATTAATTTATATTATTTCTAGTTTGACTGCTCACACATTCATCAGTTTTTAAGCTCAACATCCTGTTTGAGACAGAAGTGACAATATATGGACAAGAGGGCGGAGCGATATCGTCCATATAAGGTGCCCTTCAGCAGAGTATCTTTTCTTACAACCACACCCTTGGCGAGACACTTTTCACAGGTAGCCCCGCCCTAACTCCTCCCCCTCTCAGAGTAACAGACAGGTGACGACAGGAAACAAACATCAGGTTTTATAAGAAGATTCCTCCAACACGATGTTCACAACAGACAAGGGGCTTTTACTGCAGAGACAAACAGGAAGGAGCTGCTAAAAACAGCAGGAAGTTAGGATCCTCCAAAATAAGAGTCCACCCCCTTCAAAGAAAAAAAAAAACAGAAAAAAGAGGAGAAAACCCCACAATCATCATTATGTCCGCTGTATTAAAATGTTCCCATAGTTCATGGTTTACTCCTCCCAGTGCATCATGGGAGAACGACCACACGGGGCCACACAGTGACTTTAGACCGCTTAGTCCTCATCTCCATGGAAACAGTCATGTGACAGTCAGTTCACCAGCAGGATGTAAACCTGTGGCGTCTCAGAGTCCCGCCCCTTCCAGGGCGTAAGTGCGAGTCATTGGGAGGGGGCGGGGCCTCTTCTGGTGGTCAGAGTGGCTGGCTAGCTGACGGCCTCTGTGATTGGTTCAGAGGTCCATCAGTCGCTGTCAGAGCCCACTGCCGACGAACCTTTCCTCTTCCTCTTGGGAGCTTTGGGCTTCGAGTCTTCCTCCTCCTGAAACAGAATCACATGATCTGTGACATCATCATCTACATGACTACATGACCTCATGACCACGGCCGGTTTACTGCAACATGATTGAATCTGATAGTATCAGTTCTGATTGGATCACTTTCTGGTTGAATACGTCACGTTCTGAATTAATCAAATTGATTCGTATATTAAAGATCAAATCTTTCCTGAGTAAATATCTCAAGGAGTAACAACTTCCTGAACACAGAGTCTAGGTGTGTTGTTCTGAGCACTGTGTTCACAGATGATTGGAGTGACCACGTGTTGCTGCTAACAGAAAGGGGTTTCATTAGGTGGAGTAGAACAGATCCCTGATGTGGAGGCGGCATGGACTTGTCAGGAAATCAGAGTTAAGGGGCGTGATACGCGCCCGTTTTTTCATGAACTTGCAGAAACTATTTATGCACAAAAACCTGGCCTGGGCTAAGGCGAGGACTACAGGTCCTGCTACAGATTGGATTGCTTTTAGACAACTAAGAAACAAATGTTCCTCTTTTTTAAGAAAGCCAAATCTGAGTTTTATTTGTCTGTCACCCCAAAAAATGTAAAGGACCTGAGGAGGTTTTGGAAAGTTATAAAATCTCTTTCTGTCAGCAACAACTCTCCAGCTTGACCCGCTTTTGTTATGAATGATTCTGTTGCTATTCATGACAAAATGGAATGAATGAATTGTTTTAACAAGCATTTTGTATCTTCTGGATCCCTGTTTGATTCAGCTCGCTCTACATCTGTGAAACCCAGTATGTGTCAGAGTACGCTGGTCAGTCTATCAGTGTTGTGCCCTTCTCTGTGCAGGATGTTCATCAGGCCTTAAAAAAGCTAGATCCAAGAAAACCTTCAGGACAAGACTTGTTGGGTATTTATTTCTTGAAACTAGCAGCTGACTTCATAGCAGAACCTCTTGCATATCTTTTTAAGCTTTCAGTGATTTTAAGGAAATTCCAAGGATATGGAGGTCTGCCTTTGTCCTCCCGTTATTGAAAGGGGGTGACCCGAGTACTTTAAATAACAACAGGCATCTATCCAATCTGTCTGCTTCAAATCTTTGACTCTCTTGTGAGCGATCAACTAAAGGAGTTTTTATACACCAATGATATTTTATCACCTTCTCAGTCAGGTTTCAGAAAAACGCTGAAAGTGGTAAATTACTTTTCTGTAGCTCTCGACAAGACCCAAGATTGTGCTGCACTTTCTATTGACTTTCGAAGAAGACGCGTGAATGTCTCTGGATTCTATTTGAGATAAGTTGATGTGCAACACGTGAATTAATAAAGTATGTAAACATTAACAAAACACATTTAGTCCCGGGAAGTTTCCGACTCAAGCAGGTGTGCATGATCATTTTACAACTGGGAAACTTGTTTTTCCGATGCGTCCGACAGCACATGAATGCACCATGACACCCCCCATCTCTAACTGTGAGCTATGGCGCCACGTTAGGGAGGGAGGGACTCAGGGAAGAGTGCACCACTTTGACTGCAATTTTTTAATCATGGCGACACTTCTGTGATGTGGAGTTGACGTACCGAGGCGCTGCTGGAGGCGCTCTCCTCCTCGTTGGTGGGCGGAGCCGCTCCTTTTCTGGAGCGGGGCGAGGTGGCTGGAGCTTTACGCCGAGACTTTGGAGGCTTCGCCTGAGAGTCTTCGTACTCCTCCGCCAGGGCAAACAGGTCACTGAACCTAGAAGTGATGTCATTATTAAACAGTGTGATGTCATTAATAAACAGTGATGTCATTATTAAACAGTGTGATGTCATTAGTAAACAGTGTCATTATTAAAGGGGCTATATGTAACTTTTTACATGTATAAATCGTTTTTTATCGCCCATTAATAAGCAAATGGTTAGCTGATGTGAAAAAGTAGATGTTCACTGTCTATCTGTGTTGACTGTATAAAATTTTTCCCCGGGTCGTATTTTCCGCGAAAGCTCCAGGAAGTGACATTTTATGCACGTTCTCCACGTCCTCCTCGCGCCGCTCCGCTTACAGAGATCAACAGTACAAACTCATCACACACTCCCGCTACAGCCAGAGGCCGCATTCCACACACTTCTTTCCGCCCTGAGAGCTATCAAAGGCGGACAAACTCATCACGCACTCCCGCTGTCAGCCAGTGACTGCAGAGACTGTCGTTTGTAGGATGGAGAATGACCGGCCTCAAGCACAACACAGACTCCTTCACAGGCTTTCACATGTGTATGACCACTTAACTCCTCTGTAAACATTATGCCGGTAAATATCCAGTGTTATGCGGCCGATGGTGATGCTTGTTTGTGTACGTACGAGCACATGACGAGGGAGAGGTTACTGGTGCAGTTCGCCTAACGGCCAGGCGGAATCTCTACAAACGCAGTATTTTTGAAAGTCACATATTCATAGCTTTCACGTGACGTCACACTCTTATGGAACCGCCCACCTGGAGGGCAAGAAAGGCTCTCTACCACTGTACGCTACTGAGAAGTTACTGGTCTCAGTGGTCCCCTACGTGTTTTTATCTATCTTATTTTTTAATTTTTCAAATGAAATACAGTTGTTGTTTAATGTGATACACTAACCGGCGTGGAGACGAGCCCGAGTTTTGCTTCTACAGAATTTAATCTGAGAAAAAAAAGAGAAAGGAGAACGTTTGTGGATTAAAGCAGTTGGACCCTCTGCGGCCCTTGTAACGGGAAACATCGGATATCTCCTCATCCTGACATTAATTATAGTGTTGACTAAATCTAAATATTCCTGCCGTTAACTCAAATTACTGCCCCAGAACACTACAATTGACAGCTGATACTATCTAGCACTCACCGATGCTTGAATGATGAGGAATTTCTTTCCCTTCACGTCTCAAGCAGCATTATCGACCCAGACCAATCAATAATACATAAAGCTGCCTGTTTGTTTGTAGACTTTCATCCTACAGCGGTGTAAGAAGATGGATTCTCTTCTAAATATTAGCAATATCATTGAAGTGACGTCTTGGTGTTACGGTTAAAAGAGTGACCATGTTAACTGATGACTTTCAGACAAACGTGACTGAAACTGTCCTAACAAATGCCTCTCAGTTCAGTTTTTGTATTATCATAATGTCATAATTACTTATGAGCAGGGTCCGAAATTAACTTTTTGACTCACCGGCCAAGGTGGCAGGTGGATGAAAAAATTCACCAGCCAAACATATTTTTTTACCGGCCAAAATAACAAATTTTGTTTTTGTGTCCTATACACATCTGTTACACTATATTTAATTGAGAAGGCATTATGTTTTGTTTAATGAATAATACAGTTAAGTCACAGACTTGATCGATTCGATGTCATCTGATCAGGAAATTGAGAAATTGAAAAAATATATATATTTGCTGGCCTTTATTTTTTTCTTAATGTATTATTTGTAGGCAGTAGTTCCAAAACTCAAAGTTTATCCTAATATAGTGTTTTTTCTATGGTTGTCAGGTGATGTAAATATGTGTCGTTTCGATGAGATGTTAAATTAAAAGCCTGTGCTGCAGTAACGGTAGCCGTTACTTTCCTGAGCATTTTTTGCCCTCCAGCCCTGCGCGCTGGTGACGTCACTGAAAGCTATGAATAGCCCCTTTAAACAGTGTGATGTCATTATTAAACAGTGTGATGTCAACATTAAACAGTGTGATGTCATTATTAAACAGTGTGATGTCATCAGTGTGATGACTAAATAGTGTGATGTCATTATTAAACAGTGTGATGTCATTATTAAACAGTGTGATGTCATTATTAAACAGTGTGATGTCATTATTAAACCGTATGATGTCATGTGTGTATGTGTGTGTGTATGTACCTCATCTTGTGTGCTTCGTCACAGCTGGCCTGAACGTGCTGCAGAGCCTGAAGGATAGGAGTCTGAGAGAAGACTGACACACAAACACAGTTACAATCAATACATGTGGTGAGTATGTGTGAGTGTGTGTCTGTGTGAGTGTGTGTGAGTGTGTGTCTGTGAGTATGTGTGTGCTTGTGAGTATGTGTGTCTGTGAGTATGTGTATGTGTGTGCATGTGAGTGCGTGAGTGTGTGTGTGTATGTCTGTGTGTGAGTTTGTGTGTCTGTGTATGTGTGTGTGAGTCTGTGTGTGCATGTCTGTGTGTGTGAGTGTGTGTGTGAGTGCATGTCTGTGTTTGTGTGTGTGCATGTCTGTGTGTGTGAGTTTGTCTGTCTGTGCGAGTGTGTAAGTTTGTGTGTCTGTGTGTGTGCATGTCTGTGTGCGTCTCTCACAGTTGTTCTTGGTGTTGCTCAGGCTCAGTCTCAGGTTGTCCATGTGCTCAAGGATCTGTTCCAGAGTCAGCTGAGCCAGTTTACTGCTGGAGCTCCGCAGGCTGAGGACACACACACACACACACACCCCAAGTCAGAAAACTCACTCACATTGTTTCCACGCACGCACACACACGACCATATTTGTTTGTCCCTCTCACCTCTGTCTAACTGTCTGTGCCTCCCTGTCTCACCTCTGTCTCTACCTGTCTCACCCCATCCCTGTCTCACCCCATCCCTGTCTCACCTCTGTCTCTCCCCGTCTGTCTCTACCTGTCTCACCCCGTCCCTGTCTCACCTCTGTCTCTTGCGGGGCTGGTTGTTGTTCTTGATCAGCTGGGCCTTGATATGCTCTCCCAGCGTGTCGTCGTGTTTGGACGCCCAGTGTCTCAGGATGCTGGTGGTGAACTGATCCTCAGGGTGACACGGACGACTCAGGACCATCTTCACCATCTCCTCACTGGGCCTGACACACAGACAGGTAGAGAGTCAGACAGACAGGTAGAGAGTCAGAGTGTTTTTTTTTTTATTTCATTGAACCTTTATTTAACCAGGTCATTAACCCATTGAGATCAAGATCTCTTTCCTAAGGGTGACCTGGCCAAGATGACAGCAGCAGAAGGTCAATATGACATGATAAAGAGAAAACAACAGTTACAATGTGCAGATTGGTTTACAGATGAAGTGCTGAGTCGTGATGACAAATTAGAATTCAGAAACACTTCAGGCACTGTCCAATGGTCTCGCGTTTGTTTTCTATGCGTTTATGCTTCCGGCGCTGTGTGAGGTGGCCGCCTGTTGCAGCAGCTCCCGTCGTCTGTGTTGTTATATTGTATTTTTTGATTAGTTATTATTTGTTTTTACTGTGTGTTTTTTGAATATTAGTTTACTCTATTAAGTGGAAATGGCTACTTTCGCTCTTGGAACTTTTCGCGCTGTTTTTCTGTTACTTTTGACATTCTTTGTAACGGAGAGCAGTGCACAGCGGAGTAAGGGCATCGTTTACACACGCGATCAGCTGATGGCGCTCTCCATGGTGCTACAGCCGGAGCAAGGCCTGAAATTCCGGAGGAGCTGAGGAGGCGACGCTGGAGTTGCAGAGCTGGAGCTAAGAGAAGACCTAAGAAGAGAACATAAGCCTTTTGTGCACGCGATGATTATGGGGAACGTGAGGTCTTTGGGCAATAAGACGGACGAACTCGGCGCGCTTGTCCGGAACCAGTGGGAATACCGCTGTCAGTATTATGTGCTTCACGGAGACATGGCTGCACTTGGACATCACGGACCACAGCGTGGCGGTACCCGGCTTCAGGACTTTTCTGGCAGACAGGGACGTTATAAAGAGTGGTAGGAAGAAAGGTGGAGGAATTGCACTGTATGTGAGTGAGAGATGGTGTAATCCTGGCCATGTTAGGGTGAAGGAACGTCTCTGCAGCCTGGACATCGAACTGTTAGCTGTTGGAATGCGCACCTATTACTTGCCCAGGGAATTCACGTGCACCATTGTTATAGCTGTTTACATCCCATGGTCAGCTGATGCCGAGTCTGCGAGTGATGCCATTCACTTTACTGTTTCACAGCTTCAAACTAAGCATCCAAATGCTTTTGTAGCCATTACCGGGGACTTTAATCAGGTAAAAATGGACAGAACACTACCCAATTTTCATCAATATGTTAACTGTTAACTGTTAACTGAGAAAATAAAACACTAGACCTTCTGTATGCTAACGTTAAGGAAGCATACAGTACCACTGCCCTTCCCCCCCTGGGCAGATCAGACCACAACCTGGTCCTACTGACACCAGAGTATATCCCCCTGGTCCAAAGACAGCCTGTGACCACAAGGACTGTGAGGAGGTGACACAGGAGAGCAATGAGGCACTGCAGGACTGCTTTGGGTCCACAAACTGGGATCTACTTTGCGAGCCACATGGAGAGGACATTAAGAGCATGACTGATTACATCATAGAATATATTAAATTCTTAGAAAACACTGCTCTACCGGCCCGGACTGTACACTGTTTTCCTAATAACAAACCCTGGATCACCAGTGACCTGAAAGCCCTTCTCAACAAAAAGAAACAAGCCTTCAGGTCTGGAAACAGGGAGGAGCTGAAAAGGATAAAGCTTGATCTGAGGGAAAAGGTGAGGGAGTACAAGGACTCATAGAGGAGAAAGCTGGAGGCCAAACTCCATCAGAACAACGTGAGGGATGTGTGGACGGGAATGAGGGAAATCACTGGTTTCAAGGGGAGAGAAAGGCAACATTCTGGCAGCCTGGAGAAGGCAAATGAGCTAAACCTGTTCTTAAACCGGCTTAGTTCACAGCCTTCAGCTGCCTCTCCCACCTCAAACAACACCCCTGTCCTTCACACCTCCCAGCTTCCCTTTGTATTTGTGTCTGCACATCAGAGAAAAACACAGAGCATTACAGCTACTTTACTGACTTTGCAGCTTATTTTAAGCCATTTTAATCAGACACAGCAATAAATACATTTAAAAATAAAATAGACGCGCGGACGCCCGCACATCGGAAAACAACACAGAGAACATGACAGCTACTTTGTGTCTTATATTGTGTCATGTTAGTCAGATACAGCCACGAAACTCTGGATTTCTCCATAATGAAGGCTGTCAGCATTGTGTACCCGTGTGCTTGGCTTGTGCATGAAGTTTACCGTGCCGAAGCACACCTCTCCGAAGTGTGCCAAAGCCAAGGAAGTGTACCGTGCCTGAGCATGATACGGAGTGGTCACACTGGTCAAACGAACTGGACTTAAGCGTTGAAGCGTGCTTGGGAACGGTACAGATGGCCAGTGAGACCGTGCCAACCAGCTGTCTGAGATTCTGCAACACCTCTTCAACCTGAGTTTGAGCCAGGAGAGGATACCAGTGCTGTGGAAAACATCCAGCTTGGTCCCGGTCTCAAAGAAGACAACGCCATCTGACCTCAAAGACTATCAACCAGTGGCTCTCATTTCTCATGTGATGAAAGTGTTGGAGAGGCTCGTCTTGACCCACCTCAGGCTGCAGGTGAAACCATCCCTTGACCCTCTACAATTTGCCTACCAGCCACACCTGGGAGTGGACGATGCCATCATCTACCTGCTACAGCGTGCTCACTCACATCTGGAGGGAAACGGCTGCACTGTGAGAATCACCTTTTTTGATTTCTCTAGTTCATTCAACACCATCCAGCCACAACTGCTGGAAGAGAAGCTGCAGTTGATGGACTCGTCCATCACCTCCTGGATTACTGACTACCTGACAGACAGACCACAGTTTGTCAGACTTGGCAGTACTCAGTCTGGAATGGTGGAGAGCAGTACAAGAGCTCCACAGGGGACTGTGCTGTCTCCTTTCCTTTTCACCTTGTACACCTCTGACTTTCAGTACAACTCCAGGTCATGCCACTTGCAGAAGTTTTCTGATGACTCTGTGGTGGTGGGGTGTATAAGTGATGGGCGAGAGGGGGAGTACAGAGAGCTGGTGGATAACTTTGCGGAGTGGACAGGAACAAATCACCTGATTCTGAACTTGGATAAGACCAGGGAGATGGTGATAGACTTTAGAAGGAAGAGGACAGAGCCACCACCGCTGTGTATCCTGGGAGAGGATGTGTCTGTGGTGGAGGAGTACAAGTACCTGGGTGTCAACATAGACAACAAACTGAACTGGAAGGCCAACACTCAGGCTGTTTACAAGAAGGGGATGAGCAGACTCTACTTTCTGAGGAAGCTGAGCACCTCCAATATATGCAGCAAGATGTTAGAGATCTTCTATCAGTCTGTTGTGGCCAGTGCACTGTTCTCTGCTGTGGTCTGCTGGGAGAGCAACATTGGAGCGGGTGACACTAAGAGACTGGACTGGACTTCATTAAGAAGGCCTGCTCTGTGACAGGCTGCAAGCTGGACTCTTTTGTAGTGGTGACAGAGAGGAGGACTCTGAACAAACTGTTATCCATTATGAATAATCCTGGACATCCTCTGCACACCCTACTGGACAAACAGCAAAGCAGCTTCTCCAACAGACTGATACAACTCCGCTGTCACAAGGACAGATACAAGAAATCTTTCTTACCGAAGGTCATAACTCCGTACAACAGCTCACCTCTTGCGAGCAGAGAACTGTCATCATGATAATATCTGTATTTTCTACTTTTAATATGTCTACACTCCTGCACTTTAACTTATGTATCACTGATTGCACAACTCTGGACAGCTCCCTATGTCAATACTGTCCATTTACAACTGGTTCTTTGAAGGTCTGAACATAAATAAGAAGGAACTAACCCAAGAAGACTAACCCAAGAAAAGCTTCAGCCAGTGGATATACCTGCAGACCTTCAAGGAGGGCCAATCAGATTTTGTGTATAGATCACAGTGATGAGTAAGGCGTCTACAACCAGTAACAAATCTTAACGCACAGTGATACACGGCCGCCCAATGACTGTAACCATTTGGCCGATGCGCCCATATACAGCACATCTCCATGATAATAAAAAAACAGTGTGTGTGTGTGTGTGTGTGTGTGTGTGTGTGTTTACTTCTCTCTGCGGAGCTGCAGCAGCAGACACGATAAGGCCTCTGGGTGTTCTGAAACGCAAACATGAAGACTGTGATCACACAGGAAGTGATGACTCTGAGCAGCCCTGTGATTGGCTGTTACTCTCAGCCATGTGATTGGTCGGAGCTCTCACCTTTGTACTTGAGGTGCTGCAGGATGGGGATGATGGTCTCCAGAGGGATGCTGTGAGCAAGGAACAGCTGCCAGGTGCTGTACTGCTCGAAGGTCTCCCAGTCCAGAGACTGAACTGTGGACACACACAGACACACACAGACTTATGGAAAACATATAAAATGTTCCGATGCACACTGTGCCGACACGTTATAGTTATTTCAGATATTTGGGTCTTAATCAAAGTCGGCTGGTTAACTTCATTAACCATTTATATGTTGCCAAAACATTAACTCCCATCAGTGAATTATCTAAGTGAGAGTGTGAGTTACTTACTCAGGATGTTGAGCACTGAGTCCTTCCTGAACATCACAAGGTTTCCCATCATCACATGACACATCAGCTCTTGCAGCTACACACACACACACACACACACACACACACACGCACACACACAGAAACACACACAGGTTACTCAAACCACACACTGACGATCAGGTGTGTGTTGGCTGTTGGTGAATGTGTTACCTGAGTGGAGTCGATGACCGCTACGATCATGTTGAGCAGCTCTCCACTCCGCAGCGTCTCGTCTGGAAACTGAAGACAACAAACTAGAAGTCAGGTTACCCACCTGAGTGTGTGTGTGTGTATGTGTGTGTGTGAGTGTGTTGTGTGTACCTCGGTGTAGATGGAGGGCGTGAGGTAGCAGAGCAGCCGGACGTCGTCCTCCTGACACGCCTTCATGTCCATCATCAGACAGGTGTGCAGGTCACCAAGAGCTGTCGCCTGAGCGAACGACTCGTACAGCATCATCTTACCGTTTGCCGCTTTACTGCAAGCACACACACGCGCCTTTAACATCCTGCTCACCATTAAAATATATCAAAAACATTTCACTGTAAGAGCAGCAACTTTTTTTTCCAGACAGACCAAAGGCTTCAACTTTGACAACATCACAATGTACAACTGTCTATGATGTCATTCAGTCTAGTCTATGATGTCATTCAGGCCTGTCTATGTCATACAGTCTCTCTATGATGTCATTCAGTCCTGTCTATGTATGACATGCTGGAGAAACTGTATGACAGTCTGTCTATGATGTCATACAGTCTCTCTGTGATGTCATACAGTCTCTCTGTAATGTCATACAGTCTCTCTGTAATGTCATACAGTCTCGTTTATGTCAGACAGTCTCTCTGTGATGTCAGACAGTCTCTCTAGGATGTCATGCAGTCTCGCTAGGATGTCATACAGTCTCTCTAGGATGTCATACAGTCTGCCTGTGATGTAATAAGGTCTGTCTATGATGAAGTCTGTCTACGATGTCATGTCATTGTTACATTACGGGAGTGTTAAACTTCAGACTTAGGGAATGATTAGAGAAACTCCATACTTCTGTGTTTCTGTGTGACATCATTCTGATCATTCTGCTTCATCTATAGGATCAGCTGACATATGACATCATCTGTGACATCATCTCACCTGGCCTTCAGGTAATAGAGCAGGTGGTATCCGATCTTTGGTTGTTTCTGGTAAAACTCGGCCAACATGTCGAGCAGCACAGAGAACCCCGAGTTATCCTCCTGCATGGTGACCAGGTTCCTAAAGATCAGACACACAGGTCTGCACACCGAATCCTCCAGAGACCTGACAGACAGACAGGTCAGAGAGAGAAACAGGTCAGGAGAGAGAGAAGGGGGTCTCAGTACAAAGCCCTTCAGTGGCAAGAGTTGAACCCAGATAAGAGTCCCCTTTGCCAGCTGATCCTGAAGCTCCGCCCTCAAACACCAGGGCTTCAGGACACACCCCAAACAATCTGGCCCAACCAAATTATCTCAAAACAAAAAGAATTATATCAAATATTGGAAGGAAAGCACCAAATCACAAAGTAAATTAGAATTCTATTTGAGCCTGAACAGAGAGTACAAGCTGGCAGAGTACTTGAGCACAGTGAGGGATGTGAAACTAAGGAAAACGATGACGATGTACAGACTGAGTGGACACAGTCTGACCATAGAAACAGGCCGTCACAAACAAAACTGGTTACCCAGAGAGGCCAGGCTATGTTTACTCAATAATATATATCCTGAGTTTATCCACCTACCCAATCCTCAGAAGCATCTCTATCTATGTGGAGAGAACAGTCTGTGTGCAGTACAAGCTGCTAAATATGTTTATGAATGTGAAACATTAAGACAAAATACACTGAATGTTTCTTAGAAATACTCCGTAAAATGATCTAAATTGTTAATGTTTTTTATTCATATTTGTTATATTTGTATACTGTATATATTGTAATCATTTGTAAATCATAATTTTTCTGTACTGCTTTGGCAACATGGATTGTTGATCTGGGGCGGCTGTGGCTCAGTTGGTCGTCGCCTCTCAACCGGAAGGTCTAGGGTGCTGCCAGGTGGACAAGACACTTAACCCTGAATTGCTCCCGCTGCTTCGGTGGTGGTGTATGAATGGGATTAGTTACTTCTGATGGGTGATACTACATAGCGACCACTAACATCAGTGTGTGAATGTGTAGGTGTGAGTCCATTTACCGTCTGTAATGCCAATAAAGCTCATTTGAATTGAATAGAGAGACAGACAGGTTTGGGAACTGGTTACCTGGGAGAGAGACAGGTCAGACAATTCAAGAGAGAGAGGCAGGTCAGAGAGACAGACAGGTTTGAGAGAGACAGGCCAGGAGAGAGAGAGACAGGTCAGAGATAGAGACAGGTTTGAGAATGAGACAGATCAGACAGACAGGTCAGGAGAGAGACAGGTCAGGAGAGACAGAGAGATCAGGAGAAAGAGACAGGCCAGAGAGAGAGAGAGAGAGAGAGAGAGAGAGAGACTAGAAGACTTCATCAGTTGTCCTCTGTCAGTGTTAAAATAAAGTTATTTTGAATAAAGCGTCTCACTCCTCAGTGATCTCCTCGGGCAGCACGTCTCCTCTGAAGTGATCCTTAAAGAGCTCGGCCAGACACGACGCCAGAGACGACATCTGCTCCGTGTCAAAGTCCTCCTGTAGAGACACGGCAGCAACTCACATCAGCAACAAATACAGCAACAAATACAGCACCTCACATCAGCAACAAATACAGCAACTAAGATCAGCAACAAATACAGCAACTAAGATCAGCAACAAATACAGCAACTAAGATCAGCAACAAATTCAGCAACTAAGATCAGCAACAAATACAGCAACTAAGATCAGCAACAAATTCAGCAACAAATTCAGCAACTCACATCAGCAACAAATACAGCAACTCACATCAGCAACAAATACAGCACCTCACATCAGCAACAAATACAGCAACTAAGATCAGCAACAAATTCAGCAACTAAGATCAGCAACAAATTCAGCAACTCACATCAGCAACAAATACAGCAACTCACATCAGCAACAAATACAGCACCTCACATCAGCAACAAATACAGCAACTAAGATCAGCAACAAATTCAGCAACTAAGATCAGCAACAAATTCAGCAACTCACATCAGCAACAAATACAGCACCTCACATCAGCAACAAATACAGCAACTCACATCAGCAACAAATACAGCACCTCACATCAGCAACAAATACAGCACCTCACATCAGCAACAAATACAGCACCTCACATCAGCAACAAATACAGCAACTCAGAGACCAAAAACTAAGATCAACAACAGTCCACCCCAGGGTGTTCATGGTACCGGCTTTAACTTTTAGTATAAACTCAACGATGTGTGATGTCACAGCAGCATAATAATAAACAATAACAGACTCCGGCTCAGTCTACAGAGAACTACAAACAGATTAGTGTAGTTCTCTCTCTTCTGAGTCCACTACAGAGAGAGTCCACTACAGAGAGAGTCCACTACAGAGAGGGTCCACTGCAGAGAGGGTCCACTGCAGAGAGTCCACTACAGAGAGAGCCCATTACGGAGAGGGTCCCCTACAGAGAGAGTCGGCTACAGAGAGGGTCCACTACAGAGAGGGTCCACTACAGAGAGAGTCCACAACAGACAGAGTCCACTACAGAGAGGGTCCACTACAGAGAGGGTCCACTACAGAGAGGGTCCACTACAGAGAGGGTCCACTGCAGAGAGTCCACTACAGAGAGGGTCCACTACAGAGAGGGTCCATTACGGAGAGAGTCCACTACAGAGAGGGTCAACTACAGAGAGAGTCCCCTACAGAGAGTCCACTACAGAGACAGTCCCCTACAGAGAGGGTCAACTACAGAGAGAGTCCACTACAGAGAGAGTCCACTACAGAGAGAGTCCACTACAGAGAGAGTCCATTACAGAGAGGGTCCACTGCAGAGAGTCCACTACAGAGAGGGTCCACTACAGAGAGGGTCCACTGCAGAGAGTCCACTACAGAGAGGGTCCACTACAGAGAGGGTCCACTACAGAGAGGGTCCACTGCAGAGAGTCCACTACAGAGAGGGTCCACTACAGAGAGGGTCCACTGCAGAGAGTCCATTGCAGAGAGTCCACTACAGAGAGAGTCCATTGCAGAGAGAGCCCACTACAGAGAGAGTCCACTACAGAGAGGGTCCACTACAGAGAGGGTCCACTACAGAGAGGGTCCACTACAGAGAGGGTCCACTACAGAGAGTCGCCTACAGAGATAGTCCACTATAGAGCATAGATAGAAAAGAACTCACCTCTAAGATCAGATCCACGATCTCCTGCATCACCTCACACTGAGTCTCTGTGTCACTGAGGACAAAAGTAAACAGTAGTATTATTAGTAACATTATCAGACCTCCAGGCTGTTCTAAGGACCTGAAGGAGGACTGCATGCAGGGGTCTCACCTGGTTTTCTGCAGCTGCTGAACTTTCTCCTTCATGGTGTCATCTAATTGGTTGAGCCAGGGTGTGATGTCAGCGGGCTCCTCGATCACGGCCTCTTTGATCGGATGGAACCTGAACTCCCTCTTCTTTCCTGCAAAGTGATTGGTCAACAGAGTGTGATGTCATCAGCAGATAGTGAATGCTAACAATCGCAGATCTGTTGAAACGACTACAAAGTTGAACATCGTTTTTGGCCCAGGGTGTCCTGGTACCAAAAACTTATGAACATCCTGTGCTGAAACATAGTGTTGGTAGTCTGAACCTGCAGCTCTGTAAACGAGGCTCTGAAGGTTAAAGGATGATGTGACTCTGTAGTCTGAACCTGCAGCTCTGTAAGCAAGGCTCTGAGGGTTCAAATAAATAAAATGAATAAACAGAACTGGGTTAGTTTGGGTTAAAACAGGTATAAGCCAGGTAAACCGGGTTATTGTGACCTGTCACCTTTGTTGTTGACCTCCTCCTCATCATCGCTGAAGGCGGCCTCTGTGGGGTCGTAGCAACTCTCCTCCTTCTCCAACATGTGGTTTTCCATTTCCATGGAAGTGGCCTCCTCCATTTTTACTGCAGCATACACGAGAACAAGTGTTTCAGGGTTTGAGACTCAAAGATGAGGTTTGTTGTTAGAGCGCAACCAAGTGTTCATTTAGAGACAGACAGGCTGGTTTATGTATTTCTACAGAGTGTGTCTGTTACCTTCAGTAGGGGGCGATGGCGAGCTGCAGAACTCGGGGAATCTCTCTCTGAGCATCGATCGAAGCTCTCGATCCAACTTTGGGTTATCAAACAGCGGAGCGAGATGACTGACAGAGAGACCGACCAATCGTGAGTCATTATTAATCAATAACCAATAACAACATGTGGAGGACTCAGAGAGAGAACACTGTGTGTGTGTGTGTGTGTGTGTGTGTGTGTGTGTGTGTGTGTGTGTGTGTGTGTGTGTGTGTGTGTGTGTGTGTGTGTGTGTGAGATACTCACGCCAGCACTCTCTTCTCCATAATGAAGGTGAGCGAGTTAAAGACGCCCTGACGCACCTGAGTCTCGAGTGGGGGAAAGAAGTGAGGGATGATCTGAGGAAACAAGGACACAAGATGAAACAAAGGAGTAGATAATGAAAGACACATGGAAGGTAGTACATGCAGCCTGACTTACAGACGCATGCGTGTTATTTATTGGAGAGAGAGCGAGAGAGAGAGACTTTAGGTGTGTGTGTGTGTGTGTGTGTGTGTGTGTGTGTGTGTGTGTGTGTGTGTCTGGCCACAACACAGTTTGCACTTGTTAAGGTTCATCACAGATAAAAACCTGCTCACATGAATATGTTGACACAAACACACAGAGTGTCTTTGATGCAATCATCAAATTTGGGTATTTCACTGCCAGGCATCAAATGTTTCCAAACCAACACACTTGAATTTATCCTTCAGCCTTGCTCACTGCAGTCTGATCAGCTCTGTGTGGAGTTCAACTTCTTCAACTAAGTAAACGACTTTCGATATGAGTCTGGCAGTCCGTTCTTCTACTGTACCATTGTAACCTTCTCTGTCTCTGACTTTTTATGCGCCCTGAATCCATGCAATCTCCATGCATAAATCAAGGAAGCACACATACCTAAAGTCTCTCTCTGTCTCTCTCGAATAAAAAAAAAAAACATGTGCGTGCGTCTGTAAGTCAGGCTGCATGTACCACTTACACAACGCACATGAGTGTGTAGACGTGGCACTTTTATGAGATGATCACACGTGTGTGCGTATGTCTGGCATGCATGTACTGAAGCATTCCACGCGCCATAATTCATGTGAGTGAGTGTGTGTGTGTGTGTGTGTGTGTGTGTATGTGTTCATTTGTGTTACCCTGCACATGAAGTCCAGCAGTGTGGCCGTGATGGCAGGATGAGGTTTCATGGAGTGATGCATCACCAGGATGGCAGGTTCTGAAACATAAGGAGGGTTGAACCTGTCAGTCAGTGCAGAGGGCACAACAGCTCCACACACACCTGACAAGTAAGTTGATGTATAAACAGACAGGTGAGTGTGTGTTTACCTATGTTCATGATGCTGTCTTTCTCAGGGTTGAAGAACAGCCAATCGTAAAAAAGAGCAAGCTTGGCGTTGGAGGCGGCAACATTTGACTGCAGACACAAAACGATTGGTTGGTTCTTTATTTTTATAGATGATTACCTTCACACCAGAACAGCTTTTGGCTCTGCCTCCTTACCGTGCAGGTGGTGAGCAGCCAGCCAATGATGGCCCAGCGTGGCAGGATGTCAGAGCTCAGCACCTCATTGGACGGATGGACCACCCCACAGATGTATCTGATCAGATCGCAGCGCAATGACTGGCTCTCTGCTGTGGACAGGTACTGTCTCTGAAACCAGTCCTGGTACCGCTTCTGCTGCCCAAAACGCACCTGAGCACAGGTAACACATGGGAGACACAAATGTTACCCACAGGTATCACACATACCCACAGGGTCACACAGGAGGCTGAGAGCTCACAGTCATCACACACATTGAGGCTGCCGTACAGTTTTTATGAGACAACATTTAACATTCAGGATCAACAGAGAGAATCTGTCAGAGTACAGCGTGTGAATGTACAGTGTGTGTGCAGCGAATGTACAGTGTGTGTACAGTGAATGTACAGTGTGTGAGTGTACAGTGTGTGTGCAGTGTGTGAGTGTACAGTGTGTGTGCAGTGTATGTACAGTGGGTGTACAGTGTGTGTACAGTGAATGTACAGTGGGTGTACAGTGTGTGTAGTGTTTGTACAGTGTGTGTGCAGTGTATGTACAGTGTATGTGCAGTGTGTGTAGTGTTTGTACAGTGTGTGTACAGTGTTTGTACAGTGTGTGTAGTGTTTGTACAGTGTTTGTACAGTGTGTGTGCAGTGTGTGTGTAGTGTGTGTGCAGTGTGTGAGTGTACAGTGTGTTTGTGCAGTGTATGTGCAGTGTGTGTACAGTGTGTGTACAGTGTGTGTACAGTGTGTGAGTGTACAGTGTGTGTGCAATGTGTGTACAGTGTGTGTGTGTGCAGTGCATGTACAGTCTGTGTGTACAGTGTTTGTGTGTGCAGTGCGTGTACAGTGTGTGTGTGTGTGCAGTGCATGTACAGTCTGTGTGTACAGTGTGTGTGCAGTGTGTGTACAGTGTGTGAGTGTACAGTGTGTGTGCAATGTGTGTACAGTGTGTGTGTGCAGTGCATGTACAGTCTGTGTGTACAGTGTGTGTGTGTGCAGTGCGTGTACAGTGTGTGTGTGCAGTGCGTGTACAGTGTGTGTGTGCAGTGCATGTACAGTCTGTGTGTACAGTGTGTGTGTATGCAGTGCGTGTACAGTGTGTGTACAGTGCGTGTTACCCTGGAGGTCATGAACAGCAGCTTAGTCTCCATGTCCGGTGTGAGACGACAGGCTAGAAACTTCCTTGAGGTTCGAGCCGTCAGCAGCTGGAGAACACCTGAAACAGAATGGACAGTGTATAAGTGAGGGAGTTTGTCGGTAGTGTAGTTTTCAAAGTGGACTGAGAATTGTGGGTAATGTAGTGTTCACAGTGGTCTGAGGATTGTCGGTAGTGTGGTGTTACCAGTAAACTGAGGACTGAGGACTTGTGGGTTGTGCAGTAGGTCTCTCCACACCAGCTCCATCTCTGGGATCCGAGCGACATTCTGCAGCAGACGAACCAGATCTCTGCCGATGATCAGACACTCCATAAACTAGAGACACACAGAGAGGACGGTGTTATCCTTGTAACCACCAGGGGGAGCATTCCCTCCAATACACTTCTCTTTCTCCCTTACCTTCTCCCTAAGCATGCTGATGCAGAAGTCCACCTCTTTCTGGCGCAGAATCAGCAAGTTGGGCGCTCCGTGGTCGACGATGAGGCGGAGGTAGGTGTAGACAGACATCGCTATCAACATCCCGCTCTTCAACACCCACTCCCTAAAGAGGAAACATATTCAGCTGTAAAACTCCTGATGTGAATAAAACTACATGTTTGAACAGTACAGGGAACATCAGGGATTCTTGAACCGTCTGACTGAACTCTGTTTGGAAGAATCTTTGTAAAGGGAAACTTACTTTTGATCCAGCAGGATTTCCAGCACACTCTCAGCCAACCACAGGTTCTTAGTGGAGATATCACCACCTGGGTACACACACACGCACACATATATATGTAAACACATACATGGCATGATGTAAGATATTGCAGTGATAAGAGTTTGTTCTTGTGTCTGTATGAGACCTGCAATTTGTTTCTGCAGCGTCATGACAACACCGTCAGTTCCCATCACTCCACTCTTCACCAGCTCTCTGACCAGCCACACCAGCTGAAAAAAAACACATGAAACTCATCAGAAACATTAAACTCATCAGAAACATGAAACTCGTCAGAAACATTAAACTTATCATTTATAACAAACTGATTATAAACATTTGTCTTGGACTGAGATTATTTAGTCTGCACTTAACCGTTCATCCACCAGAGAGCGCTAATGAGCATATATGCATACCTGTGTGTACCTATACACATATGTTTCCTTTAAACAAAGGTGTGTGAATACCTGTGTGTTTCTATAAGCGTGTGTATCTATAAGAACGTGTATACCTGTGTGTTTCTATAAGCGTGTGTATACCTGTGTGTTTCTATAAGCGTGTGTATACCTGTGTGTTTCTACAAGCGTGTGTATACCTGTGTGTCTCTATAAGCGTGTGTATACCTGTGTGTCTCTATAAGCGTGTGTATACCTGTGTGTCTCTATAAGCGTGTGTATATACCTGTGTTTCTATAAGCGTGTGCATATACCTGTGTTTCTATAAGCGTGTGCATATACCTGTGTTTCTATAAGCGTGTGCATATACCTGTGTTTCTATAAGCGTGTGTATATCTGTGTGTTTCTATAAGCGTGTATATCTGTGTGTTTCTATAAGCGTGTGTATATACCTGTGTTTCTATAAGCGTGTGTATATCTGTGTGTTTCTATAAGCGTGTGTATATACCTGTGTTTCTATAAGCGTGTGTATATCTGTGTGTTTCTATAAGCGTGTGTATATACCTGTGTTTCTATAAGCGTGTGTATATCTGTGTGTTTCTATAAGCGTGTGTATATACCTGTGTTTCTATAAGCGTGTGTATATACCTGTGTTTCTATAAGCGTGTGCATATACCTGTGTTTCTATAAGCGTGTGTATATACCTGTGTTTCTATAAGCGTGTGCATATACCTGTGTTTCTATAAGCGTGTGCATATACCTGTGTTTCTATAAGCGTGTGTATATACCTGTGTTTCTATAAGCGTGTGCATATACCTGTGTTTCTATAAGCGTGTGCATATACCTGTGTTTCTATAAGCGTGTGTATATCTGTGTGTTTCTATAAGCGTGTATATCTGTGTGTTTCTATAAGCGTGTGTATATACCTGTGTTTCTATAAGCGTGTGCATATACCTGTGTTTCTATAAGCGTGTGCATATACCTGTGTTTCTATAAGCGTGTGCATATACCTGTGTTTCTATAAGCGTGTGCATATACCTGTGTTTCTATAAGCGTGTGTATATACCTGTGTTTCTATAAGCGTGTGTATATACCTGTGTTTCTATAAGCGTGTGTATATCTGTGTGTTTCTATAAGCGTATGTATACCTGTGTGTTTCTATAAGCCTGTGTTTCTATAAGCGTGTGCATATACCTGTGTTTCTATAAGTGTGTGTATATACCCTCCGTGTTTCTAAGCGTGTGTGTATACATATCTGTTCGAAACAGATGGCCTGTGTGTTGCTTTCTTGTGTGCTCACCTGTGGGATCCCTGTGCGACCTGATGAATACCTTTCTGTGATGGTTTACCTATGACTGTACATGTGTGTGCCTGTGTGCTTACCTGTGTTCTGGGGACGTCCTGTAGCTTTAAGAATTTTTCCATCAGGATCTGGTTAATCTTGACCAGAATCAAGTTCATCCCGTCTCTGCTGAGCAGCGTCAGGTCTCTGTAACACTGTAATACACACACACACACACACACACACACACACAGTGATGTCATAGTGATGTCACAGTGATGTCACACACTTATAGAGCTGTAATGGAGTCTCACCCTCTGTGCCTGAGTCGGCTCTGTGAGGACCAGTGTGAACAGACCCAGACACACCTCTTCATGCTGCTGCTGACCTTTACACACCTGTACACAGGTAAACAGGAAGTCAGAGTTTAACACCTGTATGAGCATTTATCACTTAAGTTTAACACGGTGAAACAGAGTAGGTGTAAAGCAGTTATAGTAGAACTGCAGTAGCTTCAGTATTTGTAACTTACATTGGCAGTGAGCGCGTCGTTGGCCTCCCTCTCTGACAGCCCATTGGTCAAACCCTGGACGATCCCAACACAACGCTCTAACTTCTACGCACACACAAGACACACAGGTTTATAACACACAATGACACACTGCTTTTACAAACGCATACACAAAATCATTAGCCTTATTGAATCATGTTATTGCAACAGGTCATGCAATTCCAACAGTGTGCAGTGAGTTTGTCTGCAGTTTCTAAAGGATACATTTCTCTCCTACACACCTGTGGTTTGCAATAGATGTCCTTATTTTTAGTTTCTGTGCTTTTTGATAACTTAGCGGACAGGATCCTGTGGACATGCACTAATGGAAAGATTTCAGAGTGAGGGGCTGCATTTGAAGGAGAACTTGAGCATGAGGGGGTTCGGTGATTTGCTGAAGGGCAACTCGGCAGTGCTCAGGAAGTGAACTGGCACCTCTCCAGCTACCAGACTTAGCCTGTAAAGTTATTATGTTGAGAAATGCATGTGCACCTGTCATCAACAAATCACAAGGTGTCAGACAGTTTCTACGCTGCAGTATTTTTGCATCAACTAGTAAATTTCCTCTACAGACACTTCAGGGTACACTGTTAGTAACTCATCTAAAACGTCTGTTACTAAGTCTACAGAACAATAAGGGCACTTAGTTCTATTAAGTATAAACTTCAAATACTTTGTCATCACAGATGTTCCCCCGGAAATAACATTTATACCGTTTTCAAACACTTTCACGAGGTGCCCTCTGCACAACACCGGTACCTACAGCCTGAGTCACAGCTGTGACTTCTCTTAAAGTTTTCATTAACAAAACAAGCCTCTGTCTTTCTCGGTGTGTAAATTAAGTTTATTTGTATCATTTATCAGTGACCCGCACTACTTTGGACATGTGAAAAGCCGACACGGCGCATGCGCATATCTCACTTAGGTCCCATCCATATGTTTACGCAGGACTAGCATGCTAAGCTAACTCTCAGTGAGCTGTATGGCTTCAAATCCGCTCCGTGGGGTCTGCAAGAGTCCAAAAACCCCACAAACAACCGACACATGTCCAACACTTTGGGCTCACGCCACCAGCACCATGTTTACACACACAGGAGGGCGGCTATGCTAAGCTAAACATGCTAACCGTTCTAACTAGCCTGCTAGCCTCGGTGTCTGTTCTCTCAGATGGATCCATCATGTCTCTTTGTACCCGCTGCTTGTTCTCAAACTGCTCACCCTCTGAACCCGCTCTAACAGTCTATATCCCGGGTTATGTGGGCAGTCGAACCGGGTCAGCCTACCTCCTCCAGCTCGTCTTTGGCGTCCAGCTGAGTAGACACCAGTAGCCGGCCCTGCGGCTTCGCCTTCGCCGCTGCAGGCTCCATCTGCTCCCGCCGCGCCTCGCCGGGCCCCGCGGAGCAGCGAAGGGCCGGGACTCCGGGTGAAGTGGGGAGGGTTCTGGATGTTTCTGTCCGCGTACCGGGCAGGATGGAGCTCCTGTCAGAGCGGGGGCCTCGGTGTGGCTCGGTTCTGCCGGTTCTGCGGGTCAGAGTGTGTTTTTAAACTTCTGCAGGCTCTTCTCTGTGACACTGTCCGACCACAGAAACATAACGGACATCCGCACATAGCGAGGGGGCGGGGTCTGCGGGGCCAGCTCTCCAATCACTGCCCGCCATACTCTGAGTGGCGTTTATACGGACCAATGACAGAAGAAAGAGTCTGGAGCCAATCCCCTGGCTGCAGCTCGGGTGACCTCCTGCATGGAAACTATTTAAAATGTGTTTATAAACAGAATGATCATTTATTGATGACCACGTGATTTAATTTGACGTCATAATAAAAAAGAACCTCATCTTTTCTCTCTGATAATTCCAGACCAAAAACAATAATAATTTAATTATTACAAAAAAAAATCCACATTGATTTGTTTTATTGACTTTAACTATAAGGTGTAAATGTGTACATACTGCTGTCTCTAGTTTATCTTTTATTTTCACATCATTATGAAGCAGACATCTTTATGATCATCATCAAAATATATTTTAATAAGAGAGTAAAGCTCAAAGCATGAATCAAGTTTTCACATACACAACACACAGATAATAATAATAATAATAATAACAGACAGATTATAATAATAACAGACAGATTATAATAATAATTATAATAATAATAACAGACAGATAATAATAATAATAATAACAATAACAGACAGATAATGAAGCACAAAGCTGATATTTACAACATTTTCAAATCTCAAATTATTACAGTATAACATTCATCTGTCTGGGTTTCTGCTGAAAAGAAGAACTGTCCCTTTAAATGATGTCAGAGGTAAAAATCCAATCCAATGCTGCACTCATGTGGTGTCGGACGCATTGGAAAAACAAGTTGCAACAACAACAACAACTCGGAAAAGCCAAAAAGAATGAGGTGTCCAACTTCCCGTCAGAATCGTCATCACACAAGGGACCAAATATGTTTTGTTAATGTTAACATACTTTTTATTAATTCACGTACTGCACATAAAATTTTTGCTCAAATATCACTTTTATCAGTAACTTTTCACTGATCTTCTCCGTAACATCAACGCTGTTTTTTTGCTGTTGTTACATCATTCTGACTTTCCAAACTGAAATCACGTGAACACACTGAAGTCGGAAGAACGACTTCCCAACTCAGAAAGTGGGACCACCGAGCAGCACCTGAACGCAGCATGAGACGGGGGAGGTTGTCTGACATCTGTCAATCATTTCAGCGATGATGTAACCTTTGACCTCTCCTCTCCTCCCTTTCCTCCTTCACCCCACCTACACCTTTCCTCATGCCCCCCCCCCCCCCCTCCTCACTGAGTGTCCTCCCCCAGCAGCCAGTACGTCCTCATCCGCCCCTTCCCCTTCATTTCAACCTCTCCTCTCAGCTCCAGTCTGAAGCAGCTGAACTCCTGCAGAACCTGCCAGGTCGCATTCGAGACGTGGATCTTCAGCGCTGCAGAGAGACATGAGAACAACATGTAAACAACATGTAAACAACAAGAGAACAAAATGTAAACAACATGTAAACAACAGGAGAACAACATATAAACAACAAGAGAACAACAAGAGAACAACATGTAAACAACATGAGAACAACACGAGAACAACATGTAAACAACACGAGAACAACAAGAGAACAACATATAAACAACATGTAAACAACAGGAGAACAACATATAAACAACAAGAGAACAACATCTAAACAACACGAGAACAACAAAAGAACAACATGTAAACAACACGAGAACAACATGTAAACAACACGAGAACAACACGAGAACAACATGTAAACAACACGAGAACAACATCTAAACAACACAAGAACAACAAGACAACAATATGTTAACAACATGTAAACAACACGAGAACAACAAAAGAACAACATGTAAACAACACGAGAACAACATGTAAACAACACGAGAACAACAAGAGAACAAAATGTAAACAACATGTAAACAACAGGAGAACAACAAGAGAACAACATATAAACAACAAGAGAACAACAAGAGAACAACATGTAAACAACATGAGAACAACACGAGAACAACACGAGAACAACACGAGAACAACGTGTAAAACAACACGAGAACAACATGTAAACAACACGAGAACAACAAGAGAACAACATATAAACAACATGTAAACAACAGGAGAACAACATATAAACTACAAGAGAACAACATCTAAACAACACAAGAACAACAAGACAACAATATGTTAACAACATGTAAACAACACGAGAACAACAAAAGAACAACATGTAAACAACACGAGAACAACATGTAAACAACACGAGAACAACACGAGAACAACATGTAAACAACACGAGAACAACATCTAAACAACACAAGAACAACAAGACAACAATATGTTAACAACATGTAAACAACACGAGAACAACAAAAGAACAACATGTAAACAACACGAGAACAACATGTAAACAACACGAGAACAACACGAGAACAACATGTAAACAACACGAGAACAACATGTAAACAACACAAGGACAACAAGAGAACAACATGTAAACAACACGAGAACAAGAGAACAACATGTAAACAACACGAGAAAAACATGTAAACAACACAATAACAACAAGAGAACAACATGAAAACAACACGAGAACCACATGTAAACAACACGAGAACAACAAGAGAACAAAATGTAAGCAACACGAGAACAACACGAGAACAACGTGCAAAACAACACGAGAACAACATGTAAACAACACGAGAACAACAAGAGAACAACATGTTAACACCACAAGAACAACAAGAGAACAACATGTTAACAACACGGGAACAACAAGAGAACAACATGTTAACAACATGAGAACAACATGTTAACAACACAAGAACAACAAGAGAACAACATGTTAACAACACAAGAACAACAAGAGAACAACATGTTAACAACACAAGAACAACAAGAAAACAACATGTTAACAACATGTTAACAACATGTTAACAACAAGAGAACAACATGTTAACAACACAAGAACAACATGTAAATGTGTGTGTGTCTTTTACCCTCTCCACTGGACTCCATACGTGACGCTGTGTTCACCGTGTCTCCAAACAGACAGTACCTGGGCATCTTCAGCCCAACTACACCTGCGCACACGGGACCTAAACACACACACACACACATATACACATCTGAGTGCTACATTTAACTCTTCACCAAAACGTGGCTAAATACACACACTCACTTGTTCCCATACACACACACACACACACTGACCGCTGTGTATGCCGATGCGTAGCCGCAGCTGCTGATTGGCTCGGTGTCTGATCCTGAAGCTCTGGACGGCGTCCAGCAAGGCGAGCGACATGCGGGCGATCTCCCGCGCGTGAAGCTTTGTGTTCCTCACAGGCAGCCCAGACACCACCATGTAGGCGTCGCCAATGGTCTCCACCTGGGGGCAGCACCGAGGTCATCAAACAGCTTCTACACGATTTAAAGTGACAGTAACACCAACAACAAGCTGCACATCTGTCTGAACTAAAACCTGTTCTGCTGTCAGATCACATCTCACAGGATTAGAAATATATTATCTTCTTACAATAAAATAAATATGACTGACCCTCTGCAAGTAATGGAACATCTGGAAGCTTAGCTTAGCTTAGCACACAATGTTAGCAGCAACTGTGTGCAGAGGACTGCCAAAGAGTCTTTTACCTTATAAACGTCAAAGTTGTCGATGATGGCGTCGAAACAGGTGTACAGATCGTTTAACAGCGTCACAACCTGGATGTTAAAAAACACAAGTTAATATTATCAAACACTTCCCATCAGGAAGTACAGGACACACTGAAACTTCTGTGACCTCTGAAAACACATTAGTTATAGTTAAACAGCTCAAACCACTAGAGTGTGACATTGTCCACAGAGGTGTACTGTTTGGTGGTAAAAGATTTTTTTTTTAATCCTATCTCTTTGAAGGTATTTACATAAAATGTATTATTATTATTATTATTAAAATGCTAATTAAAAAGTCTATGCAAAAGTCCAAAACAAATGCCACGACTGAAACATGCTACCAAAAGAAGTAAGTGCACAAACAGCAAACACTCTGTAAACACATCAATGATGCTAAGTAAGGAATATAAATTTAAGACAAACACAGATGATCAAGAAGAGCTCCAGTCCTGTTGGGGGCACTGTGTGCAACAATTTATAATTGGAGGGAGAGGGAGGCGTTATCAGGATTTTAGCCCGCAAAAAAACCCACACAGCCTTGAGAAATGGTGTCAGATAGACTGCTAGCTTTGCTAAGTTAGCCGACAGCTAACGGTACTGTAAGGCCTCGTAGGCCACGTAGTTTTGGTGGTGATCAGAGCTCTTTAACACAGATGATCAAGAAGAGCTCCAGTCCTGTTGGGGGCACTGTGTGCAACAATTTATAATTGGAGGGAGAGGGAGGCGTTATCAGGATTTTAGCCCGCACAAAAACCCACACAGCCTTGAGAAATGGTGTCAGATAGACTGCTAGCTTTGCTAAGTTAGCCGCACAGCTAACGGTACTGTAAGGCCCTCGTAGGCCACCGTAGTTTGGTGGTGATCAGAGCTCTTTAAAACGAAACAACCACCACGTGATGTTATCAAAGTAATACACATGTAACCACATGATACACGTTCTGCTCACGTGGTCACACTCACCTGTAGAGGTGTGCTCTCAGCCGATAGGGCGGTGAAGCCGATGATGTCACTGAAGTAGATTGTGACAGAGTCAAAAGCTTCGGCCTGAACCGTCTCACCTCGTTTCAACTGTTCCGCTACAGAACTGAAACAAACAGATTAATATAGTTTATATATAGATGTATATTTATAGATGTGTATATGAACTGTATGTGTATATTTACTGGACATGTATATGTACTGGATGTGTAAATGTACTGGATGTGTATATGTACTGGATGTTTGTATTTACTGGATGTGTATATTTATTGGATGTGTATCTACTGTACTGGATGTGTATATGTATTGGATGTGTATATGTACTGGATGTGTATATGTACTGTATGTGTATATTTACTGGATATGTATCTACTGTACTGGATGTGTATATGTACTGGATGTGTATATGTACTGAATGTGTATATGTACTGGATGTGTATATGTACTGGATGTGTATATTTACTGTATGTGTATCTACTGTACTGGATGTGTATATGTACTGGATGTGTATATGTACTGAATGTGTATATTTACTGGATGCGTATATGTACTGGATGTGTATCTACTGTACCTGATGTGTATATGTACTTGATGTGTATATTTACTGGATGGGTATATGAACTGGATGTGTATATGTACTGGATGTGTATATTTATTGGATGTGTATATGTACTGGATGTGTATATGTACTGGATGTGTATATTTATTGGATGTGTATATGTACTGGATGTGTATATGTACTGGATGTGTATATGTACTGGATGTGTATATTTACTGGATGTGTATATGTACTGGATGTGTATATGTACTGGATGTGTATATTTACTGGATGTTTGTATTTACTGGATGTGTATATGTACTGGATGTGTATATGTACTGGATGTGTATATTTACTGGATGTATATATGTACTGGATGTGTATATTTACTGGATGTGTATATTACTGGATGTGTATATTTACTGGATGTGTATATGTACTGGATGTGTATATTTACTGGATGTATATATTTACTGGATGTGTATATGTACTGGATGTGTATATGTACTGGATATGTATATGTACTGGATGTGTATATGTACTGGATGTGTATATGTATTGGATGTGTATATGTACTGGATGTGTATATGTACTGGATGTGTACACGTACTGGATGTGTATATTTACTGGATGTGTATATGTACTGGATATGTATACGTACTGGATGTGTATATTTACAGGATGTGTATATGTACTGGATATGTATATTTACTGGATGTGTACAGTATATGTAATGGATGTGTGTATTTACTGGATGTGTATATTTACTGGATATGTATATTTACTGGATGTGTATATGTACTGGATATGTATATTTACTGGATGTGTACAGTATATGTAATGGATGTGTATATTTACTGGATGTCGATATGTACTGGATGTGTATATTTACTGGATATGTATTTTTACTGGATGTGTATATGTACTGGATGTGTGAATTAACTGGATGTGTATATGTACTCGATGTCTGTATGTACTGGATGTGTATATTTACTGGATGTGTGTTTTTACTGGATGTGTGTATGTACTGGTTGTGTGAATTTACTGGATGTGTATATTTACTAGATGTGTATATGTACTAGATGTCTGTATGTACTGGATGTGTATATTTACTAGATGTGTATATGTACTGGATGTGTGTATTTACTGGGGTAGTATCTGGTAGAGCAGATTCTCTGCTTTGCGTTTCTCCTCGTGGTACGCCTGAGTTCTCTCTTCCACAAGCTCCTCCAGGTTGTTGGCGTACTGCTCCATACGAGATAGCAGGTTATCCAGGATGTTAGAGCCATAACCCCTGGACACGCAGGCAGACAGGCAGGCAGACAGGCAGGCAGACAGACAGACAGACAGACAGACAGACAGACAGACAGACACACACACACACACACACACACACACAGACAGAGAGACAGACATACAGACACACACACACACACACACACACACACACACACACACACACAGACAGACAGACAGAAAGACACACAGACAGACAGACAAGCAGACAGACAGCCAGACAGACAGACAGACAGCCAGACAGACAGGCAGGCAGGCAGGCAGGCAGGCAGGCAGACAGACAGACAGACAGACAGACAGACAGACAGGGGTGAGGGAAGACAGCAGTAAGTAACTAAACTAACACAACAGACTAAAAGTGGGTTTGGTCTTCATGACATCATCCGTTTGCAGATTTACTGTTAGTTGAAAGCTAGCAGAAAGCTAATTCAGCTCTAAAACTAAAGTCGTACTTTTTGTGAGTTACTTTCAGTTGAAACACGTTGCCCCCCGCCCCGCCCCACACCCACCTGTGTTGTTTCCTCAGCAGGATCTTGATTGTGTTGAAGTCCGGTCTTTCACTCGGCTCTTCACTCCAGCAGCGCTGCATCAGGACGCTGAGCTCCTCGCTGTGACTGTGGAGGCAGAGAGAAGGACGGAAGGGGGGGGCACCGCCGTGACGCACCGCCTGAACAATCTCTGAGGGGTTGGATGGTGGGGTGTGGGGGTCATGTTTAAAACTTTTGGTCAGGATACCTGATGATGATGTATACACCCAAGTGTGTGCACATATTCACACAGGGTGCATGTGTGAAGTTGTGTACGTGTTCACACATTGGGTGCGTCTGAATTGTCTTTTTAGGTTCCTAACGAGTGAAATGACCCCGAAGCATTTCAGTGGCGGCCATGATAAGCGCTGTTTCAATTCTCTAAATGCTAAGGAAAGGTGGGTCAATGCTTCCTTTATAACCTCCTTTAGCATAGGATACACTGGACCAAGGGGACCTTTGGTAGCCGACCCACAATTCGCGCATCCGACCGTTCACAAAAACTAACGATGATCGTAAAGTGAAACAGATCATATAAGGGACATTTTTATCCAGATGATGTTTTATTCAACATATTTCATTCACTTAAGAATGGTTTGGGCAGTTCTACATTTGTATAAAACATTCTGTATATCTTTCATAAATATAACAATTAATTTGATACATTAATATTTATTCTGATGTTGATTTCTGAGTGGACAGGAAGGTGATGGTTTTACTTTTCTTACTCGGAGCCTGGTAGTCTATATGCCTTTTATTTCACTTCCTTGTGGTAATTAGGATTATTTCACCAGTAAGAAGGCACAGGGGAAAGTTCTTTAGATGCGCTTTTTGTAGTCCATCTTTAGAACATTGTAGTTTCACCACGGCAGACCCACGTCATTAACCTCCGCTGTGGTCGGATTGTCAGAGCAACGCGAACGCCGTTCCCTAAGTCCTTTATGAATTCTCCTAACATCTTTCCTTAACCTCATGACGTTTTCCCCGGGGTTAAGGTGAAGAGGATAGTGAAAGGGGATAGGAGGGACAATCCAGATGCACCAAGTGTTTCGGACAGAGAGCTGCTGACAGGGTGCAGCTCATGCCCTTCACCAGCAGAGGGCTCTTAAACACTGATCTCTAAACGTATAGCTGCCACTGAACCGGTTTACTGTGTAGTTATTTTTCAGTGTTTCACATGTTGAACAGCGCCATGCCCCCTTTAAGGGTCACAGTCCTTACATTATGACTTTTATTAACCCAGATAAACTAAATAAAATCATATATTATTAATGAGCTGAATGGAACACAAACAGAGTCATGGTGTGTGTGTGTGTGTGTGTGTTTTAATGTAATTATTGTTGTTATTATTATTATTCATGTCGTTGTTGTTTACAGTTTTACACACAAACAAACACACAGACAGACCTTTGGGAGTCATGGTGTGTGTGTCCAGGTAGAAGACTCCTCTGAGCAGGGCGACCTCCTGCAGGATGATCCCGAAGCTGTAAACGTCTCCTCTCTGAGTCCCACAGGGTGAGGGACACTCTGTCCTCAGCAGCTCCGGAGACGTCCAAAGTTTACCTGCACGAAATGTACACCTGTGTCAATGTATGTGTGTGTGTGTATGTGTGTGTGGGTATGTGTGTGCATGTGGGTATGTGTGTGTGTGTCTGGTGTGTCTTACGGGCATAGTAGGCGTGTGTGTCTTCGTGGTAGCTGCTGGTCCTCAGACTTTGCAGGCCATAGTCTGTGATCTTCAGCACAAAGCGACTGTCCACCACACAGTTAGATGACTTCAGGTTGCCATGGGAGACGATGACACTGTTGTGAAGGAACAACATGCCCTGATGACACAAACATACAAAAATAAACAATGATAAAAGATTAAAAACAACATTTTTTATTGTTTGTTCAGAGAGAGTATGGGGATTGGTATCCTTAAATGACTTATTTCCCTGATTTACAACTCTATCCACTATCCTATCCCTACAATAAAGGCACAAAAAGCCCAAAAATAAATCTTTTGAAAAAAAAAATATATATATATATTTTTTTACTTGACCTCCAAGGGGGGCAGGCTGCCCAACTAATATAATGGAATATCCTGTTGCAAAACGATGCAGAAAAACCAGTTCATCATGAGTCTGGTACTGATCCAGGTTTCTGCCTGTTCAACATGAGTCTGGTTGACACACACACACACACACACACACACACACACACACACACACAGCGTCAGGGCCGTTACCTTGACGATGTCATTGATGAGAGAGTATCTGAACATCCAATCCAGAGTGATGCTGTCACTCTCCATCAGGTCCTGGAAGATTTACACACACACACACACACACACACACACACACACACACACACACACGTACACGTACACGTACACGTACACACCCAGAGGCACAGACACACACACACACACACACACACACACACACACACACACACACACACACACACACACACACACACACACACACACACACACACACACACACACACACACACACACACACACACACATCATTATGACATCAGTGCATATCTCACTTTGGAAGTTATGAAAATAAACATCCTGTTAATCCTTCTGCAGCACTGAAAAAAATTTAAACATGTGACAAACAAACTAAAATGAATGTGTGTGAAATAAAAACAGAACATGCTATGTTGAAGAGCTGGCTTCTCTGACAACAATGTAGCAGCCAGTATGTCCTCTTTCTAACTTTAGATTCTGGTCCTGAATGCTCTGGATTTGTTTGGACCAGAGAAGGTAGACGGTGTTAAGGCACCCCCACACGGCTGTTTTGGACACCCCTCGGTTTGCCAGATATGAGACCAGTTATCAGGTCAAACCAACAGGTGTTACAGTGATGGAAGCGGTCTAGAGAACTGGTTCAGATAGAAGTGATTGTACCCGACCTAAAAAGCCTCTGCATGTTTCTAATAAGCTCCACGAGCAGAAACGTGCTCAAACTAGGATCAATATTGGAGATGCTTTTGAAAAATGGAGAGAGGTTAGAACACAGAAAGGTTTACAGACCGATGCAGAGCTGGCTAAACACTGAAGCTTCAGTATCCACCACATGGCAACCTGCGTGAGCATCGAGTCTAGAGAGGAGGGGGCGGGGGGAGACAGCTCTCTACAATGTTTAGAATCTGAACTGCAGTACCCATTTTAAACACTAGGGGTCAGAGTTACATACTGCTCCTTTAATATGGTCATAATGTTATCAGTATAATTGATGTATTTATATAAGTATATTAATGTGGTCTTATTGTCATTAGTTATTGAAGAACCTTTTTATCTCGGTGATGTTGAACTCTCCTGAGGTTGTTTCTTCCTCTTTCTTTTCTGACATTTTGGAGATACAACAGCCATCTGGCAAAAACCCAAACACCACTCCGCCCACGTCCACCTACAGCAGGCTGACTTGTCTACAAGTTGCTAGGTTACCGGGCTGGGGGTTGCTAGGTTACAGTGCTGACAAGTAAGTATAACTGAGAGGTGAAGAGAACATGTGATGTATGAAGGAATGCTGGAGGACTGATGGAGACACACGAAGCTGATAGACGGCTGATCACTACAGGAGCTGGAGCGTGGTCAGAGAGTGAGGTGTGAGAGAGGACTGATGGAGGGGTACAGGGGGGCTGAAGAGGGGTATAAAGCTATGATGTGAAGTCAAATCAGCCAGAGGCGGTTAATAAATGACTATAGAGGGTCAATATCACGTTGGAATAGAAGGTATATAGAGGGGCAGATAGGGGAAATATAGAGGGGAAATAAAGGGTTGATATAGAGGCGCAGACAGAGAGTTAACATTTTGATAGAGGGGCTGATAGAAGGTTGATGAAGGCGTTGAAAGTAGGCAGATAGAGGGTATATTAGAGGTCTGGTAGAGTATAGTGTTGATAGGGGGGCTGACAGAGGGTACATCGAGGAGTACATTGATAGAGGGGTTATACTGGCTCGTAGGGGGTTAAGAGGTGTGTGTACCTGCAGGCTGCCTCTGGGACAGTACTCGGTGATGATGCACATATTGGTTGGGTCAATGCAGGCGCCAATGAAGCGGGTCAGGTGCTCATTCTGAACATCTCTCATCTGTAAGAGTTCAGATACTGCTGGTTAGAAAAACATCAAAACCTCCAGAATCCCTAAAAAAAGGCACTGCACGGTTTGAGAGTCTATACGAAGGAAGAGTCACATCCACCAAGACCATGAACCTCCCCAAACCTGGGCGCTGACGCCCCGCCAAGGAGGCACACTGCAGGTCAGCATTCAGGTGGGCTGGTAACTCTTTAGGCTGTTGGCTTCTAGGGAGTTACTTAATCAACAGAGAGGTGGAGGCTGTGATTGGCTGTAACCACAGAGAGGGTGGATTCTTTGATTGGTGGAGAACTGAGTCTTACATGTTTGAGTTCAAACAGAACGCTTCTGGTCAGTTCGATTCGTTTCTTGTTGATGTACTTGATGGCTGCCAGGTTTCCCTGAGGGAGACACAATAAGAAGGGTTACCTTTTTATTAATTACACCATCACATGACAGCTGTGATCAGACAGTGTGCTGCTGTCAGACCTTATAGTATCCAGTTTTAGTGTAGATCTGGAAGTTTCCCTCCATGGTCATCAGAGAGCCGCAGTTTGATCCTTTCTGCAGAGAATCGGGAGGAACTGGTCATTCTATGTGTGTGTGTGTGTGTGTGTGTGTGTGTGTGTGTGTGTGTGTGTGTGTGTGTGTGTGTGTGTGTGTGTGTGTGTGTGTGTGTGTGTGTGTGTGTATGTGTGTGAGTGCATTACCAGAGACATGGTGAGTCTGCTGCAGGCTCTCCTCAGGACCTTCTCCAGGTCCCTCATCTGGACGTCGTCCCAGGAAACCCTCCACAGCTGAGCCGCCAGCTCGCTCTCCAGCTTCAGCTTCCTGTGTGTGAGGGAAGTGTGTTTTTGAGTGATGATGAAGATGGATGAGCAAGATATCAACTGACAGAGAGTGAAGCAAAGACTGACAGAGAAAGAGTGTGAGACAGACAGAGAATGAGACAGGGGCTGGCAGAGAGTGAGACAGACAGACAGACAGACATAGAGTGAGACGGGCTGTCAGAGAGTGAGACAGACAGACATAGAGTGAGACAGCCAGAGAGTGATACAGGGGCTGAAATAGAGTGATACATGGGACAACAAAGAGTGAGACAGACATACAGGGAGTGAGACAGGGGTCAGCAGAGAGTGAGACAGACAGACAAATAGAGAGTGAGGCAGGGGCCGACATAGAGTGAGACAGACAGACAGAGAGTGAGACATGAGTCGACAGGGAGTGAGGCAGGGGCCGACAGAGAGTGAGACAGACATAGAACAAGACATGGGCCATAAGAGAGTGAGACAGACAGATAGCGAGAAAGGGGCAGACCGAGAGTGAGACATACAAAGAGTGAGACAGAGGCTGACAGAGAGTGAGACAGGGGCCAATAGAGAGTGATACATACCGAGAGTGAGACAGGGGCCGACAGAGATTGAGACAGGTGCAGACAGAGAGCGAGACAGGGCCGACAGAGAGTGAGACAGACAGAGAGTGAGACAGGGTCCGACAGAGAGTGAGACAGACAGAGAGTGAGACAGGGGCCGACAGAGATTGAGACAGGTGCAGACAGAGAGCGAGACAGGGCTGACAGAGAGTGAGACAGACAGAGAGTGAGACAGAGGCCGACTGAGAGTGAAATGGGAGAATCTGCGTTGATCAATCTTTGATAATCGACAGACGCAGGTTGTCATGGAGATGAACATGTAACCTGTCCTTACCTATAGATGAACACTGTCACGGTTACAATGATGACAAAGACGAAGCAGATCACTATGGCAACCATCTGATGCATTGATACTGTACCTGGAGAGGAAGAGAGAAAACTGTTTGTGTGTGTGTGTGTGTGTGTTTGTATATGTGTGTGTGTGTGTGTGTGTGTGTACGTGTGTGTACGTGTGTGGTGTGTCTTTGTGGGTGTGTTCATACGGGAGAGGCAGGCTGGGTTGTCATTCTTGAAGCCACACTCTGGGATGTCTGCAGGTGTCTCTCCACCGGGCCACTGGAAGCTCCGCCCACTCTGCATGACCAGTTGTTTCACACTGCTGTTATACAAACACACCACCTGCACACACACACACACACACACACACACACACTCACAGTTTTACTTTTACCTATTAACAAGGTGTGTTCAGGGGAAGTGATCCTTTGAAACCACAGCTGAGTGACATCATGATGGCGACATCATGGTGATGACATTGCAAGTCTTACCTGAAACTCTCCAGAATCGACATCTGTCATGTCCCACACAGCAAAGTCCACCTGTCGGTCTCCGAACTCATCCATCTCCACCGAACCTGTCACTCCTGCACACATGCAAACACACACCCACACACACACACACACACACACACCCACCCACCCACACACACACACACACACACTCTCTTAAAATAGCGGACTTCCTGTTAGGATTTTGTCATGATAAAAAACAGGCAGGGGCTTTATTTTAAGCAAATTTTGAGGATGCTAACATGATGCACATGTCACACCCAAATTGAATGACTTGTTTAGCATGTTTAGCCACTCAAGCGTATATAATAATAAAACTTATTTTTTTATTAATAATAATAATAATAATAATAATAATAATAATAATGATAATATAATAATAATAACCCTAAGGATTTCAATGGAGCCACTCAGCGCTCGGCCCCTCATCATCAGGTTTAGTGAACAAAGCTTCCTTTCCATCTTTTTCCTCCCCCCCCCCCCCCCCCCCCCCCCTCTGACGCACATGCTCAGTGATTGATTACCACTGACTTTGTCGCTCTGTGTGTGCCTGTGTGTGTCTGTCTGAGTTGATTGATAACAGCAGTCCCATCTAATTCAACTCCACAGTGTCTTCTTCTTCTCTGCCTCTGATTACATTTATTTATTTATATGTGACATTATTTTGTAAAAAAGGTTGGTTGATATAATAGAAAACTACTACAAGAACTACAGGAACTACCTAACGTATCCCGTGGTCCACCCCCCCCTACCCTCTGTAGAGGGCGCTGTCCATGTTCCCCTTGCTCCTAGCTCCTCCCTCTTTGACATAGGTTTCCGTTGTTTTTTGTGCAGTTTAGACAGCGTGCATTTGTTTGCTGCATCTGTTAATGAAAATCAGTCACTGAACTGACATTGTGTTATTGATGATAAATCAGGTGACAAAAAAGTGGACGGAGTCAGAGCTTCAGGTGCTGCGTCACAAACACACATGGATCAAACTTTGATCAGCTTTTGGTTGAGGGTGTCTGACTTTGTTGTTTAGTTTTTGCTGACTCATCACTCTCTCTGACCTTTGACCCCGGTGATGACATGGGCTTCCTGCAGCAGGAAGCACAACTGATTTTTCACAATAAAGCTGAGGCTGTTTTCAGTACAGCAGTTTGTGTCAAGCTGACCAATCAGAGATCGAGGTGGGTGTGATGTCACATTGTCCCTTTGTGTGTTTTTGTTAAGTATCTGATCATGTTTATATTCATGACGTGTTATGAAGTATTTTATAAACACGATATCATTAATGTTTGACAGTAAACAAACAGATCGTCACCATGGATACAAACAGCTGACACATGTGTCATGTGACCCAACTGAGCTGATACCATACACAATGTATTTTATCGCTTTATATTTATAATGTAAATTTAAACACATTATATTATAATGTTACACACACACAAACACACAGCCAGCCACACACACACACTCAGCTGTGTGCGTCTGATCTCATTAGACGTCTCTCCAGCTGAGTCTTACTGTTGGCGTTTCACTTCCTCTGATGGATGGACACTTCCTGTTTGTTTTTACACACCTGAACCCCCCATCCCTCTAACACACACACACACACAGACACGCACACTCAATCTGAAAATTGCTTTTTATTTTAGTAATAAATCTTCTCTGTGTTACCGTGACAATGTTGTGACCCCCCTCCCCCCGCTACTGTCCGTCCTGCTCTGTGGACATCAGTCTTCTGTCAACAACAGAGAGGAGACAGGAAGTGAGGAGTGTTCAGCCAGGAGGGGACCCCCCTGTCCTGTGTTTGTGTGTGTGTGTGTGTGTGTGTGTGTGTGTGTCTCTGAGAGTTGGACAGCCTCACTCTGTGCTCAGTATTTGTCTTTAAATGTTTCTCAGACTGAAACAACACAGTTTATTTTCCAGACAGTTTAAAACAACAAGAGCTGCTGATGGACCGAGACGTTCAGGGGGAGACGTTCAGAGAGAGAGACGTTCAGAGAGAGACGTTCAGAGAGAGACGTTCAGGGGGAGACGTTCAGAGAGAGACGTTCAGAGAGAGACGTTCAGAGAGAGACGTTCAGAGAGAGATTTCAGAAAGAGACGTTCAGAGAGAGACGTTCAGAGAGAGACGTTCAGGGGGAGACGTTCAGAGAGAGACGTTCGAAGAGAGAGACGTTCGAAGAGAGAGACGTTCAGGGGGAGACGTTCAGGGGGAGACGTTCAGAGAGAGACGTTCAGAAAGAGACGCTCAAAGAGAGACGTTCAGAGAGAGACATTCAGAGAGAGACGTTCAGAGATAGACATTTAGAGAGAGAGACGTTCAGAGAGAAACGTTCAGAGAGAGACGCTCAAAGACAGACGTTCAGAGAGAGACATTCAGAGAGAGACGTTCAGAGAGAGACGCTCAAAGAGAGACGTTCAGAGAGACGTTCAGAGAGAGAGATGTTCAGAGAGAGACACTCAGAGAGAGACACTCAGAGAGAGACATTCAGAGAGAGAGACACTCAGAGAGAGACATTCAGAGAGAGAGATGTTCAGAGAGAGACACTCAGAGAGAGACACTCAGAGAGAGACATTCAGAGAGAGAGACACTCAGAGAGAGACATTCAGAGAGAGAGATGTTCAGAGAGAGACACTCAGAGAGAGACACTCAGAGAGAGACACTCAGAGAGAGACATTCAGAGAGAGAGACACTCAGAGAGAGACATTCAGAGAGAGAGATGTTCAGAGAGAGACACTCAGAGAGAGACATTCAGAGAGAGAGACACTCAGAGAGAGACATTCAGAGAGAGAGATGTTCAGAGAGAGACACTCAGAGAGAGACACTCAGAGAGAGACACTCAGAGAGAGACATTCAGAGAGAGAGACGTTCAGAGAGAGACACTCAGAGAGAGACATTCAGAGAGAGACACTCAGAGAGAGAGACACTCAGAGAGAGACACTCAGAGAGAGACATTCAGAGAGAGACATTCAGAGAGAGACACTCAGAGAGACACACTCAGAGAGAGACACTCAGAGAGAGACATTCAGAGAGAGAGATGTTCAGAGAGAGACACTCAGAGAGAGACATTCAGAGAGAGACACTCAGAGAGAGACACTCAGAGAGACACACTCAGAGAGAGACATTCAGAGAGAGAGACGTTCAGAGAGAGACACTCAGAGAGAGACACTCAGAGATAGACATTCAGCGAGAGACGCTCAGAGAGAGACACTCAGAGAGAGACGCTCAGAGAGAGACACTCAGAGAGAGACACTCAGAGAGAGACATTCAGAGAGAGAGACGTTCAGAGAGAGACACTCAGAGAGAGACATTCAGAGAGAGACACTCAGAGAGAGAGACGCTCAGAGAGAGACATTCAGAGAGAGACATTCAGAGAGAGAGACATTCAGAGAGAGACATTCAGAGAGAGAGATGTTCAGAGAGAGACACTCAGAGAGAGACATTCAGAGAGAGAGAGATGTTCAGAGAGAGACACTCAGAGAGAGACACTCAGAGAGAGACATTCAGAGAGAGACACTCAGAGAGAGACACTCAGAGAGAGACATTCAGAGAGAGACATTCAGAGAGAGACACTCAGAGAGAGACACTCAGAGAGACACACTCAGAGAGAGACATTCAGAGATAGACATTTAGAGAGAGAGACGCTCAGAGAGAGACGCTCAAAGAGAGACGTTCAGAGATAGACGTTCAGAGAGAGACATTCAGCGAGAGACATTCAGAGAGAGACATTCAGAGAGAGACACTCAGAGAGACACACTCAGAGAGAGACACTCAGAGAGAGACATTCAGAGAGAGAGATGTTCAGAGAGAGACACTCAGAGAGAGACATTCAGAGAGAGACACTCAGAGAGAGACACTCAGAGAGACACACTCAGAGAGAGACATTCAGAGAGAGACGTTCAGAGAGAGACACTCAGAGAGAGACACTCAGAGATAGACATTCAGCGAGAGACGCTCAGAGAGAGACACTCAGAGAGAGACGCTCAGAGAGAGACACTCAGAGAGAGACACTCAGAGAGAGACATTCAGAGAGAGAGACGTTCAGAGAGAGACACTCAGAGAGAGACATTCAGAGAGAGACACTCAGAGAGAGAGACGCTCAGAGAGAGACATTCAGAGAGAGACATTCAGAGAGAGAGACATTCAGAGAGAGACATTCAGAGAGAGAGATGTTCAGAGAGAGACACTCAGAGAGAGACATTCAGAGAGAGAGAGATGTTCAGAGAGAGACACTCAGAGAGAGACACTCAGAGAGAGACATTCAGAGAGAGACACTCAGAGAGAGACACTCAGAGAGAGACATTCAGAGAGAGACATTCAGAGAGAGACACTCAGAGAGAGACACTCAGAGAGACACACTCAGAGAGAGACATTCAGAGATAGACATTTAGAGAGAGAGACGCTCAGAGAGAGACGCTCAAAGAGAGACGTTCAGAGATAGACGTTCAGAGAGAGACATTCAGCGAGAGACGCTCAGAGAGAGACACTCAGAGAGAGACGCTCAGAGAGAGACGCTCAGAGAGAGACACTCAGAGAGAGACACTCAGAGAGAGACATTCAGAGAGAGACACTCAGAGAGAGACATTCTGACGACTGACTAAAGAAATACCCAAAAGTAAAAGTAAAGTTCTGTATGTTGTGCATGTTGTTTCTATTCCACGGTCCACAGAAACAAAGCAAAGTCTCTGAGTGTTCATCAGGTGTGTATCTGAACTCCCTAAATCCTTTCTCAGCTCCATCAACACACCCCGCCCATTAACTAATAAGCCCTGACCGACCAATCAGGAGCCCCCGAGCTATGTGAACTGTCCTTTCTTTTGTTTTTTTCTACTGGACACACACACACACACGCACATGTTCTCACAGCTGTAGTGTGTGTCAGCAGGGAGTTAGCATGTTAGCTGGGAACATGAAGACAGGACGCCTGAGACTCAAACCAAGGACCAGGACAGGAAACCCACAGTAACCCTGCTCCCAGACAGAAAGACACACACACACACACACACACACACACACACACACACACACACACACACACACACACACACAGACACACACACACACACACACACACACACACACACACACACACACACACACACTCACACACACACACACAGACACACACACACAGACACACACACGCGCTCACACACACGCACACACACTCACACACACTCACACACACACTCAACAGACTAATGAGAAAGATGGGAACAAACTCTGTTCTCACCTTGGAAGGTTCTGTTCCACATCCTCTGAGTCACAGAGTCTCCTCTGGGCCTCCACACTTCTCCAGGTTCTGGTCCAGATGCCAGTCTGTGCTCGCTCAGCGTCTCGTTCAGAGCCTGAGAGTACATCATCACGCCGTCATGGAAACCTGCAGCGATCAGGTTATACTGACACAGAGAGACAGATCAGCCGATTAACCTCAGAGGTCTGTGTGATTGATGTCACATGATCGGGGTTGATTATTGAATCACATAAATAATCCCCCCCTTTTCATTGTATTTACAGAGTACGACTGATATGATTTTAGAATATTAAACTAGTAAAAATCCAACATAATGAAATTGGTTTGATAAAGAGAATCTCTAGACACACAATGTTGGACAATTTAATGACCACAATCATTTTTTTTGCACACACATGTTGCATGACAGTGCACCCTCTCTTTCCCTTGCAGCAGCTTTTGGTTGAATTGCACAGAAACATCGGCAAATGTTGACCTTGAAATGCAGTCTCTCACGCACCTGAACTACCAAGTAGATGTAGTTTATCTGAAAGCATCATCATTATGTTCTGAAACACGCGATATCATAAAAGACAACAGAATCATCAGTATGACATCACAGTGAGCATGCTCAGTACCACAGAGTCTGACACGTTGAAGTTGAACATCTTCTTTGCGTCGTCCTTCAGAGTCTCAACAAACTGAAGATACTCCGGATTCTCAGGCTCCAGGTACGTCAGCACCTTCACACTCTGACACACAGACAGGAGGAGACAGACAGACAGACAGACAGACAGACAGACAGACAGACAGACAGGCAGACAGGCAGGCAGGCAGGCAGGCAGACAGGCAGAGAGACAGACAGACAGACAGATAAGCAGAGAGACAGGCAGGCAGGCAGACAGGCAGAGAGACAGACAGACAGACAGACAGATAAGCAGACAGACAGACAGACAGACAGGTGAGGTATTATAATATTTGAAATAAACAAAATATACTAGTGATGATGAAATGATAAGCACTCAGTGAAGAAATCCCATTTATGTCCCTTTGCCCAGCTGATAAGTTACATCACCTACCATGTGGCCCTTAGTTACCATGGCAACCCAAACAGCGATGCCACCTTTACAACACCGTTACTAGCTCCCATACCATGTAGTCTGATGGGCAGCCAGAGCAGGGCATCACCGAGACAGTGAGGTCCAGCTTCTCAGAACCCCCCCCCCCCCCCCCCCTCCATGCTGGCTTTCACCCCCCACACTCCCAAACCCCCCGCCTTCCCCTTACGCTACCATTTTCATGAGAGAACAGTGGGAAATAAGGAGATGGCCGCTTTTTCCTGTCCTCTTGTTTTGGTCCCCAACTGACATTCTCCTAATCCAAATCCACTGACTACATCCCAATTCTACCCTTGCTAATGAGCTTCTGCTGCCATATCAGCATGTCTATAGCTGTTCACAGGCGTCCTCTACAGAGTCCTCCCAGAGCCTCATCAGTTCTAAAAAACAAACTAACCTCTGACTCAGAGAGCATGACACTTTGTCGGGCTTCAGGTTACTGCTAACTGTTTCCTGGAACAAATATTCAGACTGACTGAGATGGTTAACTGATTGATTTCAGGATGATGCCTGCAGGTCCTGTTGTTGTCTCACCCTAAAGGCGCGGCGGGCAGCAAAGTCGTCCTTGTCTCCTCTGTACCACGGCCTGACCTGGCTCCGTCCCCCCAAACTCTCAGCGAATAGATCGATGTAGAAGAAGACGTATTCCTCCATCTTGACCCCCTCATTCCAGAAGTGAAGCATCAGAGTCCTGAGGATGTCCGGTGAGCAGCACAGGTACACCACTAAAGAAGAACACACACATTATTCTGACTGTAACATGATCTGTCACTCTATGATGATGTCATCGCTCTGCATGTCTGTCACCATGGTGATTATCACTGAACCCTTCCCTCTCCTGTAATTGTCTCCAACACTGTTTGACCTTCATCATATCGTGACGACCACGATGAAGACTATCATCATCATAACTGAAACTAACCTGTTGCCAAGCAACCCAGGTATTCTGTTCCACTCTGTAACATTGTTTGGTTCCATGGTTACCACAAAGCAGTTTATCATGAATCTGTATGAATTATGTAAAAAAGTGAAATCAGAGTGTTGTGATGTCATAAACTCAAACCTCCTGCTGAGGCGGGGTGATACACTGAGTGAAAAGTCTCAGTGATGGTCTACTTCATATCTGCACTCATTCAAAGTCTCTCGTTCCAATCAGATTTCTCACTCAGAACTAACCGTTGTATAATTCAGTATATTTGGTGATTATCGTTCTGCTCCCGAACGTTCTGTGCTGCTTATAACGTTTGTTCTTTTTTGTCTCAGTGGAGTTTCCAGCAGCAACAGATGGCCTCACTTAGAGGATGACAGATGAAATTAGTGTGTTTGTGTGCGTACGTGTGCGTGCGTGCGTGTGTGTGTGTGTGTAAAATGACTTGCCCAAGTGTCTTGCCCAAGGACACATTGACATGCAGGAGCTGGATATCAAACCTCGACCTTCCAGTTAACAGAAGACCGACATTACCACTGATCCACAGCCACCCTCTGTGTGTGTTACAGTAGCTGTTTCAACACAGACCCCTTTAAACTCTAATGTTAAGTGTTAATTGTTAAGTGTATTATACTATAATATACTAATACTATCACTCTGCCACACACACACACACACACACACACACACACACACACACACACACACACACACACACACACACACACACACACACACACACACACACACACACACACACACACTAATTCAGTAACTTCTGAAGCTAAAAGTAAAATAATAATTAACATCAGTTAACAAGGAGCCACAGCAGGAGGAGGGAGGTGAAGAGAAGGACAGGAGGGAGGGAGAAAAGGAAGGAGTGAAGGAGGAAACGTTGATTAAACGAGGAACAATAAGAAAGATGAAAAAACTAAAGTAGGACGGAGTGAAAGAAAAAAGAAGGATGAGGAGTAGAAGGAGGAAACAAAGAAAGGAAGGAGCAGTGAGCAGGGAACAGGGTGTGAAGGGAGCTCTGACCTCGGCCATGGTCGCGGATTTCCTGGACCACCTGTGAGTAGCTGAAGTCGGCCTCCATGGCGTGGTCTCGAATGGTCACATTGTGTTTTCCCAGCAACGTGTATAGCCCCTCTACTGTGAAGTAGCACGGACGGTCATCGTTGGCGTCCTTGTGGTCCGTGTAGACAAGCATGGCGTGCCGCCGCCAGCCGAACATCTCCCCGATTCTCACACCCAGCTCGCCCAGCTTCTTGTGGGTGGGGCCGACGTTGGTGACCGCAGAGTACTGATCAAAGCCAATGGCACGAGCACCAGCAGTCACCATGGGAACCTCCCAGTGGGTGGTGAAGCGGGCGACGGGGGAAGAGGAGTAGTCGCAGCCTGGCCCGATGAAGGCCCAGGGGTCGTGGGCCAGTTTGAGGTCGACGGCCACAAGCGGTGCAATGGAATCGGAGCAGAAACCTTCACGGTTCTCAGAGCTGCCATAGACGAGCTGTAGCCTCAAGCCCGGCAGCAGCCAGGGGTCAGAGTTCACTCGCCGTACTGCCTGCCCAAGCGCAGGAGCCACTCGAGGCCACGCCCATGCATAGTCCGTGTTTGTCATAGGCAAGATGGCTGCCAGTGTCACATCTTGAAGGACCTCTGTGGTGTTTTCAGCAGACAGAGCTGATTGGACCAGGAGAAAGAGGAGGGATAACAGGGTGCGGTACAAATCAGACAGCATGATCAGGAGGAGGCTAACAGCCTGTCAGACGAGCTGCAGAGAAAAGGAGAGCACAGCACAGAGGTTTGATCTCAGTGTGGATCTGTTGGAGGTCCAGAAACACATCGTCTGATCCACAAACATACTCAAAGGGTTAAACGCTCCCTTTACTGCGCTGCAGAGCAAACTGCGTCTCTTTGTGTTTAAATTATTCATTATTCAGTCATTTGAGGAACACTTGTATCTTCCTCTATAAATCAGCCTCATTGTAAAAAGTGTCTAACTCACAAACAGGGGGCGCTAAGTGCCACGCACAGTGAGAGAAAACATGAGCGCCTGCTGAGAGTTGATGGTAACTGCGCCGCAGTAAGCGATGTGATGATGAAACTTTCCAGTGATCAGGAAAACACTTCCACTTCTGTATGCCTTCAAAATAAAAGCTCTGGAAATAAAGTATATTATTAATATAACCCGTGGTTCAATCAGTCTGGGGCTGTCAGCGGCTCCACACTTCATCCACATGTATGGAGACGCTTTGGATTCGTTACCATGACGACCATGTTAGTATTGTTGTTGTCCTTCAGTCATCCTTTCTCGCTCCACTCAGGGAAGAAGCTTCGTTTGAAACGATGAAACTCATCTCACATGTTTAGAGTGTGTCCTCTTGATAAAGTGTAGATATAATAGTATCTATTAGAGTTTATAATAGGAGCTGAGCTTCAGTGAGCTTTGCACAACAACAGCTGATAGAAACGTCCTTCAGACACTTTTTACATTTCAGAGATTGAAGTCTGCAGAACACTTACTGCAGGAGACAAGAAACATCAATACTTATACTTTGACACAAGTATCTGTACTTCTTCTAACATTTGAATAATGTTATACAGTATATATATATATGTTTTATGTATATACATAAAAATACAGTCTGTGTATAAACACAACATGACAGCCATCACAGTTGTTGAGCGTGATCCATTCCGGTGTCTCATTTGTCTAACAAACGGTTACAACACAACGAGCTGCCAGTTCGTCCTCTGTGTCACCTCAGAGAAAATTCAATTATTTTATCTCACACACACACACAAACACACACACACTCTACCTGCAGGTGTGTATAAGGACAGCCTGATAATCAGATATCACACTGTCACACAGAAACACACACACAAAACACAATTATGTTGAGATGGAGGACCAGCGTTGTGTTTAGAAAAGCAACACTACCTGATGTTGGTGGTACCTACGTTCTCTAAATGTACTATGGGAGGTAGAGCCTTCAGTTCAGTTATCAGGTCTGCTCGTGGTACCTACAGTCTCTAAATGTACTATGGGAGGTAGAGCCTTCAGTTATCGGGCCTGCTCGTGGTACCTACAGTCTCTAGTCTCTAAATGTACTATGGGAGGTAGAGCCTTCAGTTATCAGACCTGCTCGTGGTACCTACGGTCTCTAAATGTACTATGGGAGGTAGAGACTTCAGTTATCGGGCCTGCTCGTGGTACCTACAGTCTCTAAATGTACTATGGGAGGTAGAGCCTTCAGTTATCGGGCCTGCTCGTGGTACCTACGGTCTCTAAATGTACTATGGGAGGTAGGGCCTTCAGTTATCGGGCCTGCTCGTGGTACCTACGGTCTCTAAATGTACTATGGGAGGTAGAGCCTTCAGTTATCGGGCCTGCTCGTGGTACCTACGGTCTCTAAATGTACTATGGGAGGTAGGGCCTTCAGTTATCGGGCCTGCTCGTGGTACCTACAGTCTCTAAATGTACTATGGGAGGTAGAGCCTTCAGTTATCGGGCCTGCTCGTGGTACCTACGGTCTCTAAATGTACTATGGGAGGTAGGGCCTTCAGTTATCGGGCCTGCTCGTGGTACCTACGGTCTCTAAATGTATCAGGCCTGCTCGCGGTACCTACAGTCTCTGAATGTACTATGGCAGGTAGAGCCTTAAGTTATCAGGCCTGCTCGCGGTACCTACAGTCTCTAAATGTACTATGGGAGGTAGAGCCTACAGTTATCAGGCCCCTCTCCCCTCTCCTATGGAATCATCTACCAGTAAGGGTCCAGGAGGCAGACACACTCTAAACTTTCTTTTTTTTTAAAAGCTTATAGTTAGGGCTGGCTCAGGTGTGGACCAGTTCCTAGTTATAATGGTATAGGCTTAGCCAACACTGTAACACTGACGGCTGTAACACTGACTGCTGTACCACTGTAACACTGACAGCTGTAACACTGTAACACTGACTGCTGTACCACTGTAACACTGACAGCTGTAACACTGACAGCTGTAATACTGTAACACTGACGGCTGTAACACTGTAACACTGACGGCTGTAACACTGACAGCTGTAACACTGACTGCTGTACCACTGTAACACTGACAGCTGTAACACTGACGGCTGTAACACTGATGGCTGTAACACTGACTGCTGTACCACTGTAACACTGACGGCTGTAACACTGACAGCTGAAACACTGTAACACTGACTGCTGTACCACTGTAACACTGTAACACTGACGGCTGAAACACTGTAACACTGACTGCTGTACCACTGTAACACTGACAGCTGTAACACTGACGGCTGTAACACTGACAGCTGTAACACTGATGGCTGTAACACTGACTGCTGTAACACTGACAGCTGTAACGCTGTAACACTGACGGCTGTAACACTGACGGCTGTAACACTGACAGCTGTAACACTGACGGCTGTACCACTGTAACACTGACAGCTGTAACACTGACGGCTGTAACACTGTAACACTGACAGCTGGAACACTGATGGCTGTAACACTGACTGCTGTAACACTGACAGCTGTAACACTGATGGCTGTAACACTGACTGCTGTAACACTGACGGCTGTAACGCTGTAACACTGACGGCTGTAACACTGACAGCTGTAACACTGTAACACTGACTGCTGTACCACTGTAACACTGACAGCTGGAACACTGACAGCTGGAACACTGATGGCTGTAACACTGACTGCTGTAACATTGACGGCTGTAACACTGACGGCTGTAACACTGACGGCTGTAACAGCTGTGAGGCTCTTACAGTATTATTGTCTCATGAAGCTGTTGCCTGTCTCCTCTCAGGTGTTTTTTTTTTGCTGTCAGATAAAAACATTGTCCTGAGAGTCACTGTGATCACATTAAGCTCTCATGTATCACCGAGCAGGGACAGGTTTATAACTACTTGTTTTCATGTTGATTTATTGTCCGTGTTTTTTGGGAGTTGTTTTCAATTTCTCTTTTGTGGAATTACTATCAGTATATTTTTGTTCCCATTCCTTTATTTTGTTATGATAAAAAATAGTTCTGCATTTTTTGGGGGTTATGTTTTTATATGAGGAGTTATGACAGAAAGACTGGAGGTCAGTTAGAACATTGGTTCCCAACCAATATTTACAATGAAAACATTTCCTGGGGGACCTGGGGAGGTTCAGCTTTTCTGAATTACAAACTGGGGGGGGGGGTGGCATCCCGAAAAAAGGTTGTTGTGTGTCACTTGTATGAACGTTCTGGATTGGTTTAATATGTTTCCGATTAAAACATTAATCACACCTTCAGAAACAGGAGCTCAGACCGATGGACCATTAAAGGATCAATACATGTCATAGTTAGAATGCACAAATAATCCAAGTAACATGTTGACAGAGAGAGAGAGAGAGAGAGAGAGAGAGAAAAGTGAACAGACCGGAGAACAGCCACACAAACTTCTATTGACTCTTTATGTTTCCTGTTTGTTCTCTGATGATGACACAACTGTCAATCACAGTAAAGGTAAATCATGTTGTTTACCTGCTCTTCATTCCGCCTCCTGCAGCTCCATGTCGGGGCGAAGAAGGAAGCAGAAACAAAAGAAGAAGAAGAAGAAGAAGTAGAAGAAGAAGACGAAGAAGAAGGAGAAGCGCGGAGGATTTCAAAGTACCGAAAAGAAAAAGAAGAAAAGAAGTCAAACTGCACACGGGCACCGGAATCCGTTCACGTTACACCAGTCCTTAACCCGGGTCCGAGTGTGTTCCTGGTCTTAGCTCCGGTCTGAGACTCCGCTCTCACTGACACTCTGCGGCGGACACGCGCTCACATGCACGTACCGGGGGTAGTGGGAGGTGGGCACGGAGGCACATTATGGTGTGCTTGTGCTTGTGCGCAGATATGTCCCCCGAGAGACTGTGAAGGGAAGATTCAATTACCCTGATGACACACACACACACACACACACACACACACACACACACACACACACACACACTGATTTAAAGCAGAAGCAAAGACATTCTTATTAATTAAAACCGTTTTTATGGTCGATCGATCTGATAGTTGATTGATTATTGATCAGCTGTCAGTGTGTGTTCTGTTCAGATGCAGCGTGTGTGTGTGTGTGTGTGTGATGTGTTCAGGTGCCGCAGTGTGTTAACATAATGTTAGAGTGAGTAAAAACACCCAGAGGTTTGGTAGATCTGAATCTGAATTAGAATTCTACTTTAATCATTTTATTCATAAAACAAGCAGCAGCTCTTCGGTCTGTGTGGAGCCCCCTGGTGGCTGGGGACGGAGGGTTCTGAAAATATAACAACAGCTTTGTGTGAGCTCCACCCCAAAATCACCTGAACGTCTCACCTTCATCACTGATGCTGCCGGCGATGAGGAAGAAGTGTCATCCTCATCTTTAAAGATTGGGGCCCAGCAACAGCACTATAACTAAGTTTCACAGCCTTTGTAGGACAGATTGCATCCATAATATTGGTGTAAAATTGGTGTAGGATTGGTGTGAGATATTTGTGTAACATTGGGGAAAGATTGGTGTAAGATTGGTGAGATATTGGTGTAATATTGGTGAGATATTTGCGTTGGCTGGGAAGTGCAAAGCAAAATTACAAAATCATATTTACATTTTAAAAAGCATTTTTACATTTTATAAAGCAAAATTACAAGATGTGAAATACGTTTACAATCGCTGAGACACATTTACAAGTGGCAGAACACTTTACAATTCCCAAAACAAATTTACAAACTACAGATTCTTGACAGAAAGGGAATGTACCAAATGCAGGAAGTGACCCGGAAGTGATTGAGTGAGGGGTCATTTTTTTTGTTTTGGCAGAAAGACTTGGTGGATAATTTAATTTCAATCAATTAATCAATTTGTATGTTAGTCATATATGTATACACATAAGATTATATTAATATCTATAGGTGTCAGTTCTGGATGGAGTTATTTGCAGACCTCTGAGATGCTGAGTACTTCATACTTAAAAGTTCGAGAGACTGTCCACACAAAAAGCAAAACTGACTAATCTGGCTCAAATGAGTTCCACTAAACTGGAAAAACATCTTTCTGTCACCACAATCTCCGTATCACTCCATAACAGTCCTTCAAGTTTTTCATCAAAAACAAACAAAATGACCCCTCACTCAATCACTTCCGGGTCACTTTTTTTAATAAAATGTAAAAATGTTTTTCAAAATGTATATTTGTCTCAAATTTTGTAAAAGTACTTGTAAAAAGTTTCCCACTTGCTTTGCACTTCCCAGCCACGTACATACTGGAGTAAGATTGCAGCATTCGAAATGGCCTAACAGGCGTAAATGTCCCCCCTTGTAATGTCTGCAGGATCCATAGCATTATCAAACTGCCTTTCTCTGTGTAACTAGCTCGCTAGCTTTAGAATGCTAACTCACCCTGAGTGTGAACAGGTAGGACTGATCCCAGGGGCATCTCCAGGATTAATCTGGGCCCCATTAACTCACATTAGGCACCCTCCCCCACAGCCTGAGCTATGACTATAACTACACTTCCATGACATTATAAGCCGTTAAAAGATTTACATTAAAGTCGACAACATTTGACTCCTTCAGTGGTTTTAGATAGCACACATTTTAAAATGATAGGATCTGTTGTTTTTTTTTAAACTACACTTTATTTATAAGAGATGAGTGTGAGCGCTCACAGCTAAGTGCTTACAGAAGCATACAGTCTCATGGAGATCAAACAGATTGATGTGAGCACAGTTTATGTTTGAGACTTTAATGTTCACAATGAACCTGTACATAAAAAACTGACAATGTTATAAATAAAGTTTACATTCAGCTTCATGCAGTCTGTTAAATCAGAACTTTTCTCATGTTTAGATTCCAACATTTCCCCAGGCAGGCTTTGTGGTGGCAGCGTGTGTGTGTGTGTGTGTGTGTGTTGTTCATAAAGTTAATGAACACACACTCGACCCTCTGAGTGTGTTTTAACAGGATACACCCGGTGGACCAGGAAGTCACTTAGTTACTCACATACACGCACAAAGACACACATTGCTGCCCTCTCCGTACCTCTTCCTGGAAATGATCTCACACACACACACACTCACACACACACACACTCTCTCTCTCTCTCTCTCACACACACACACACACACACTCCCACTGTCCTGTTAATAAAAGCCCTTGCATGTTTCTGGTGTCTGACGGTAAATGTTGCACATGAACGCAGAACAGAGTGTCCAGCTGAGCGCCGTCTGTGTTCATAACATCAACAAACACAACCAGGCGCTTCTATTCTGACTCAGTGGGCCAATCAGCAGCTGAGGAGGTGGGATCTGTGGGGAACCACAGAGGTGTCAGTCAGAGCGACTGATGATGACAGTCCAAAGATGTGTTTGTGATGTTCTATGGGGCGGTTGTGGCTCAGTGGTAGAGCAGGTCGTCTCTCAATCAGAAGGTTGGAGGTTTGATTCCCAGTTCCTGTAGTCCCGTTGGAATGTCCTTGGGCAAGACACTGAAGTGTAAATGATTCCTGATGGCGTTAAGATCAATGAATGGATGAGTTCATCCTGATGGCTACTTTAAACAGCAGCCTCTGCCATGTGTGAATGTGACATGTGGTAACAAAGAGCTCTGAGAGGGCAGACGACTAGTAAAGGACTTTAAAGGACAGTCCATTAACCATTTACAGCGTACCAAGTGTTCCTCCGGTCTCTGAGGGTCAGGGTTAGGTGAGTCACCTGAAACACCTGAAGAACAACAACAGTTTGACACGTTGTCGTTATATTAAGAAATAAAAACCTAGAGAATAAACCTGAGGCTTTTGAACGATCAACAAACTCTAATGCTCATCTAAATGAGCCGCTGAGGAACAAGTTCAGGACGAGTGTTCTGGGCACATGATTAGAGGGGGCTATGGAGTATTCCCACACCCGCCTGACACATTTCACCCCGAGAGCCTCTGAAGAAGGAGAGAGTGCAGCCCCTCTGTGAGCTGAGTGGACATGAGCCCAACTATATCTATCTGATAGCTCTCCAGCTCCAGCTCCAGCTCCGGTTCTTTGCCCACCACAGAGGTGACGCTCCCATTAGTCTACGCTGCCGAGAATCAGAATCATATTTCCTTGCCAAGTAAGTAGAATAAAGAAGTAAAAGGCTATAAAACAGCAGTTCTCCTTCTGTCAAGGGACTTATATAGAGAAAGTTTAAAATATCAAAATAAAGGTATAAACCAGGCAAGTGACCTGGGTTTGAATCTGACCTGTGGCTCCTTTCAAGCATGTCTCTCGCCCTGATTTCTGACTCTATATCCAATGTTCTATCTTTACAGTAAAGGCACAAAAAAGTCCAAAGAAATCTTAATAAAAATCAAATCAAAAATAAGGTACAAATCATAAATATAAAAAGAAACAAAATTCACAAACTACATTGTAGGAGGTGTGTACTGGCTGTATAGTGTGCAGGTATGTCCATTTTTCAGGATGACTTAAGGTTTCTTAAAGTGTGCGTTAATTTAACACAAGACTTCAAGTGATGCTCTCTGACTGGGGAGCTGGAGGAAGTCTGTGTCGAGGGGGGTGGGGGGTAGAGCCAGGGCATCGTTAATGCTAAGGAGGAATATAGGTGGCCTCGGAGTCCAGGTGGTGTACAGGTCAACTCATCTCCATTATTTATAGAGCATTAGGCTCCAAGTTGTTCTCATGTGGTCCTCCTCTCGCATGTTGGTGGACTCATTCCCACCAGAGACGAGTCCAATGAGGAAGGTGTCATCCTTGAACTTGAGGAGCTTGATGGACTGGTGATTGGAAGTGCAGCTGTTGGTGTGCAGGGAGAAGATGGCACAAATCTGGAATCAGCACGCTAAGTCCTCTGTACTGTGGGTGCCTCCTGCTCTACCATCTACCAGGGCCAGTCTGTGCGTTCTGGTTTAAGTCAGTGAGTCCATCCTGTCAGGTTCGGCCTTAGTGCTGGTTCCTCTGATCTGACATCAGAGGGGGGCCTGGATTACAGGGGCCTGCAGAAAGGCTTGAGGATGCCTCTCTGAGGGACTCCACAACTCAAAGACAGAAACCTAACATGTGGTCCACTCACTTCCAACAGGTAGATCTGGGTGAAAAGTCATCAGGTGGAGGAACAGATCCTCCCTCCTGGTAAAGGCCTTCCTGCATAGTCCACAGGTATGCAGTCTGCCCCCCCTGTGGACCTTCAGGTGTCTCTCCAGACTTTCTTTCCTAGCAAAGTCTTTGCTGCAGACCTCACATTGGTATGGTTTCTCTCCAGTGTGGACCCGCTTGTGGATCTCCATTCTTCTGATGGAGCTGCATTTAATCCCACACACGTCGCAGGTGCACCCCAGCTCTTTGTGAGACCGCAGGTGATCTCTCAGGGTTTTGGTGGACTCGAGACAGTCCCCGCAGACCCCACAACGGCTCTCGGGTTCCTTACAGTGGTTTTCAGTGTGTCGCACCAAAATCCCCAGCGTGTTGAAGGACATTCTGCAGAGTCTGCAGGTGAAGGACTTGTCAGGTTTTTGGAAGGGGACCTGCTGTCTGCGGAGGCTGCAGGACATCAGGTCCTGGTCCTGTGACAGGTTTCGTCTGACGTGTTTTTTCAGAGTTTGCTTTGAGCTAAACTGTCGGTCACAGCCCCTGCAGACCAGCAGCTCCTGTTCCACAGGAGGCCCAGTCCACGCTCCCAGAGTCCTGTGTACACCTGGTTCCAGCGGAGCCTCATCACTGTCCTCTGTAGTAGATTCTGAATGGCCAACAGAGTCCTGGTTGAGGTCTTCGGGTAGGTCGGTCTCTCCGGGTTCTGGTTTCATGTGTGGGGGGGACCTAAGGGACTGGATGTGACTGGATAAAGGACTTCCCTCATCCTTGTAGCTCTCCATCTGCCAATCAGGACTCTGTGTGAACCTGGTCATCAACTCCCCTGGTCCTGAAGCCCCGCCCCCTTCATTTGTGATGTTCAGATAAGAGCCCTGCGCCCTCTCTTGCTTCTCTTCTTCACCTGGAGGAAAGAAAAACAGCAGTCTTAGTCCAAGCGATGCGCTGCGTTGAGCTTAAGACGCCAACTTAGGACATGGTGTGAGACCCAGAACCCCCTAGTGTACTCACCGGTGTCTGCTCTGAGTGAGGCCTCCAGACCCTCATCAAGTTCCTGCTTGACAACCAACACTTCCTGTGTGTTACCAACGGGATTAAGTCTGACGTCACCACCGACAACCACAGACTGTGTCTGATTGGACAAAGGGTTCTGGACTGTGTCAAGTCTCAACCTCAGCCAATCAAGACTCTGCATGGGTGTGATGACAGTCCCGTCTAGTCCTGAAGCTCGGCCCCCTTCCTGTTTAATGAGTGGACTGAAGCTCTGCCCCCTCGTCTGCTCTTCTTCTTCCGTTATGAAAACACCTGAGAGACAGAAACAGGAAGATGGTGACATCCCAGAGAACAGAACAAGTCTCAGAGCTGAAACTCTTTATTTTGTTATAATTTTATCTTTTATTTTATTATGTTTAATCTATCTGATTTTATTTTATTGATTTTTTTCACGTCCTCCAATACCTCTCCTGCACATATCTCAACTTCTCTTATTGTTGCTGTTTACATTAAATGTGCACTGAGTGTATAATCAAAAGAATATTTAGTATGAAGTCATAAACGTTTCAAAAAAGGCTTAATGAGAGTCAGTTCAGTTCTTGTTCTGAAAATAAAAAATTGTTTCCAAAGTTGCTGAGACATCATGAAACTTCACCATCAGATCATCATGAATTCATCATTTCATAATAAAGCAGAAAGGCTGAAACTAACCCTAACCCAAACTGACGCTGATGCCGTTCTCTTCACAGAAACGTATCTCCTCGATGCCTCTCTGGTGGGAGGGATGAGGACAAAAGTGAAGGAAGCAAGGATGCACTTTAAAAGAACAGAAATGCTCTATGGATGAGCTCTTATCCAATCAGATCACTCGCTCAGAATGAACTGGTGTATAACAGCAATCTGCTAATGCAAGATGGAAATATTGAAAACACCTTTAGTTCCCTTAAAGGTTTAATCCACTGGTTTCAATGTGGCCTCGGCCGTTAGTTTGTGTTGTTGTAAGCAGTTATTTGAGGTCAAACACTAAACAACACACAGAGGCAGCAAGGCAGCAAGGGAGCAGTGAAGGTCGAATGGAGTCTTAAGGATTCACTTATTTTACTTCAAAAAACATTTAATGAACAGGCAGGAAGTCAATGCAGACAATTTACTCCAATTACCTACTTTGTATCAGCGAAAATTCTGTTATCTGTTTTCTTACTGTTGCTATGGTAACCTGTCCATTATCTCCCAGTTTGTTTGTTTGTTTACTGTTTGTCCTGAAGGTCACTAGTTCACCCTACTGTCATGACTACCGACTGTTACTATGGTAACAGCTTGACTGTTCCCAGTTCCTAAAGCCACAGCGCCATCTGGCGGGGAAAGCCGCTACGTCACAATCTAAATATTACATTTATTTCTCAAACCAACAAACAGCAGTCTCACTGACCGGCCGGTTCATCCCCCGGTTCATCCCCCGGTTCGTCCTCGGGTCGTCCCGTAGCCTCCATTCGTCCCCTCTTCTGTCGGTCGATCTCTTCTCGTAACCGGAACACCTCGCGCTCATACTCGGAGATCACTGAGGCAAAATGGCGGAGGATGTCATCGGTGGCGGCGGAGAGCCGCTGGTCCACGAACATCCTTAGAGTGTGGAGCTTCAACATGTCCGTACCGACTGAACACCGTCCGAGAGGAGGACAGGAGGAGCCGGTGTACCGAGAGGGTCGTCTCGATCCTAGTCACGTGGTGTCGAGTACTTTATAAACTAGTAAATGTAAGTTGACGTCACTCACTGCTTCTCTGCTGCAGTTTCCTGATGTTTACTGTCATTATTGAGCAGACACGGTCTGGTTTCCGGGTCACATGACCGTGGAAACCAATCAGACATGAGTAACGGAAACGCATTGGCACTGTGAGCGCACGCACAGCAAGTAAATACTCTCAGTTTAACACAGTACAAAAATTCAAAATAAAAGCATAATAATTTAATTTTTATATGCAAAATAATGGAATTTCAAACATGCTTTTTTTTAGATTGATCGCGATTAAACATTTCATTTTTTGACAGTCCTATGCAGCATGTAAAAAGGTTTAGGAGCAACATGTGCAGCCAAACAGACTTTTTTTAAGGAAGGCCATTTTTATCAACTCAGCGTCAAACATTGTGCTCGTGTTACAGCAGCACGGCATTACAGTAAGAGTCCAGGTGGTTAACTGACCTCCCTGCAGTCCGGACTCGTCACCCATTACAAATATTTGCAGCATTAGAGACCTGAAATCAGACAACTGAAATCATACATATTTAGTAAAAAGGGTCAACCTTAAAAAATAAAAGTAACTGGTCTCCTCAGATCACAAACACTTACAGTGTCGTGAAAAGAAAGTGTGATGTTACAGAGCCGTAAACATGACACATCATTTGTCGCAATAAATATGTCAGTTTCAACATTTGACTTGTTGTCTTTGTGCTATTTCCAGCTAAATATGAAGCTTAAGATGTTTTCAAAGTCATCACTCCATTTTTTTGGACTCTACAGCTGGATAAAGTCTGGCTGCAGACCGTCGTGCCTTGTGATAGGGTACTTGTCAGTGTGGACGTCCAGGTGAACCTTCATGTGGATTTCTCTGGAGCGTTTCTCCTGGTAGCTCTTCCCACAGATGGAGCAGCCGTAGGGTTTCTCCCCGCTGTGAGTCAGCAGGTGTTTCTTCAGGTCGTTCTTGGTGACAAAGGCCTTGGAGCACAGGCTGCAGCTGAAGGCACACTCCTTCCTGTGGAAGCGCAGGTGTATCTGCAGGTACCCTTTGGTGCTGAAGCTCTTCCCGCAGAGGCTGCAGTTGTATGGTTTCTCGCCACTGTGGGTCATCATGTGAGCATTCAGCCCCCCCACCTGCCTGAAGGTGTTCCCGCAGACCAGACACTGGAACGGTTTATCTCCTGTGTGGATCCTCTTGTGGACCTCCAGGACATGGACAGACGCCAGGCTCTTCCCACAGGTCTGGCAGGAGACTCGGTGGGTAGGTTTGTCGCCGGTGTGTTTCCTGATGTGTGTGCTCAGAGCTCCGTTGTCCATGAACGTCTTCCCACAGAACTCGCAGATGTAAGGTCGCTCCCCGCTGTGGATCCTTCTGTGGCGCCGCAGGGCTCCGGGCCGTGGGAAGGACTTACCGCAGACGCCGCAGACGTATGGTTTGACCCCCGTGTGGCTCCGCATGTGAGTGTCAATGTTTTGAAAGGATTTACCACAGACATGACAAATCTTAGCGGCGTCTCTGTGGACTTGAAGGTGGTCTGTGAGGGTCTCTGATGGGGGAAAAGTCTGTCCACAGATTCCACACACAGACTCTGCTGAGTGAGTCTTCACATGTTTCCTCAGGCCGCTGTCACTCTGAAACGTCTCGCTGCACACTCTGCAGCAGTGACTCGTCTGAGGCGACTCTGTGTCTTCTCCTTCAATCAGACTGTCCTCAGTCTGAAACTTCAGACTCAGAGGGTCTGACTCTGCGTACTCCTCGTTGTGTAACTCCTTGGAGTGAGTCTCTGTGAAGCTCCGCCCACAGAGCTGCTCCCCGCCGTGGATCTTCCTGTGCCTCCTCAGCGCCCCCACTCGGGGGAAGCGTTTGTCACATACGGAGCAGCGGTACGGTTTGAACCCCGTGTGGGTCCTCATGTGGGTCTGCAGGTTCTGGAAAGTCCTCCTGCAGACAGAGCAGGTCCCCCCAGTCTCCCTGTGGGACTGCAGGTGAGTCTGCAGAGCCTCAGGTGAGTCCAGCCGCTGTCCACAGACGCCGCAGACGCTCTGAGCATCTCTGTAGTGCGTCTCGGCATGTTTCCTTAGGAAACCTTGGCTGTGGAACCAGTCCCCACAGACCCTGCAGGACCAAGACCCCTGAGGCCGCTTCAGCCTAGAGTCCTGCCTACTGTCTGTCTTTGATTGACCGTCCTCCTCGTCCGGTCTCTGCTCTCTGTCCTTGTCCTGGTGGGTCTTCAGGTGGTCCTGCAGCAGCTGGTCTGTGCTGATGGTAAGTCCACAGACCGGGCAGACCTTGTTCGACTTCCTGCTGTGGATCTTCCTATGTCTCCTGAGGGCTCCTGCACGGGGGAAGCTCTTCTTGCAGACAGAGCAGCTGTAAGGTTTCTCTCCAGTGTGACTCCGCATGTGAGTCTCCATGTTTTGAAACGTTTTACTGCAGATCCCACAGGCCCCGCTCCCTCTAGTGGCGTCCCTGTGAGACCTGAGATGGTCCACCAGACAGTCTGAGGACTGGATCACACGCTGGTCTGAGTGTGTCTCCACGTGTTTCGTCAGATATCCCCTGTGACGGAAACTTTTTCCACAGATGACACAGCGATGAGCCGCCATCTGGTCAGATGATGCCCGCTGCTGTCCGCGAGCATTAGAGCGCCGCCCTGCGTCTGTCTTTGAGTCCGCTGATTCTGTGTTGCTGTACGAGTTGTCGCTTCCCCTCCAGTCGTCGTCGCTCTCCACTGCTGAGGTGTCTGAGGGGGCAGAGCTAAGCGGGGCTGTGAAGAGGTCAGCGGGTTTACCCTCAGAATACAGCAGGGGCTTTTTGTCTGCGCTGGATGTCCTGAGAGTGAACGTGCCGACGGAATCTAGACGGAAAAATGATTATGAAACAGGAAAGAGAAAAGTCAACAGTGATGCGTGTCCTGACATTCACTGATTAATACGGATGAACACTCTAATTAACACTCTTTATTTATGATGACAACATGCCACTGTGACATCACAGGCATTCAGTTTGGGATCAGTTATGTTTCAGGCTTCCTGCAGTCTTTGAAGAATCTAATCTAAGACTTTATTAGAGACTCATAACTTTTGCATCATGTAATGTCTGTGTGTTTTCTATTTCACTCACTCAGCAGCTTTGATTGCCGTTGCTAACAGTTTCATTATATATCTTGCAGGTTGCCTGGTAACAGCTGTTTGCTTTCATTCCGCACCTTCGCCTCCTTATCTCTTCTGTTCACAGTTTGTGGATGTGCACATAACATGCTGCTGTAAATGCCCTGGTTTCCCTCGCTCCTCTCCAGCTCTTCCTCCTGTACAAACATTTCAGAGTTGAATGTAGACAGTGTGTCGGAGGAGTACAGGAGATATGGACTCAACCACAGATCAGTGCACCTGATGTATGTAGGCTGATAATCTATAACAGCTGCTGTGATTGGCTTTCACTTACTCAGTTAATCGTTGTATGCATGTGGTGTCGGACACATCGGAAAAACGAGATTCCGAGTTGTAAAATGCTCATGAACAACAACTCGGAAACTCGGAAAAGAATTAGGTGCCCGACTTCCCAACTTGCCGTCAGAATCGTCATCACATGAAGGCCAAAATATGTTTTGTTTTGTCATTCACGTATTGCATCAGCTTTTTGCTCAAGTATCTCTTTTAACAGTTACATTTCGATGATCTTCCTCGTAGCATCAACGCTGTTTGTTGCTGCTGTTTCAACATTCAGACTTTCTGAACTAAAATCACGTGAACACACTGAAGTCGGAAGAACGATTTCTCAGAAAACTTGGGACCACCCGAGCAGCACATCTCACCTGTCCGAGTCAGTCGGACCTCCGGGCTCAGCACAGCCTCCAGCATCCGGCTCTGCCGCTCCAGGCGCCGCCGGTTCTCCTCCACCTCCCGCTGCAGCAGTCCCACGATCAGCTCTGCCGCCGCCGCGAGCCGTTCAGTAAGCAGCAGCCGCAGGACGTGCAGCTGGCGGCGGCACCCGGAGCCCCGCGAACCGCCGCTCCGCTTCTTCAGCATCGTCAAGATCTCCGACCCGGCCCGGGACAGCTGCTCCGACACCGCCTGCGTCAGGGCCCGTAGCCCGCAGCGCGTAGGGGCTACAGAAAGCGACATCCCGGGACAAGAGCCCGTACGTCGGCCAACACCAGTGAAAACAGACCGGCCCGTTCCAGGTCAACGAGACCACGCTGAGAGGGGGTCAGAGCCGGAGCCGCCCCCTGCAGGACTGGAGGACCCTTCTGCTACAGACACCACAAATATTAAAGATACTAGTGTCTCGACATCTGCTGTCTGTCAGAGACATGGACTGTAAATAACAATAATAATAATCATGACATAGTATACAGTCTAAGGTCAGAGACATAAACATTTTAAAATACTTGAGAGACGTCTCTACCTCCTGTTGAAATGTTCTGCACAGTATCTTTTGAACCAGAAGGCAGTGGGGATCTAGAATCTGTTGGGGCCCTAGGCAAAAATTCAATAGGGGAGGCCTCAAACCAGCGTTAAGCAGGGCAAGAAGAGTGAGTTCTGGCAGATGGGAACCCCTTACGGAGGTTTTCTACAGTCATCGCAAAATTAGCAAATTTCCGTCCGCTACCTTTAGGGGGCCCCCTAATGGTCTGCCCCCCCCCCCCCCCCCCAGGTGTAACCTGCCTGTCGGCTCCAGCCCGTGACCCCGAACAGCAGGGATAATAATTGGATGGATGCCTGCACACTGTCTTAATTGTGCAAATGTGGTGGCAACATTTTGTATTTGTGCAATTTGGACAGTGCTCACTTTCGGATGAAATCTGACTAATGCTGTGAAGTTTTTAATTCTTCATTACTTTTTAATATGAGTGATCATTGAAATAACAGATGTGTCCTTTTATAACACTTGTAACAACAAGCTCACAGCTGAGATGACGTCAAGGTTCCAAATTTGATTCACTAAAACAACACAACAGATCTTAAATGTAAAAGTTATGGTAACAACATTCGACTCATTTTGATTTAAACTTTATTGGACAGCACCGACAAACAGAGAAATGATGAAGCTGAAGAGGGTCAGAACTCTGGCAGATGGTTCTGTTATTAACTGTAAAGTCAGTTAAACCAACAGGTGAGTCCTTCCTCTCTAACCGGAAACATGCAAACACAGAGTCAATGTTAAGCCCCGCCCCTACAGCTGAATGAAGCCCGAGTAGAAAGTGTCTGTCCTCTGCTGCTCTGAGCTCTGATCTGGCCTGGACCCAGTCATGACGTGGACCTTTAGGTGTCCGTTAAGCGAGCGTCTGGCCTGGAAACTCTTTCCACAGACTGTGCAGCTGTATGGTTTCTCTCCGGTGTGGATCAGGATGTGTCTCTTCAGGTCCACGTCCTGCATGAAGCCCTTTCCGCACACCTGGCACAGGAAGCGTCTCTCTTTGTTGTGGAAGCGTACGTGTGTGTCCAGAGTATTTTTCTGAGTGAAGCCCTTCCCACAGAGGCTGCAGGAGAACGCCCGCTCCCCCGTGTGGATCTTCAGGTGCATCTTTAGGTTGCCGCTCTGGTTGAAGGCTTTCCCACAGAAGCTGCAGATGAAGGGTTTCTCTCCTGAGTGGACCCTTAAGTGTAACTCCAGAGCAGAGTGAGCAGGGAAGTTCTTCCCACAGATGTGACACGTGTTGCTGAAATCGCGGTGCGAACTCAGGTGAGCAGAAAGACTGGCGGGGGACTGGTACTGGTGTCCACAGAGTCCACAGCGACAGTCTGGGTCCTGCAGGTGAGTCTCCACATGTGTCACCAAGTAAGACCTCCTTTGAAAGACGTCCCCGCAAACTTTGCAGATGTGTCTCGGCTCTGAGCTGCGCAGCCTCTTAGGCTTATCTGCGCGTTCCTTCTCATGTTTGGCCACGTGTCGCTGCAGGCCGTGCGCCTTCATGAACTCCTTCCCGCAGACGCCACAGGTGTGCAGTCCCTGCTCCTCCCGGTGCTCCTGCAGGTGTCGCTCCAGAGACGACATGTGGCAGAAGGCACGGCTGCACTCAGTACACTTGAACTGTTTTTCTTCGGTGTGTACGCGCATGTGTGACGACAGGTTTCCCCTTTGACTGAACTTTTTGCCGCAGATGTCGCATGTGTACGGTTTCTCTCCGGTGTGCAGTCGCACATGCAGTTCCTGTGCCAGAATGGAATTGAAGGTTTTTCCACAGAAGGAGCAGGTTTTACTTTTCACCTGGTGCATCTGTAGGTGACTGGCAAGGTTGGAGGCGGAGTCTAAACACTCGCCACAGAAGCCGCAGCGGCAGTCTTTGTCCTGGGCGCAGACCTGCAGAACGTGTTTGAGGAGGTAGCCTTTACCCTGCAGAGTGCGGCCACACACCTTACAGTTAAAACGTTGAGTGGGTGCTGACCGCTTCCGTTTGTTTGTGACTGCGAGCGGCGGTTTGTTTCTGCCGGCCAGCGGCGGCCGGCCTCTCTTCCTCTTTTTCCTAGGTGACCTCAGAGTTCGGCTCTGTCTGGTCCAGTCGCTGTCTGGATCCCCCTCACTGTGGGCCGCTGAGCTGCTGGGGGAGGAGGGCTGGTGGAAGGAGGGTGAGGAGGGCGAGGAGGGCTGTTGGAAGGAGGGTGAGGAGGGCGAGGAGGGCTGTTGGAAGGAGGGTGAGGAGGAGCCAGGAGGCCTTGAGCAGGAGGCGGGGCTGTCAACTTCTTCAGGTTCTGATTGGTTCAGGTCTGCAGGATCCGCCAGGGGCTCCAGGTCTCTGTGGTTAATGATCTCTGAGTGCAGAGAGTCTGATGAGAAAAACAACATCGCCTTAAGAACACTGACACACCTGAAGACCCTCTCCGTCTCATGACGTTTGAGTCAAACATGTTGCCAAAGCAAAAACACAATTAATCTCTCTCTCTATCTTTGAAGCTTTGGTGCTTTCTGTTTCTGTCAGTCATTAAAATGACTGAGAAAATCACTGAGACTGCATCGATTCATTTTAGAGCAGAGAGTGTGAGTGTGTGTGTGTGTGTGTATATTGCCGCGGGTCCTCCGAGTTCTGAGTGCAGGGACTGACCTGCTCTGTGCAGCCTGACTTCGGGCTTCAGCACGGCATCGAGCAGCCTCCTCTGGCGGCAGATCTCCCGCTCTGACCGCTCCACGCGCTCTTCGTACTCCGCCACGGTTTCCTTAAACAGATCGACGATCTCCTCCGCGGCCACCGTTAGCCGCTCGGTGAGCAGCGTCCTCAGCGCCGGTATCTCAGCCGCTTCTTCTTCTTCTTCCAGCTGCAGCATGAAGGCTTCAGCGGTGGCGCTCATCCGCTCCTGGATCGACACCCGCAGCAGCTGCAGCCTGCACATCCTGCTCCTTTTTCTGCCAACAAAGACAGCCAGCGGCGGGGACCGGACACCGGACTGGACGAGACGTAAACACACTGAGTTCCGCGTCGACGACGGTTCGCTTTCAGCGGAGCGAAGCGCAGGGACGACAGCGAGCCCTGCTGTGCGGGAGGCGGAACGACAACAACTGTGTCTGGTGTACAGACATACTCAGATTTATTCATCTCATATTTTTTAAATATAAAAGTAATCATATAATATGATTCCGAAAATAAATGAGAGTAAATCTTTGAACTTCTGTACAGATAAGAAGGCTTGGTGTTACTGTGAAACATAGGTTTATGATGTATTCATGTAAACATCAGTGTTATGTGTTCAGATATCCATCAGTATATAAAGAAGTGTAATTTATATTTTAAAAAAGTATTAAGCACAATAATACATCCATACAAAACTTATTTTAATGTTGCTACTTTAATATATTTCACTGTATGTCGTCATATCCGTTTAAACAAAGTGAATTATAGTAGTAAAGAATGCTACATGTCTGAGGATTCAACAAACACCACTTGTTATGTTCGTGTATGTTTCTTAAATAAAGTTTATAGAAAAATAATCATGTCGCTGTTGCTAGGATACGGGACACTTTCCCAGTCTATGCACTTTCCGCGGCATGGCGTTGCTAGGATACATCAAACTCCGATGTATCGAGCTCCCTTGAGTGAGTTTGAAACCGTGTTTAGTCCGTTACAGTCCTTGTTTTAGTCCCTGTATTATCCCGGGTTAAGTCTGTGTTTAGTCCGTGTTTAGTACTCGTTTTAGTGCGTGTGTAAATCCGTGTATCAGCCCGTATGAGCCTTTTTTCAAATCCCTGTTCTAGCCCGGGATTAGTGCTTGTTTAGCTCGTTTTAGAGCCGCTCGGAGTGCGTTTCTCTCGGGATGGAGATCGTTCATGTTTACTCGAAGCTCCGCGCGGAGTTCGGCCGGCAGTGCCTCTTCTCTGACCGGCCCGCCGAGCTACTGGTGGACGTTCCTCCGGACCCGAGCCTCGCTCAGCACTTCATCCAGAAAAAACCCCGGGACCAGGCCCTGCAGGCCTGCCTGGACATGTCCGAGCACCAGGTGAGTATGACGAGCACACGAGGGAGAGCAAGCAACAGGTTACTGGTGCAGTTCGCCAAACGGCCATGCGGTATCGCTACAAACGCAGTATAAGTTATATATATGTATGTATATGTTACAGAAGCGTATTGCATTCATGTGGAGAATTTTTTTTTTTGCCTGGTTTCTTGTTATTACGAGATAAAGATCTCGTTATTATGAGAAAAGATCTCGATATTATGAGAAAAGATCTCATAACGAGAAAAGATCTCATAACGAGAAAAGATCTCTTTATAACGAGAAAAGATCTCATAACGAGAAAAGATCTCTTTATAACGAGAAAAGATCTCATAACGAGAAAAGATCTCGTTATTACGAGAAAGATCTCGTTATAACGAGAAAAGATCTCATAATGAGAAAAGATCTCATTATTATGAGAAAAGATCTCGTTATAACGAGAAAAGATCTTGTTATAACGAGAAAAGATCTCGTTATTATGAGAAAAGATCTCGTTATAACGAGAAAAGATCTTGTTATTACGAGAAAAGATCACATAACAGACTAAAATGATACTAGAGGGGTAATGAAGTTTGCATTGTGGCAGGCAGAGGAGGGAGGAAGAAAAGGTAACGATGACCAGGGTTGATTTGATTGCGTTTTATTTCCATCTTGGGTTAAGACATTGGGAAATATTAGTGTCTTTGAGTAACATAGATGGTATTATCATGAGCATGTCAACTTTGCGCAGGCATCTGAAGGCGTTAAGGTTTTTCAGACGGAAAGAACACTCTGACCTACTTGACATTGCGTTATTCCTCCAAGATCAGTTGAATATCATTTAATGAGACTCATTAAATGATAAAAAGCCATTAATAAGATGCCATTCTGGTATAATGTTACACAAACACATACATTTAACATTAACTAGTTAGCCAATTATCAATTACTATAGCTAATACCTGATTCTCCACCTTGTAATGAGCTGCCGCTGGTGTACTGTGCACTCCCATAAACAAACCTGTGCCTCCTCATAGCCACCACCCTAATGCTTTTCTTGTTATAACGAGATCTTTATCTCGTAATAACGAGAGCTTTTCTCGTTATAATGAGATCTTTTCTCGTTATAACGTGATCTTTTCTCGTTATAACGAGATCTTTTCTCGTAATAATAAGATCTTTTCTCGTTATAACGAGAAACCAGGCAAAAAAAAAAATCTCCACATGAATGCAATACGCTTCCGTAATATGTAACACCGTTGGGCTTTGATTAGGCACTTAGCTCTGCATACTCTGACTGATTTGTGGTTGCTGTCTCTAACACCATCGCAAAATTGGTCACGAAGGTCTTTCTGTGACTTAGCACTCGCCTGCTCGCCAGTTTTAGTGATTTGGTCCATTAAATCCATCAAAGAATGCGAGTAGTCAAGCAAAGACTCCCCTTCTAGCTGTTTACGATTGAAAAACTTATGTTGTAGGGACACATGGGAATGTAAACAACCATAAACTTCCCTTAACACAGAATATGCCATGGATACTTTCCCTTGTCTCTATAGATAAGAACTTAACCTCAGTCCAAGCTGCCCCTTCCAAGTTATTGTATGCCAGATGGGCTATTTCTTTTTCACTCAAGGGTTTAGTGTTCACAAAATTGTCCATCTCAGGTACCCAAAAGGGGTCAAATAAATGACCAGTCAAAAATGAAACACAGAAACAGATTTAAAGAGAAAAGGTTCCAAGGTTTATTAAATTAATTAACATAAAATTAATGAGTCACCATAAGATAATTGGCGCAAATTTCAATGTCTTACTGTCGGAAGTATGGCTTGGGCAAGTATTTCGATGCTTTACTGAGGAGGAATTCAGTGTCACACTTCTACAGTAAGGGAGTAAAAAGACTCCTTGTCACACAATATCACTGCAACTTAATCACACAATGTATGAGCATGCAATATCACTGCAACTTAATCACACAATGTATGAGCATGCAATATCACTGCAACTTAATCACACAATGTATGAGCATGCAATATCACTGCAACTTCAACTATAATCACACTATGTATAGGCATGCAATATCACTCCAACTTCAACTATAATCACACTATTGGCATGCAGCAAACTTGTGGCGTTCACACACTGAAATTGGATCCTCCGTTAGCTTGCAACCAAAATTACCTTGACCCTCCCCGATGGTCCGCCCTGATGCTGCGCTGGGGAAGTGGTGACAATTAAACAAACAAAAAAAACAAGACGAAAAACAAAAAATAAATAAACTAGTCCGCCTACTGAGGCAACTCCAGAGATCCCAGAACCCCAGAAAACAAACAAAACCCACACAGTAAGAGCAGCAGAGGAAATCTGCCAGGCTCCCTAAAACAAAGAAAATAGAAGCATTATTTGGTCACCTTAATACATTTCCCTAATCCCAAAATCAACATAATACAAAACCATTTGCTCAACATCAATTACACAGAGTTTCCATAGCTTTATTAGACAAAAAAATACATATCGCTGTGCGTACCTGAAGTGCTGGGCCCAAACCTTCCCAGCAACCTCCGCCAAGTACAACACCCGGTGACCTTGCTAAAAATGGAGGACAAAGCATAAGTACATGACTTTATAACCATTTAAGTAAAACTAAATTAAAACCACATTCAAAACTTGTCTCACTGATCGCACTCACTTGGCGATCTGCCCCTGAAGTCACACCTGATGTGTCCGAACGTTGCGACCAAATGACAACTGGAAACACAATAGTACTGGTATTAATACCTTCTCTTTATAAAACATTTAAAAAGCGAAGCATGTTTCCTTACCAGTTTTCCCAGACGCAAACAAACAAAACAGCCGGCATGGATGAGGGTGTGCACTGTCCCTCTCCTTCTGGCTGGAAACCAACGCCTCACTGTTACTACCCCCCTTTATACCCTCGCAGAGAATAGCAGCGTCTCAGGTGCCACCGGCTACATATATATATATATATATGAACTGTTTAAAGGTTATCGGACAGTGATTGGTCATTTACGTCAATCCACTCTGCACTCTGTCAGTGGAACCTTTTCTCATTCAGTTTCAGTTTCCAGCACATTCTCTCCCTCTGTGACTTCCTGATTCAGCCCCAGGTAAAGGTATGTGTCTCCGCAGGTCAACACGAAACGCTTTGAGTCCGAGAGCCGCGGAATAAACCACGTGGAGGGGGGGTGGCCCAAAGACATCAACCCCCACGAGATGGAACAGACCATCCGCTTCAGGAAGAAGGTGGAGAAAGACGAGCTCTACGTCACCAGCGTGGTTCAGCTGGGACAGGTAATATCCATCCACTTGATATAGCCCCACCCTCTTGCTATGATGTCAGCAGGCTCTATGTGATGTCATCCTTTGCGTTGTGCAGGGCATGGAGCACTGCATCAGACAGAACAACGCCGTCGACATCTACCAGGAGTACCTTGAGGAGGAGGAGGAGGAGGAAGAGGAAAACCAGGTGGCGCCATCCGCCAAGACCATCAACGTGTTCAGGTGCAGGTGACATCTCAACCCACAGGAAGTGGTCACACTATAAACAAATCAGAATACACTCCAGATCGCATCAACTCAAAATGTTTGTGTTTATTGTTAAATGATGTCAGATAGCATCCTGAACACTGATTGGTTCCCCTGGTTGTTGTGCGTCCTCTGCAGAGATCCTAACGAGCTGAAGAGAACTGTCACCGGGCTCTCCTGGCATCCTGATGGCGGCAGGAAGTTGGCGGCCGCCTACTCCTGCCTGGAGTTCCAGAAATCGTCACGAGACCTGAGCGTGGACTCGTACATCTGGGACGTCGGTGGGTGAGACAGACAGGATTCAATCCCCGCCCCCTGCACAGTCCAGTCTAATCAGACAATCCTTTTTTGTTTTAGAGAACCCCAACAGACCAGAAATGACCCTGAGACCGCCCTCCCCCCTCGTCTGTCTGGACTACAACCCCAAAGACCCCCACACCCTATTGGGAGGCGCCTACAACGGACAGATCGGTGGGTTCAACTCAGTGAGACGCACAGGTGGACATCACACACACCTGTATGTGCTCACCTTTGGGTGTGTTTGTTTTAGTGTACTGGGACACCCGGAGAGGAAGCACACCTGTAGAGGTGTCCTCTGTGGAAACAAGCCACCGAGACCCCACCTACAAGATCCTCTGGGTCCAATCAAAGACCGGCACTGATGCCTTCTCCGCCTCCACCGACGGACAGGTAGACAGACAGACAGACACACAGACAGACAGACAGACAGACAGACACACAGACAGACAGACAGACAGACAGACAGACAGACAGACAGACAGACAAGCAGGCAGTGAAACAGGTAGACAGGCGATCATGCACACGGAATGCAGACAGACAGACAGGCAGGCAGGCAGAAAGACAGACAGGCAGACACACGGACAGACACACAGACAGACACACAGACAGACAGACAGACAGGCAGACAGACAGACAGACAGACAGACAGACACACAGACAGACAGGCAGACAGACACACAGACAGACAGACAAGCAGGCAGTGAAACAGGTAGACAGGCGATCATGCACACGGAATGCAGACAGACAGACAGACAGACAGACAAGCAGGCGGTGAAACAGGTAGACAGGCGATCATGCACACGGAATGCAGACAGACAGACCGACAGACAGACAGAGAGACAGGTAATGACACTGACAGAAAGACAGAGGGCAGATGAGAGACACAGGAAGACAGAAAGACAGACAGGCAGGCAGGCAGGCAGACAGACACATAGACAGGCAGGCAGGAAGGCAGACAGACTGACACATAGACAGACAGACAGACAGACAGACAGACAGACAGACAGACAGACAGACAGACAGGCAGGAAGGCAGTCAGTCAGACAGACAGACAGACATACAGACAGACAGACAGACAGACAGACAGACAGACAGACAGACAGACAGACAGATGGACGGACAGACAGACAGATAGACAACAGACAGGCAGGCAGGCAGGCAGACAGACAGACAGACACACAGACATGTAGTTAGACAGGTACACAGAGAGCTTTACAGAAAGGTAGCGTTCATGCTCTAAATCTATTCTTTATAAACAGTGTAATGGTCCTTTAAATAAACCCCGCCCCCTCTGTCAGGTGCTGTGGTGGGACGTGCGGAAGCTGAGTGAGCCCACAGACCGGCTGGTTCTTGACCCGAGCAGGGAGGGGAACCTGGACCAGGCTTTAGGGGCCGTCTCTCTGGAGTTTGAGTCCACTATGGTGAGCTCCATCAGAGTTTGTCCTTCACATCTCCTGTGAGTTACTTTCTGCAGAGTCAGGTGAAGTAGTATGTTCACATCTCTGGAAGAAGTTAGCTCCAGCGAGACATCAGTCTGTGTGATGACATTCAAAGAACAAGCATTTTAAAGTTATTTCAGCCTGTTTCTCTTCATGAAATGATTCATTAGATTCATCTCTCAGATTGCTTCTAACCTTTTCTCTTAGGTTGTCTCTCAGGTTGTCTCTCAGGTTTCCTCTCATGTTGCCTCTCAGGTTGTCTCTCAGGTTGCCTCTAACTTTGTCTCTCAGGTTGTCTCTAACTGTGTTTCTCATCTTGCCTCTCATGTTGCCTCTCAGGTTGTCTCTCAGGTTGCCTCTAACTTTGTCTCTCAGGTTGTCTCTTTCAGGTTGTCTCTAACTGTGTTTCTCATCTTGCCTCTCATGTTGCCTCTCAGGTTGCCTCTAACTTTGTCTCTCATCTTGCCTCTCAGGTTGTCTCTCATGATGCCTCTAACTTTGTCTCTTAGGTTGCCTCTCATGTTGCCTCACAGGTTGCCTCTCTGGTTGCCTCACAGGTTACTTCTTAGGTTGTCTCTCAGGTTGCCTACAACTTTGTTTCTCAGGTTGTCTCTTAGGTTGCCTCTCATGTTGCCTCTCAGGTTGCCTCTCATGTTGCCTCTCATGTTGCCTCTCAGGTTGTCACTCATTTTGCCTCTCAGGTTGTCTCTCAGGTTGTCTCTCATGTTGTCTCTCAGGTTGTCGCTCAGGTTGTCGCTCAGGTTGTCTCTCAGGTTGCCTCTAACTTTGTCTCTCAGGTTGCCTCTCATGTTGCCTCTCAGGTTGTCTCTCAGGTTGTCTCTCATGATGCCTCTAACTTTGTCTCTTAGGTTGCCTCTCATGTTGCCTCTCATGTTGCCACTCATGTTGCATCTCATGTTGCCACTCATGTTGCCTCTCATGTTGCCTCTCATGTTGCCTCTCAGGTTGTCTCTCAGGTTGCCTCTCATCTTGCCTCTCATGTTGCCTCTCATGTTGCCACTCATGTTGCCTCTCAGGTTTCCTCTAACTTTGTCTCTCAGGTTGTCTCTCATGTTGCCTCTTATGTTGCCACTCATGTTGCCACTCATGTTGCCTCTCAGGTTGTCTCTCAGGTTGTCTCTCAGGTTACCTCAGGTTGTCTCTGTTGCCTCTCATGTTACCTCTCAGGTTGCCTCTCAGGTTGTCTCTTAGGTTACCTCTCAGGTTGCCTCTCATGTTGCCTCTCATGTTACCTCTCAGGTTGCCTCTCAGGTTGTCTCTCAGGTTGTCTCTCAGGTTGCCTCTCATGTTGCTTCTCAGGTGGTCTCTCATGTTGCCTCTCAGATTGCCTCATAGGTTGTCTCTGTCCTCTTTGTACCTGCAGCCCACTAAGTTCATGGTGGGGACGGAGCAAGGTGTGGTCATCTCCTGTAACAGGAAGGCAAAGACTCCGGCAGAAAAGATCGTTTGTACGTACGACAGTCATCACGGACCCGTCTACGCCCTGCAGAGGAACCCCTTCTTCCCGAAAAACTTCCTGACGGTGGGGGATTGGACGGCTCGCATCTGGTCTGAAGACATCAGGGAGTCGTCTATCATGTGGACGAGGTGAGAACCAGAGGACATAGATTTATTGAATAACTGCAGCTTCCTGTCTCCTCGTTTGTTTATCATCTCATTGAACTGCAGAATATCTTTTTTTCTATTCTGAGATTAAAGATATTAAAGAGATGGTGAGATGAGTCACACCGGTGACGGCAGCAGAGAATCAACAAATCGATCGTTTGAAAGAGTTTAAGTTTGGGATGTTTCCTCAGTCTGTCTGTGTGTGTGTGTGTGTGTGTGTGTGTGTGTGTGTGTGTGTGTGTGTGTGTGTGTGTGTGTGTGTGTGTGTGTGTGTGTGTGTGTGTGTGTGTGTGTGTGTGTGTGTGTGTGTGTGTGTGTGTGTAAACACCTGGTTGTGTATTTATTGTGTGTGTGTGTTAAACACCTGGTTGTATACTTGTGTGTGTGTTAAACACCTGGTCGTGTACTTGTGTGTGTGTTTAACACCTGGTCATGTTCTTGTTGTGTGTGTGTGTGTGTGTGTTTGTGTGTGCTCAGGTATCAGATGTCGTACCTCAGTGACGCCTGCTGGAGTCCAGTCAGACCGTCGGTCTTCTTCTCGGTGAAGATGGATGGCACGCTGGACGTCTGGGACATCCTGTTCAAGCAGAACGACCCCACGCTGAGCCTCAAGGTGTGAGCACCTGTACACTGTCATCAACAACTACACTGTAAAACTGGGTACTCCACAAGTTGGAGCAAATATTATGATGTCACAGTGTGTTTCCGTCCTCAGGTGTGTGATGAGCCTCTATACAGCCTGCGTCTCCAGGACAATGGACGCCTGGTGGCGTGCGGTTCTCAGGGGGGCGGGGCCACACTACTGGAGGTTTGCGCAGGACTTTCGACGCTCCAGAAGAACGAGAAGAGTCTGCTGGCATCCGTGAGAAGAGACACACCGGCTGATAAGCTGATTTCTGTTTCCATAGAGATTACGTATATCATTGATGTATCCATGGAAATAGATTGATGACTCATTGATGACTGTGTGTGCAGATGTTTGAGCGCGAGACGAAGCGGGAGAAGATCCTGGAGGCGCGGCAGAGAGAGATCCGTCTGAAGGAGAGGAGCCGCTCGGAGCAGAGCCGCTCGGAGGACGGAGGACGGGAAGATGGCGAGGATAGCCCAGATCAGCTGATCGCCCGCGCAGAGAAGGACTTCTTCAGCGTGGTGGAGGCAGAAAAAAGGAAGAGGAGGGACCGTGAGGAGCAGAGCAATGGGGTCAGAACCAAACCCTGATGTTTGATCTTCTTTCTTTTTTTTTAAGATTTATTTTTGGGCTTTTTGTGCCTTTAACAGAGAGATAGGACAGTGGATAGAGTCTGAAATCAGGGACAGAGAGAGTGGGGAATGACATGTGGGAACGGAGCCACAGGCTGGATTCGAACCCGGGTCGCCCTCTGCGCCACCAGCACCCCCTTGATCTTCTTTCTTTAACTGATCCCAAAGCTGCACGTCTGTTAAAACAAAGCACATAAAGACCAGACTAGCAGGCTTAGCCTAGCATAAAACCTGTAAATGGGGTCAGAAGCTAAAAGTTATAATATCAACTCTGACCCCAGGACACTTTCATCACTTGTTTTTCTTTATACCACTCTCACAACAAAAACATATAAATGTTGTTTTGGAGTCTGAATATGTTCAGGCTCAGTTTATCTGCAGAAACAAACTGACCATGAGACTTTTCCTCCATGTTTGATTCTGCTTCTCCTGGCTGAAGATGATCAAGTCCAGTTGTTGTTAGTTCACAGTCGGACTAAAGGACTAAATGATTTTTCTTTTCTTCAGGAGGAGAACACCTGTGAAGACAAAAGGGATAAAGAGGAAACAGAAGAACCTGGAGCCTCACAAGAATAAAAGCAGTCGGAGATGATTTATTTCTGTTATTATTATATTGTAATATTATTTTTTTCTGATCTGTTTGATTTGAAAGTTTTTAATGTGAAACGTTCCTGCACAAACTAAACTGATTTAAAGAGGAGTTCCTGTAACACAAAAATAAAATAAAAACATTTTTTAAAATTAGAAACAGGAAGAAGAAAGTGTTAAAGTATGAGAGTTGTAACTTCAGTATGTTTTTCTTTCATAATTATATAATAAAATAAAATATTTATAATATGAGACTGACCGGTGTTTCTGTTTTTGAGTTGTTTGTGTGAAATACAGTTACATTAAAAATCCATCTCTCGTTGTCATTCAAATGATGATTTTACTTTGAAGGCCCCCGGATGTCCTCTTGCTCTTGTTGTTGCTAGCACACACGTGCAGGTAGCAGCTCTCCGGTCCTCTTCCTTTGTTCCGGTGGTCCCGGCTCTTGGTGTGAACGGTTGAACATGTCCCGGGTCCAGAAGTTCCGCCTCTTCGTGACTCAGAGACTGCACGTGGCGGTCGAAGATATTTTGGCGGCTTTTGAGGAAACACTCGTGAAGTACGAACAGGAAGCGGCTCTAACTCAGGAGGTGATCTCCCGCCAGCACGCGCTACTCTGCGCGCTTAACAAGCCGCTCATGGAGGCAGCTCAGTCCGGAGGTGAGTGTGACGTTAGAGTTCTGGTGGGCCCAGCTGAGCGCGCACACACACACACACACACACACACACACACACACACACACACACACACACACACACACACACACACACACACACACACACACACACACACACACACACACACACACACACACACACACACACACACACACACACACACACACGAAAAAGTTTAAAGAGGCCTTAAACTTCAAGCATTTGTAGCATTAGTTCCAGTTCACCTGCTGAGCTGGCTAGGAAATGAAAAGGTAAGTGGCGGAGCCAGCTGGTGACACAAACAGGAAATCCTCTGGGGACCTGGCAGGTCATTTCAGGTCATCCTGAGCATCCTGAGTCTGTGTACACTACCTGGTCCACTGGTGTGTGATGACTGATGCTGCATACAAGGACACTCGGACAGCTGGGAGAAATGTTTACTGTGTGTGTGTTTCAGATGTGATCACCAAGCAGTTGTTGGTGAGTAATGACTCCGTCCCCCTTGAGCACCAGGACCAGGAGACCCCAGAGCCCCCCCTTGTCAGAGAGGAGGGGGGGCCACCCCCACATCTGGCCGAGGATGATATCATCCATTTCACCTACAGCACCAGGTGTTCCGTCAGACCGGATCAGGAGGTCCACCTGGTGTCATCAGAGACCGAGGACAGCGAGGACTACAGCCAAGACCCTCCTGACCACCCGTCTGCCTCCCCCCACAGACACCCCTCTGTCTCACAACCCCCCTCTGCCTCCCCCCACAGACACCCCTCTGTCTCACAACCCCCCTCTGCCTCCCCCACAGACTCCCCTCTGTCTCACAACCCCCCTCTGCCTCCCCCCACAGACCCCCCTCTGTCTCACAACCCCCCTCTAGGTCCCCCGTCAGAGGCCCCTCTGCCTCCCCCCTCAGGTCCTCAGGAGGACAAGCCTGCAGGGTCTTACTGCGGCACCTGGAGATCACGGAAAAATTGAAGCTTCATATCCAGACCCCCAGGACCCCCCAGACCAGGACCAGGAGCACCAGACGGGTGGACATGCCTGACACAAATGTCCGTGTCCCAGCGAGCGAGAAAACACAAACCTGTCCAGACTGTGGGCGGAGCTTCAGACAGGTGTGGAAAAAGAGAAGGCACAAGTGTCAGAGGGGTAACCATGGAAAGATTTAACTGTGTTGAAGAACGTAAAGATAAATTATTTGTAATATTTCTGTTTAATCAAGTTTCACAACAGCCATCATCAGGGTCGTCATGGTTTCAAACCAGATCAACACCTGTTTGATACCACGGCAACCAAAATAGAAGTCCAAGGCAACCAATATTGGGTCATTTATTATTTTTAATAAACAAAAATTGCAGACAAACTAGTAAAGTAAAAGTAGAGTAAATTGCACAAACACGTTGACAACATTTGACAAAGAGGGCGGAGCTGGAAAGAAGCGAGCTCCTCCCTCTTTGATAAATGTTGTCAACGTGTTTGTGAACTATGGACGGGATCAAATCTGAGGACGTTACATACTGCTCCTTTAACTAAAAGTTGAAGGAGCAGTATGTAACTCTTACACCTAGTGTTTAAAATGGGTACTGCAGTCTGAATTCAAAATATAGTAGAGAGCTGTCTCCCCCCCGCCCCCTCCTCTCTAGAGTGGATGCTCTCGCAGGTTGCCATGTGGTGGATACTGAAGCTTCAGTGTTTAGCCAGCTCTGCATCGGTCTATAAACCTTTCTGTGTTCTAACCTCTCTCCATTTTTCAAAAGCATCTCCAATATTGATCCTAGTTTGAGCACGTTTCTGCTCGTGGAGCTTATTAGAAACATGCAGAGGCTTTTTAGGTCGGGTACAATCACTTCTATCTGAACCAGTTCTATTGCCCGCTTCCATCGCTGCTACACCTGTTGGTTTGACCTGATAACTGGTCTCATATCGGGATAACAGAGGGGCGTCCAAAACGGCTGTGTGGGGGTACCTTAAAACCGCCTACCTTCTCTGGTCCAAACAAATCCAGAGCATTCAGCACCAGAATCTAAAGTTAGAAGGAGGACAAACTGGCTGCTGCATTGTTGTCAGAGAAGCCAGCACTTCAACATAACATGTTTCCTTAATGTCTGATCATATAGTAAAGCCACTTTATCTTCTCTCTGATTGGTCCTTTTAAAATGTTCCGAAGAGACATTCAGAGCTTTTGTTCAGTTTTAGAGAAAGGTAAATAAAATTAGGATCAGCAAAGGTTTTTAAAAATAAACAGTTTTTATGATTTTTTTCACAGAAGCAGAGATGTTGTTCATTTCTCTGTGACTCAAAACCTCTCAGGGACCGCTCTGTGGGCAGAGCCAAACAGTCTGCATCGTTTCGTTGTTTCTATGGTAACAAGATGGTGGAGGGGACTTGAGTAAAATGTTTGGTTTGTTTTGTGTCTGGCCTCAGGTCAGGAGAGTGTTCAGTGTTCTAACTGACAAACAATTGTTTGTATGATTTGTAATAAACTCTTTTTCTACTTGTCGCGACCAATTTTTGTCCAAATAATCTGTGGGATCCCGACAGAGATAGACCTTTTTATTTAGCAGAAAAATAACTTTATTTGATCCATAAACAGCTGTGACATCACTCTTGACAGACACATTCAGAAAAACAGATTCGACTGAACAGGGGCCCGTTTCTGAAAGAAGGTTTAGTGCAAACTCTGAGTCCGTTAACCCTGAAATGAGGGAAACTCTGGGTATTCCGTTTCAGAGGGGGAGGTCACTCAAACCCGAGAAAGAGGGGTAACTCCAGCCCGCTCCAGAGGGAGAGGTAACTTTACCTCTGAGTCAGTTACTATGGTAACTGAGTCTGTTAACCTAACCTGGTCGGGAGTTTTCTTCAATGAACCCTGATTTTCTCTTGGTCTCCTCCCTCTTTCAGAGCCAGAAACGCTGTTTTATTTCCTCATTCATTCATTCAGTCCGTATCACGCCGTGTTAGTGAAGATTCACCGTTTGTCTGAATAAAAATCCAGGTTGTTTTTAATATGTTAGGTAGACAATACTACAACGTATAAAACAAACTATTTTATCGAACATGGCATCTTTTAGTCGAGCCTCGGTATGAAGGGGCTACATTACTCCGCAGGGAATTAGAGCCTACATTAACATCAGGAGATGTTAATTTAGGCCTAATTAATTAATAAACTAAATGGGATAAAGGTGAGAGGATGTTTAGGTGTGTGTGAATCATAGGTGTGAATGCAGCATTAGCCTATGTTGGGGATAAAGTTAATGCGCACTCAAATAGACTCTGAATGAAGTTAACTTTAAATCTAGGCAATATGAGCCTATTATGTTCTTATATTTCATTTTGAGCTGTTTTAAAGTTGCTTTTCTTCCACTGGATTGCATCTTAATGAAATTGAACTGTAGGTTTAATACAGTTTCACCAGTTTTTACTTGCAATATTGTAATTCTGATTAAATATTGAATTAATAGACTTCATTACGCGCTGACCCGAGCAGCTATTTTCTCTTACCCCACTTCTCTCTCCTTTGCTGCCTTCTTGAAACCTGTTCATAGTCTCCGTATGTCCGCATGAAGATATGCTATATTTTGAGATGGTTAAAGTAGGAGGATCTCTTTTTTGTCACCTGTTGCCATGGTGAAATGTAGAATCAGGGCTCCATTCATGTTGGCTTTTTATCGTTGTGGTGCACGTGCTGAACACCGAGTGGACCTACTGAGAGTTGATTTAACAAATTCAAATCTGCTGATCTGGAACCGAAAACTCAGAGTTTCCTATCAGAGAGTAAATCAACTCAGAGCTCAGGGTTAGACTGAGGGTTTGTTCAACCTTCTTTCAGAAACGGGCCCCAGGACACAGGAGCTGTTTGTGTTTCATATTTTTACTTTCTCACTCTGACTGATGTTTGAGTTCTATCTCAGCTCCAGGTGTACCGGGGGAGGAGAGCAGGAGGGGGCGGGACAGAGGGAAGATGATGAGCGGGACTCCGGACACAGGAGGGGAGTAAAGGAGTGGGGGCGAGACTAGCCTGTGGAGGTTGATCACCGCCCCTCTGACCCCGGTGATGTTGCGCTCTGTGTCGACGGTGTTGTTTCTCTGTGATTGGTTTGGTCTCCTCGGTGGGGGCGTGGCCTTGAGCAGAGTTGAGCCGTGGTTGCTCCACAGCTTGCCCTCTGGTCGCCTCCTCCTCCGGCTGCTCCATGCCGTGGTTGCTCCTCTTGGCTCCTCGTTGCAGGTCGTTCAAGTAGTTGCTCCTCTCGATGCAGTGACCTCTGCTGGAGTTAAAGAGCTCCAACGCTGCCGCAGGATCCACGCCGTCCACATCTATGAGGTATCTGCAGACCAGGTATCCGGTTCGGTTCAGGCCGTGCGTGCAGTGGACTCCGAACAGCTTGTCATTGTCTGAGTTCTCCTGCAGGAAGTGAGTGACGGCTCGTTTGAAACGCAGGATGGTGGCGTCAGAGGGGACCCGTTGACCCTGGGTGGGGATCTTAATGTAGGAGACGGACTGCGGGACGTCGCTCAGCCTGTAGTACTTCCTGCTGAAGGTCAGGTCGACGATCAGACCCAGGTCTTGGTTCTGACTCTGTCCCACAGACTGAACATGACACCTGGCGGTTTGGTTTTAAAGGCACTTTGAAGGCGATGAACCGAGTCCCCGGTATCCTGCGACCTACAGGACTGTACTCCAGCCACCTGTCTGGAGGCATCTCAGCGCTGCACAGGAAATTTTCAGCTCCGACCTGAAACACACAAACGGGTTTCAAATGTTCAGTACGGTTTGATCCATCGTGTTTTAAACGACGCGCTCTGTCATTTGAATAATCGTTAGTATTGAAAAGTCCTGAATTCTAAGATTTCATCAGACGAGTCGGCCAACTTGTTTGTGCAGGAGTTTGTCTGCCATGGTATCTAACAGGTAGCATACCGTTTGATTTTTCAGTTTAAATCCGTTACCGTGACAATCCTGCAGTTCAGATTCAGGTTTGACATGAAGAACTAACTTTATTATGACCTAAATATTTGATCAAAGAGAGAGTTAAACTCCTGTTCACATGAGAATGATCAGTTAGAGCTATGATGTCAAATATTTAATTTCTCTTCAATCATCAGTTTTATAAATAATAAATGTCAGTTCAAGTTTAGCCTGTGATGATGTTTCAATGATCTTCAACACACACACAGATTTAAATATGATTTATAATAAACATCCATCGGCTGCCTTGTGAAATGAATGTGTGATGATGGGCAGCAGTCAGCATGTGAAAAGAGCTCAGTCTCTAAAAGTTCACAGTCTTTAAATTCATCTGAGTTATTTTCATTTGAAGCCGATCAGGTGTAGATCATCTGGTGTTCCACAGAACATGTTCGTGTGTGTTTCTGAGCGACGTGGACCCACAGGTGAACTGCGACACGTTAAACCGACGGACATTTAAATGAAGTTTCGTACCAGGACTCAGGACTCTGCAGGGAATCAGAACCTGCAGCTGGACAAACAAAGAGAGGAGGAGTTACTCCTAAAGGATCCTAAAAACTTCGCAACACCTCCAACAACAAACACAACACGTTTATTTTTTGCGTGTTTTCACCAACAGGGACGTACAACAGGGACTTAGCTGTTAGCATGCCGCCGAGGCTAAAGCCACGTTTCTACGCACGCAGGAAATGACGTAACATCTGCGCGTGAGGAACGGGAACAGCTTTACGCATCGACGCTGGCTCGGAGATCCCGGAAGCGTGCCCGCTTTGTTTACATTCTGCTCTTTGTTCGGGGGGCAATTCCTACAAAAAATGTCCAAAAAAAGATGCACGAGCGCGGAGAACCGGAGGCTGCGCGCGCTGATTGACCAGCAGCTGGCGGCGGCGGCGGAGGAGATTTTCAGGCTGCTGAAGGAGCGCGGGGATGCGGCCACGGAGGAGCTGAAGGAGCGGCTCACCGAACTCATCGCCGCCGCTGTGGAACACATCTTCACAGGGTTCAGAGAGAGCAGAGCGGCCGAGGGAGGAGCGAAGGAGCCCGGTGAGAGTCTTAAAGCCGAACCCGGAGCCCACAGAAGGGGTTCGAGTCCGGGTAGAGTCTTAGAGCTGCTTTAAAACCTGCAGGAACCGTCCTGAAGTGTCCATGTGGTGAATGTGTGGACGAGACGCATAAGAATATCTCAGGGGCAGAACTCCTTGAAATATTCAGAAGTGCATGTGTGAAAACAGCGTGAGAGTCTTTCACAGCTGCAGAAAACTTCTAACGTTTTGAGCTGCACGTGTGAACGCAAATCGATTCATTTTTACCGCATGAAGTCTGAAGCTGTTTTCACATCTGCACTCCTGAAAACCAGATGCTTGAGTGCAGTCTGCTCCTGATTGCGTTCCGTTTAGCTCAGAACTCTGATCCTTGAGCTGGGAATGACGTCACACCCGAGTAAACTGCGTTCCAGTTGCAAGTCGGAAAAGCAACATGGACGCCTCCGGGAGTACTCCTGGGGTATGACGTGACGTTAAAAGAACGATGCTGAAGTGACAGATGAAGCAGCAGAGTCTCTATACGACGCTATAATGAGAATATGTGTCTTTCTATCAGTGCTACGTGTAGTTGAACAGAATCTTGATCTGAACTAAAGAGTTTGGAAGAACATACTGGAGAACAGGAAACATAATGCAGCAGGTTCATTAGAGCACGTAGATTGTAGAGGTGGCGTGCAGACAGTCTGTGGTCGTGCAGCGACCCCCTCACAATCGCTCCAGGTGAATTCTCCTGATTATATCCTGCTGCGTTCTCACACATGCTGTAAACATGAGAGGACTGAATATGAAGTCAGTGATATTTAAAGGGGACGAAACCTGAATGTTTAATGTTAAAGAATGTTTAAGACTGATTTAAATAAACTGTGTGTGTGTGTGTGTGTCTGTGTGTGTGTGTGTGTGTGTGTGTGTGTGTGTGTGTGTGTCTCTGCAGAGTTGTGTCTGTCCGTCGGTCTCAGGAGTCTGAAGCAGAACTTCTCTGTGGTCGACAGACTGAAGGAACCTTCGCCTGGCTCCTCCTCCAAACACCAGGATGTTTCTGAACCAGACCACGGAGTGGCCCCTCCAGATGATCAGTCAGGTGAGGAGGAAGACGAGGAGGAAGAAGAGCTAACACCCCACTGCTGCAGAGTGTGCGGGAAATCTTTCGACAGGAAAGGTTTCTTAATGAAGCACGTAGAAAAACATTTGAAGGAGGCGGAGTTTCAGTGCGGTCTGTGCGGCGAGTTTTTGGAGTCCAGTGACGGACTGAGGCTGCACCTTCAGACGCACCGCGACAGCAGCCGCACCTGCAACATATGCGGGAAGAAGTTTCCCTCAATCCGAGCGCAGGAGACGCACCTGAGGCTGCACACCGGAGAGAAACCGTTCAGCTGCTACGTCTGCGGTAAAGGCTTCAATCAGAAAGGTAACATGGTGACGCACATGAGGACCCACACAGCGGAGAAACCCTTCAGCTGCTCCGTCTGTCAGAAAGAGTTCAGCCACACTGGCTCCCTGGAGCGACATATGAAGGCCCACGACGGACAGACACCATTCATCTGCAAAGTCTGTGGCTCAGGCTTCAGCAAGAGCACCGAGCTCAGGAGACACGCCCGCAGCCATGAGCCTGACAACTCTGTAGCTGTCAGGAGCAGATGTAGGAAGGCGAGCCTGGCGCCTTCTCATCACTGCAGCGTCTGTGGAAGCGCCTTTCACAACAGAGGGAACTTTGTGCGGCATGCGGAAACTCATCTAAATGATCCAGAGTGTCGTTGTGGCGTCTGTGGGGAGCAGTCAGAGTCCTCAGAGAATCTGCAGCTTCACATCCAGAGCCACAGAGAGAGCAGCCGGGTCTGTGACATTTGTGGAATCAGCTTCAGGGACATGGAGATCCACAGGAGGACGCACACCGGACAGAAACCATTCAGCTGCAAAGACTGTGGGAAAGACTTCCCCAGGAAAGGCTCTCTGGAGAGACACATGAAGCTACACGCCGGTGACCGGCCGTACATCTGTGAGTTCTGCGGGAAGACCTTTGTGGAAAACACGGTCCTGAAGAGACACATCAAGAGCCACACGGGGGGGAAACCCCGGATTTACTCCTGTGACATCTGTGGGAAGAAGTTCACCATGAGCCAGCACCTGGATGTGCACAAGAGGATCCACACCGGGGAGAAACCATACTCCTGCAGAGTCTGTGGGAAAAACTTCCGACAGATCGGTAACCTGGACTCACACATGAGGATCCACACGGGTGAGAAGCCGTTCATCTGCAGCCTCTGTGGGAAGAGGTTCCGCCAGAAGATCTCGCTGGAGACACACGAGCGCTTCCACAAGAAGGAGAAAGCGTTCAGCTGCCAGCTCTGCAGCAAAGCCTTCGTCCAGAAGATCGATCTAAAGAGACACATGCTTACGCACACAGGGGAGAAACCGTACAGCTGCCCCATCTGTGGGAAGAGCTACCAGGAGAAACGCTCTGTGGGCTCTCACATGAAGGTTCATGTTGGAGAACGAGCCACCAAAGACCCAGCTGTGAGTCCAAACCTGAAGGGACAAGAGGGAGTCCAGGCCCAGTTCATCCAACTCTAGTTGTAATCTGAGATGACTCATTTTATAGTCGCGGACACTCAAGCCTTCTCACTGCTGGGACTTTCCCAGAAGCACAAGATCTTTAAAGAAACATTACCTGAACCCAGAAGTAGAGTTAGTCTCTGGACCCCAACAAGAATCTGGTCAGTGTGGAATCCACCGTGCTCAGTGTGGGTGGAGGAAAGGAAACCAACAAGAAGAGCTGTAGGAACGTTTGGATCCTGTGGTTTCTGTGAACAGAACTGATCCAACATGAAGCTAGTCGGATTGGTCCATCAGCGATGACATTACAGGAACAGACATGTTCCACTGACACTTTTTCTCCTGTAGAGGGCAGAGTTCTGAATCTGAGAAACATTCTGCTGTCAGCTCAGCTCACAGAGTTCATACAGAACCACACAGCCATGCTCTCAAGACTCAGGGCCACACATCTCTCAGCAGAAAGGTCAAAGGTTTCCTCAGAATGTCTGTCTGTCAGTCTGTGTGTCTGTCTGTGTGTCTTTCTGTTTGTGTGTCTGTCTGTTTGTGTGTCTGTCTGTCTGTGAGTCTGTTTGTTTGTGTGTCTGTCTGTCTGTGAGTCTGTTTGTTTGTGTGTCTGTGTGTCTGTCTGTTTGTGTGTCTGTCTGTGTGTCTGTCTGTCTGTGTGTCTGTCTGTTTGTGTCTGTCTGTTTGTGTGTCTGTGTGTGTGTGTGTGTGTGTGTGTGTGTGTGTGTGTGTGTGTGTGTGTGTGTGTGTGTGTGTGTGTGTGTGTGTGTGTGTGTGTGTGTGTGTGTGTCTGTCTGTGTGTCTGTGTGTGTGTGTGTGTGTGTGTGTGTGTGTGTGTGTGTGTGTGTGTGTGTGTGTGTGTGTGTGTGTGTGTGTGCTACATGAACATGAGATGTTAATGAAGGAACTAAACAGGATATAAGTGAGTATGTATGAGAGTGAAACCAGCTTTATGTTGGAGATAAAGGTGAAGCTAATTCAAATATCCACTCAATGAAACGTACTGTAATGTGTCAGATATGATTGTTATAATTATCAGGGTTAGACTGAGTCTGTTGAGTCTGCTTTCTGAAGTAGCGCCCTGGTGTCACAGAAAAAATCAGTCTGTTTGATCCACTAGATGGCGCTGAGTGGTTTTCTGGTGAGTTTGTGTGAAAACCACAGACTGTGGCCGTATCCGAATTGCCAAGTACATACTCAATCTTTCAGTATGCAGTAGGCAGTATGCAGTACGTACTATCCGTGCTGTTTACTGTTAGTACCTACTATTCAGTATGCACACACAGTAGGCAGATATTTGTTTCTACTTCTTCTGATTCATTCAGTATGGAAGTGACGTCATTTACGTTTCCTGAACCGGCCGCATCCACCCGTTTTTTTTTTTTTTTTTTGTTTAGCTTTATTCAAGAAGAGTAATGCGATGTTCAGTATACTGAGGTGGACCCAAAAAATGCATACTGAATGACCACGAAAGTTCACTATACTGAAACTCCATACTGAATAGTACGTACTGCCTACTGAACTGTGACAATTCGGAAAGGGCCTGTATATCAGGATGGACGTAGACACAGCCACCTGGAAGTGAAGCCAAGACATTCAGGGCTCCCCCTGCTGACTGGCAGCAGTAAAGGTCATAAGCTCCGCCTCCTCGATGTTAACAGATGGGACATGGATCAAAGTATGAATCCAACCAGACGTCAGATTAATGTTTCTCTCACATGATTTCTGTTAGTTTGTTCTTATCTTGTGAGGATCCGATGAGGAGGAGAATATAGTGTTTACATTTTGAATCATCTTATTCACACTGAGTGTTTGCATCTCAACCACGTTTCTGACTGTGACGGTTTCATGTTCATCAGCGTGACAGTCTACTCTCTTCTTCTTTTGTCGGGTTTTTGGCGTGCAGTGATCTGTAACGCCGACCTAAGGGGAGGAGTTTAAACAGTTTGTCTCCGAGGTGTGAGGAGTCTGCAGTTATGCTTCCTGCCCGTGTCCTGACCCTGGACCGGTATCAACATGTCAGCTCAGGGATTCTGGTTTCACTTTTGTACAACGGGATGAGACGCAGCATCCATATGAAGAAGTGGTTCAAAACAAACAGAGACATTTTTATATCATCGATATAGACACGTCTGGTCCCGGGACACACACACACACACACCCTGCTGTGTTAAGTGATGAGATGGACACTGATGTGATTAAACACGTTCATAAACTCTCCTTCAGCGTGAACAGCTGAGTGACGTTAATCGATTGGTTTGATTTCTTCTGTATGAAAAACTTCAAATAAAACGTGTTGCTGGGCAGAAGAAGTTGTGTTTCCTGTTCTCTTTGTTTTGAATATCTGACTGACAGCTGATTGGTCAGAATGAAAGTGCTGATTCTGTTTATTTCCTGTTAACAGACCTCGTTTGAAAACATGTTTCAGACTGTTTGTTGATTATTAGAACTTAACAGAGCTCAGACGTTGACGTTTACACAGAAAGTTCACAGTTTGACATTTGACCATCTTTCTGTTTTCAACATGGAGAGCATAAAGACGATGTCACCTACAATAAAACCGTAATGTGTTTAATGACGGACTTTACTGAATAAAGACAATCAGTAACTAAGACAGAATGTATTATTATGAATCATCAATCAATCAGCTGTTCCGACTTAATGACGTCATCACAGACAGTTTCTTTATATTTTTGTTCACTATAATGACTTTTTATTTTCTCAGATTTAATTAAAATACTTTGATTTCTGTTAGGATCAGAGCAGTCTGTTCCGCCTCCCGCACAGCAGGGCTCGCTGTTCGTCCCTGCGCTTCGCTCCGCTGAAAGCGAACCGTCGTCGACGCGGAACTCGGTGTGTTTACGTCTCGTCCAGTCCGGTGTCCGGTCCCCGCCGCTGGCTGTCTTTGTTGGCAGAAAAAGGAGCAGGATGTGCAGGCTGCAGCTGCTGCGGGTGTCGATCCAGGAGCGGATGAGCGCCACCGCTGAAGCCTTCATGCTGCAGCTGGAAGAAGAAGAAGAAGCGGCTGAGATACCGGCGCTGAGGACGCTGCTCACCGAGCGGCTAACGGTGGCCGCGGAGGAGATCGTCGATCTGTTTAAGGAAACCGTGGCGGAGTACGAAGAGCGCGTGGAGCGGTCAGAGCGGGAGATCTGCCGCCAGAGGAGGCTGCTCGATGCCGTGCTGAAGCCCGAAGTCAGGCTGCACAGAGCAGGTCAGTCCCTGCACTCAGAACTCGGAGGACCCGCTGCGTCACGGTCTAACAGCAGGGAGCTAACAGCGGCTAACATGTTCTGGAGGTCTCTGTCCGACTACAACTATAAACACTCCCGTTAGCTTGAAAAACTACAACTCACAATTCTTCTCCTATGTAAACACCGCACAGCCTTGTGGGAGTTGTGGTTTTTCAACGTCACAAAATAAATCACTGTGGCCTCAGGGTGGCCGCGTGTTATAACAAAAGGTCAAAGGTGACTAAGAATCATCAAGCACAGGGCGTCTCTGAAGGATATCTGAAGGAGCTATTTTCATAAACTTTTTAAGGACTTATTTGGTCAAACAAAAAAAATCCTTCTGCAACAGATGACATCGTCAGCGACATCATCAGTCATCTTCAGTGTATTTGTCATTAACAGAACAAGGCAGTGAACTCTCATTGAAAAGTCATTGATTTATTGATTTCACTTTTCGACATTTATCGTGTAAAAATATTTGAAAGTGTTTGTGAAGGAAATAAAATGATTTAACAGGCAGAACTTTAGAGTGAACTTCTCTTTGTGTGTTTCAGAACTTCCTGCAGACATCCAGCAGCTGTTGGGGAGTAAAGAAGAACAGCAAGAGTGGAGCCCCAGTCTGGACCAGGAGGACCCTAAGCCCCCACACATTAAAGAAGAACAGGAGGAACTGTGGAGCAGTCAGGAGGAAGAGCAGCTTCAAGGACTGGAGGAGGCTGATACCACCAAGTTCCCCTTCACTCCTGTCTCTGTGAAGAGTGAAGATGATGAAGAGGAAGAGGAAGCTCAGTCCTCACAGCTTCATCAGAGACAAACTGAGCAGATGGAGACAGGAGTTGATGGAGAGGACTGTGGAGGAGCAGAACCAGAAATGGAGACACATTTAGGACCTGTGAGTGAAGACAACTCTGTGGATTCCACTGAGACTGACGACAGCGATTTAAACTGGACTCAAACGAGCGGTCAGTCGGGCTCTGACGGTCAGAAACACAGTGAAACTCCTGAGAGCGATGTTGGATCTCCAGGGAAGGAGCGACCCTTCCCGTGCTCTTATTGTGGAAAAAGATTCAGTCTGAAGGGGAACCTGAACAGGCACATCAGAGACCACACAGGAGAGAGACCGTTCCCCTGCACTGGCTGTGAAAAATCTTTTAAAGACAGCGGATCTCTAACGGCTCACATGAGGTGTCACACTGGAGAGCAGCCGTACAGCTGCTTGTTCTGTGGGAAGAACTTCAGCGGGCGGGGAAATATGACCCGACACATGAGGATCCACACCGGAGAGAAGCCCTTCACTTGCTCGCTCTGCAGTAAAAGTTTTCATGTCAAAGAACACCTGAACAGACACATGAAGTACCACACTGGGGAGAAGCCGTTCAGCTGCTCCATCTGTGGGAAAGGTTGTGCTCAGAAAACAGACCTGAAGAAACACATGAGGGTTCACACGGGAGAGAAACCATTCAGTTGTCCGTTTTGTGGGAAGTGCTGTGCTGAAAAAGGAGACCTAACCAAACATATGAGGGTTCATACCGGAGAGAAACCATTCAGCTGCAACATATGCGGGAAAAGTTGTGCTCAAAAGGGGAGCCTGAAGATTCACATGAGAGTTCACACGGGAGAGAAACCATTCAGCTGCTTGGTCTGTGGGAAACGTTTCACTGTGACTGGACATCTGAAGAGGCACATGAAGCTTCACACGGTGGCAGACAGTCAGGAGGCAGAGCCAACAGATACCGGTTCAGACAAAGGACAACAGGAAAGAACAGGAACTGTTGAACTGATTCAGACGTAGTGATGGTTAGGTTATCGGGAGGGAGGATTAACCCTCCAATCAGAGAGCTTGTGTTCAAAATGCTTCTCAGAATGTCACCTGTCAATCATAATGTCAGTGATGTAAATGTTCAATAATACATTAATCAGTCCCTCCAGGAAGTTGCGATGTCGCGATCGCAACAATTAACGCAAATTCAACCAATCCCCATGAATTCTGGGCGACCTTGCAGTTTTGTCCAATCACCGCAACCTTTCTGCAAATTTGACCAACCATAGCAGTCCCCCGGCGAAAACGGCGAGCCATATGTCACCAAAGTTTGGTGACCATTGACCAAACTCACTTCCTTGTTTACATGCAGATGCAGACATGTCCGACACAAACGTCGCACATTTACCTAAAAAAATAACAGCTGAGGACCGTGCAAGGCAATTCCCCGAGGCTCTGCACGGAAGCAGGGTTAAACTTTTTTGCACGCTGTGCAACGTTGTGGTTGAACACTAACGGAAGTCATCGATCTTCCGCAAAACACACCAGGAGAATGACTGAAACGGGCGGACAACATACAAGACAAATCACAGTGACTGTGTGTGTGTGTGTGTGGTAATTTAAGTAGTTAGGAATACACAGTCATAAAATGTGTGTTTTAAAAGATGAAGGCAAAATATAAATTTGGATGTGTAATGAAATCAGATGAAGTGTGAGTGTATGTGTGAGTGTGTGTGAGAGAGAGACGTCACTGAGTGAGGCAGAGGAATATGTAACTTCACAAAGCTAATGGCTCTGCTCAGGTTAAAAATATAGGCATCACTCAATCACATCGAAGTGTGTGTAAGAAAATAATAAAAAGTCTAGATTGTTTTACATAAAAAAAATCGGAACTAGTGTTGCAATTTTCGCTTCATGCTACAATTTAATTGCAAAAGAACGTCTAAAAACATCGCAATTTGCATTGCAATTTTTTTGAAAAGCTGCCGTGAAATCAGGCATTTTAGGCCGCAACAATCCCCCAAAAAGTCTGCAAAATCCTGGAGGGACTGATTAATTCATAATGTTGAATGTGAAGATGGGAGGAGGAACATCCTGAGAACATGCGGGGGTCTGAAGGTGGAACTCATCTATAAACAATGATGTCCGCTTTTATCACAAGCTCTGTCGTGTTGATGAAACAAAGATGGTCGCTGCTGCGGAGGTGTTTTTTCACATTGCTGCTTCTGCTATCTGAGAGCGTGGTCGACCTGTGAAGCAGACGACACCCTGTTCCTCTCGAACTGGATCATCTAAAAAAAGGTGAGCCTCCGAAAGACTACCCACACAGGTAGATCGTCCCCGCCCTCTAAAACGACCATCAGGAGCGTCTCCTGAGTCAGTGCTGCTACATGTAAACACTGTGAGACATGACACTGTGCGTCATGCATCAGGTAGATTAAGAGTTCTAACAACTTCAGCCTGACGTGTCCTGATCGGCCGTATTTAAAGAGAAACTGATAACGGTGACGTAACAGTTAATTGTCCATTCTTTGTCCTTCAGTTCCAGGATGTTCCATTACCTGACCCACAATCCTTTGCAGCAAAGGAAACTCTGAATTTAACCATTTAAATCATGAGAGAAATATTTCATGTGATGTTAGTGTCTACGATCATGTTACACCACTACGCTCTGACATCATGGCCCTGTTAGGTGAGCTCGGTGAATCACCATGGCAACAGTGTGTCCACTTGTTGTGCTTCACTCGGAGACGGATGTGATGAAGCAGAAGTGTTTCCTACTGTTTTTATGATACCAGAATGTTCTTGTTGACAATAGTCAAATTATTGATTAATTGATTTCACTTTTTAACAGGAGATCAAATAAATGTGATCAGAAGATTCTGTGAACGTGTTTGTGAAATTAACCTCCCATTTGTACACTTTAGACAGCGTGCAGGAGTTTGTCTGTCTGTAGTTTTGTTTACTGTCTAGGACTTTTGTTTTTTGTTGCCATGGTAACAGAGGTGTCGATATCAAAGTTCAAAATTCTGCTTTTGTGACAGCACTTCCCCCAAACGGGATAGTCGTGTGGTGATAGTTGATCTGAGTGACGTGACTTACAGGTTAAATATCTGATCTTAACAGTGAAAAGAGGCGTCTGCTCAGGACAAGAGAAGAAGAGAGGCGTCTGCTCAGGACAAGAGAAGAAGAAGAGAGGCGTCTGTTCAGGACTACAGAAGAAGAGAGGCGTCTGCTCAGGACTACAGAAGAAGAGAGGCGTTTGCTCAGGACTACAGAAGAAGAGAGGCGTCTGCTCAGGACAAGAGAAGAAGAAGAGAGGCGTCTGCTCAGGACAAGAGAAGAAGAGGAAAACTGAATTTAAAAAAAGTGTTTCCGTCCAGTAGTTGGCGGTAGAGTAAACTTTGGACGCTGACCGCCTGTAAACACCACAGAAGAAGTACCCGTCCGTGTTGGATCGTGTGTGATCGGAGCAGAGATGGACCGACACCTGGGTCTGCTGCACGAGGACCTGACACCTGAGCACGAGCCCAGAGGAGCAGGTGTGTCCAACGTGTGTCCCAGTTTACTGCTCTGCTAACGATGCTAAGCTAACCCGAGCTAAAGCCTCCATACATAGCCTGTTAGCCGCAGCTAGCTCCGGCTAAAATCACAGGCCGTGAAGAGTTAGGCTGAAATATGACTGAAGTCCAGATAGATGCTAGAAAAAGGTTTTGTCCATGTTATTATTCTGGTCGGTTCCAGACTCTTCTAGTTCCCTTTCCTTTACAGGAACAGCTTCCTCGGTTCTTTCCCTCCAACCTCAGCGTACGATAGTCCTCTTTTAGTTCTGATCCCGGTGAAGTGGTTCCCCTGCAGTGTAAACACTCAGCCTGATCTTTCTGTATGTTACAGCAACAAAACTGGATTAGTTTGACCTCATCCAGATTTAAAAATGTAATCAAATCCAGATAACCAGAGCTCTGAATGGGACTACACACTTTGTCCACAGGGGGCGCTAAAATCCACAACAACTGAAGGTTCCGGAGAGCTGAAGGACCAGAGCTTAAAGGTCCAATGAATAAGATGTGTAGTGACTCTGAAATTATAAAGTGACCTTACTATGTGATCAGACATTAAGGAAACATGCTATGTTGAAGTGCTGGCTTCTCTGACAACAATGCAGCAGTCAGTATGTCCTCCTTCTAACTTTAGATTCTGGTCCTGAATGCTCTGGATTTGTTTGGACCAGAGAAGGTAGGCGGTTTTAAGGCGGTTTGGACTGCAGTACCCATTTTAAACACTAGGTGTCAGATTTACATAAAGCTCCTTTCACATCAATTTTTAATGTTTCATGTTGATGATATTTGAGGAGCTATTAAAGGTGAACAAAATCCTCTGTTTTCTTGTGCTGGTAACGCCCATTTTTAATACAACATCAATGCAGTTCAGCTGTTGAACCACCAGGTGCTCATAAAGGCTAACAGAGCATCGTTACCACAGAGGTTTTTAAACACAAAAAGTTCACATTAAGTGTTTCTCTGTATTTCAGCTTTGCCTTCAGACATCCGAAAAGTGATTGTTGGTGAGGAGGAGCAGCAGGATTGGATCCCCAGTCTGGACCAGGAGGACCCTGAGCCCCCACACATTAAAGAAGAACATGAGGAACTGTGGAGCATTCAGGAGGAAGAGCAATTTCAAGGACTGGAGGAGGCTGATACCGTCAAATTCCCCTTCACTCCTGTCTCTGTGAAGAGTGAAGATGATGAAGAGGAAGCTCAGTCCTCACAGCTTCATCAGAGACAAACTGAAACAGGAGCTGATGGAGAGGACTGTGGAGGAGCAGAACCAGAGACGGACTCAGATCCAGAGACACATTTACGACCTGTGAGTGAAGACTCCTCCGAGACTGAAGTCAGTGATGGTGACTGGGAGGAGAGCCCAGAGTCAGCGTCACGTTTGAACTCTGTGAGAAACAAAGACGTCCTGTTTGAAGACATCGACTGTAAACCTGTGGAGCGATCTTACAGCTGCTCTGAGTGTGGTCAAAGATTCGGTCGTAAGCCGCATTTGAATGCGCACATGAGGATTCACACGGGAGAGAAACCATTCAGCTGCTCCTTTTGCGGTAAAAGATTTTCTCAAAAGGGAAATTCAATCAGTCACATGAGACTTCATACAGGAGAGAAACCTTTCCTCTGCTCCGTGTGTAAGAAGACTTTCAGGTATAGTGGAGATGTTAGCAGACACATGAGAACCCACACAGGAAAGAATAAATCCAAATGCAACATTACAGACATGATGGAAAGCAGCTTTAACACAGGACCAGAAGCAGCCACAAGCTATGACTCAGAGACATCCGTCCAATCACATCCTTATGATGACCCTGAGCCTGGGGTCAGTGATGACGCTGAGACGAGAGAGCCGCAGTCAGGTGTAACCTCTGTGGAGAATGAAGACGTCTCTGAGGGGGATGAAAGAGTTAACCCCGACAAAGAGTCGTTCAGCTGCTCAGAGTGTGGGAGAACATTTAGTCGCAGGGATCATCTGATGAGTCACATGAGAACACACACAGGAGAGAAACCGTTCAGCTGCCCTGTTTGTCACAAACATTTCAGCTGCAGCGGAAACATCCTGGCACACATGAGAATTCACACGGGAGAGAAACCATTTGAATGCTCATTTTGTGGCAAGAGTTTCAGCCAGAAAGGATCTTTGCAGCTTCACACCAGAATTCACACAGGAGAGAAACCCTTCAGCTGCCCATTTTGCAATAAAAGGTTTGCACATCAAAGACGAATGACACTGCACATGTCAGTTCACACAGAGGAGAAACGCTTCAGCTGCAGTGCTTGTGACAAAAAGTTCACCTGGTACACTCAGCTCAAGACCCACAAGTGTGTCAGGGATCCGTCGCAGCTTCGCCAAACGGGGAAGAAAGTTCCCCCTAAGAAAACCTTCTGCTGCTCTGACTGCGGTAAAACATTTAGCCTTAAAGGCAATCTGAAGACACACATGCGGATTCACACAGGAGAGAAACCGTTTAGCTGCTCAGTGTGTGGGAAAAGTTTTAAACAAAACGTACATCTGACGGAGCACATGACCATTCACACAGGAGAAAAACTCTATAAATGTTCTGTCTGTGGCAAAGGATTCAATAAGAAGTTACTCATTAAAAACCATCCCTGCATTTAACTCTTTATCCTGAACTCATGGATCTGTTTTTATGGAGAGACAAAAGGTTAAACATGCAGTTAAAAAAGACTGACGGAGCAACATTAACCTTAAAGAGTCTAAGAGCGTGTTCACACCTCACCTGTTTGTTCGGTTACGTCGAACTCTAGTCTGTTCAACAAGTTAGTGCTGTTTGTTTGTGCTGGTGTGAAAGCTGTCAATCAAGCCCTGCTGTGGACCAAAGAAGCGTACAGAGACCATTTAAAAAGGTGGGTCAGCAGTAAGAACTTGAAGCGACCTCGATCTAAACTCACTGCAGGAAGTAACCACTGAACACCTGTTAAAGACCACAGGCAGACCTGATGGAGCTTCAGAAACAGTTGGGGTGGATGTGCAGGTCCTGGTTCTGGAGGACTAACGTTGTCATGGTTCAGGAGGATTAACGTGGTCCTTTTCCAGAACTGTCAACAACATCAACATATTATTTTAAAACTGTATCGTTTACCTTCAGTGATAAATACAAACAATATAAAAACTGATGAGCAGAGCCGACATCAGTCCGTGTCGTCGTCCATCCAATTAAAAACTGTCAAGAGTCTTTGGAGCAGCCACAGCCAATCAGGAGGCAAATAGTCTTTGTTTACTTCGGGGAGTTTTATGCTGCATTCAGGTGCTGCTTGGGTGGTCCAAGTTTCTGAGTTTGGAAGTCGTTCTCCCGACTTCAGCGTGTTCACGTGATTTCAGTTTGTAAAGTCTGAACAACGACAAACAGCGTGGACGCTACAAAGATGTGTAACGTCTTTGTTATGAGTTATGTTTGAGCTAAACGTTGATGTGCAATACGTGAATTAATCAAAAGTATCTTAACATTACCTAAACATCTTTTGCCCGCAATGATGATGGCGAATATGATGTCAAGTCAGTGCACAAAGTTGCCGAGTTGATCTTACTTGAGCAGGTGTTCACGTTCATTTGATTTCTCAGAAACTGTTTATACCGACGTGTCCCACACCACATGAACGCAGCAAGAGACCATCTGATCTGCTTTAATTTCTGTCTGCTGTTCAGAGAAATCTGATTCAACTGTAAACGGATGATTTTTAACTGAATGATTTATAAGATCTGCATGAAGACAGAGTTCATAATAAAGAGCTTTAAGTGATTCTGTCCTCAAGACGACTCCATGTTTGAATTTGGGCTCAATCAATCCATAATGGACACACTCTCTCTAAAGGTTCATATTTAAGGATTAGTTAAACATTTACAAAATGAAAGGTAGAGCCTCGTAGCAGCAGGAAGGTTAAAGGTCAGTCCAAGAGGAAGAGAGCAGCCACAACACATCAAAACATGTAGACACCAAAAACATCAAATAGAAACTTATGACCTTAGTACAAACTGGACATGTTATTTGGGTTCCGCAGGTGATGATGATTGTTTGCTGATTGTCTCCGGACACGTTGACCTGAGGACGACCTTCAGGATCCAAACGTCTCCTTATCTAATATGAAGTTGCTAAACGGTTGATTATTTCACCCAGGCTTTAACCCAGAACTTCTTCCTGCCAGCCTCCGAGTATCCTGTCTGCGTGAAGTTGTGGTCAGCTGATGTGAGAGAGCAGCTGGAAATATTCAGGAGAGTTCACCCCGAGTGGGCGGGAGGACGACGTCCATATCACCCAATAGTTTAGCTCCGTGCCCGTAATAATCTTAACACTCATTCACTGACACTTTGTTTTCCATTTCTACATTCTCCTAATGAAATCATGCCTCTCCTCCAGACACCACCCCCCCCTCCATCTTTCAGGAACAACAGCAGGAGGAACTTCCTGTTTCAAGTTCAAAATGTGTGTATTTCTTTAAGCTTCGTATTTATGCTTCAATCATAGATCCAAATAAAGACAAGCACTTCAGAGCGGAGAGCTGGAAAAACATTTTTTATTCCATGTTTGAGTCTCATGTTGGTGATGTCAGACAGATAACAACATTTCTGTCGCTGTCAGCTGACAATCAGAGAACGTGTTGCTCCAACAAAGTAGTCATGATTAAAAGTGTCCGACAGAAGGCGGGTCAGTCCGAAAGAACGCGAGTCAGTCCGACAGAGGGAGAGTCAGTCATCTCCGGTGTGAGTCGACATGCTCTCTCTCCTGAAGGTCGTCTCGAGTCACGACTCTCCAACACACTGATGGTATTTCAGCTCTGTATACCACGCAAAGCTTCTGTCACAGATGTTACAGATATGTTTTTTTTCTACCGTGTGTACAGCCATGTGAGTATGCATACTTGCCTTATGGGCATATTTTTTCCCACAAACTGGACACACGAATGGTTTCTCTCCTGTATGTGTCCTCATGTGTATCCTCAGATGGGACACATAAAGACATTTGAGACCACAAACTGAACAAAGGAATCGCTCTCTTTCGTGAAACCTCATGTGGTTTTTCAAATTCAAAATTTGGTGAAAACGTTTCCCACACTCGGAGCAGCTGTGTGGTTTCCTGTGAGTATGAATCTCTTCAGAGTTTAACTCTGACTCAGGTTTTCTATTTCCTTCTCTCCCAAAGTCTCTGTCATCGCTCTCAGCGTCCAGAGTCTCTGAAACGTTATCAGCCAAGCAGCTGAACGTTTTCTTGACAGAATTAAATCCAGAATCACTGGCAGAGATCTCATCATGTCTTAGACCTGACGGGCGTTCTCTGGTCTCTTTCCAAAAGTCACTGTCCACACTGCCCTCAGTTCCAGAAGAGTCTTCAGTCTTGTCCTCAGTCTTTAGTCCTAAAGGTGTCTCTGAATCTGAGTCCCTCTCTGGTTCTTCTCCTCCACAGTCCTCTCCATCAGCTCCTGTTTCCATCTGTTCAGTTTGTCTCTGATGAAGCTGTGAGGACTGAGCTTCCTCTTCATCATCTTCACTCTTCATAGAGACAGGAGTGAAGGGGAACTTGGCGGTATCAGCCTGACCGATCCAGACCTCCTCCTGTTCCTCCTTAATAAGTGGAGGCTCTGTGTGCTCCTGCTTGACCCCTCTGTGTACCCCTCTTTGGTCCATCATGTGTTGGCCCAGACTTCCTCTTTGTGTTAACTGGTTCTCACATCCTGATCCATTGAAAAGTTTATCTCCTGTATGATCATGTCTGTGGATCTTAAGGAGGTGATTGTTGTCAAAGCTTTGATCAGAGTCAGAGGAGAAATCTTGTTTCCTGTCAGAGTCAAATGTTACTGAACTCTGGGAGATATCATCATTTCTCAGAGAGTTTAAACCTGACTGATGTTCTCCACTCGCCTTCCAGTTATTACTGTCTTCAGCCTTGACCTCAGTCTCTGGACCCGAGTCTCCTCCACAGTCCTCTCCATCAGCTCCTGTTCCTGTCTCTCTTTTCTCCTCACTTCGGTTTGGATGAAGCTCTGAAGCCGGACCTCCAACACACTCATATTTTTCTAACTCAGAGGTCCCAGACAGTCTTTGGTGACAAACAGAACCGCTGCATATGTTCTCAGGTGTGTGGACCTCCATATGTTTTGTCAAAAGTCTTCTCCAGGCAAATTCTTGACCACAAACTGAGCAGCTGAACTGTGTGTGTCCGGTGTGGGTTCTCATGTGTATAACCAAAGACTCACAGTCAGTGAACCCTGTGTTACACACCGAGCAGCAGAATGGCTTCTCCGTGGTGTGACGTGTCATATGGAAACTTAAATTCTCCTCAGTATGAACTTTCATGTGCACCAGCAGATTGTGCTGACTGACAAATCCTTTCCCACAGTGAGAGCAGCTGATAGATCTGTCGGCTACTATCGGTCCCTCAGTCCGGCTCTGATTCTGCTCTGAGGACTCGCCAACACACACATGGTTAATGAACTGGGACTCTTGAATAAATGTTTTCTCACAGACGATACAGCCGAGTCGTTTCTGGACAGATATGTGTCTTGTCAAACAGCCTCCTGTTGTGAATCCTTTCCGACAACTATTGGGTTGTTTTCCCTCATCACATGTCTGGTGTGAGAGCAGAGTCTGACGGTCTTTAGATGATTTAAGACACTCAAAGAAGCCGAGGGAGGATCTCTCTGCACTGTCCAGAGAGACGTCTGGATTCTTCAGGTAGGTCAGACCTGAGTGGAGCTGCTTGGCTTGATTGCATAAATCAATGTTAACAGTGTAGTGTTTCTTAGGTTGGATTATATCATGAGAACAGGTTGATAATTTCTTGCCAGCACTACAGCCATCTTTCCCTGACACTCTTTTATTTCTCTGATAAGTGAAACCTTGGTGATGTTTCCTGGTGCCTTTCCAAAATTCAATGTCAACACTGTCATCAGTTCCAACAGATGGTTTGGTCTCTTCATCACAGTCTGCTTTCAAATCTGTGTCTGGATTTAAAACTCTTCCCTGTCCTGGTTCTTTATAGTCCTGACAATGAGATCCAGTTCTTCTTTGGTACTTTCCAAGACACTTGTGTTTTTTCACTTGAAACTTCCAGAAGAATCTTCTCCCACAGTCAGAGCAGCTGTATGGTTTCTCCACCAAGTGGACGGCCATGTGTTGCCTCATTATACCGCTTTGTGAAAACCTTTTATCACAAACAGAACAACTGTATGGTTTCTCTCCAGTATGGGTTCTCATGTGTATCTCTAGGTGGGAACTAAACTGACGTTTCTGGCCACAAACTTTGCAGGTGAACAGTTTCTTGCCTTTGTGCATCCTCATGTGGGTCACGAGCAGATAATTGTTAGGAAACGTTGCATCACATTCAGTGCAGCTCAGTGGCGTCTTGTGTTTGTTACTTGGGTTTGTGTGAAGGTGGGACGTCTTACCAACACACTTGTGGATTTTGAGCTGTGATGTACATCTGAATCTTTTGCCACAGTCACTGCAGCTGAGCAGTTTCACCCCTGTGTGGGTATCCATGTGACATGTCAAGGCTCCTTTATAATTAAATGTTTTGGCACAGATTGAGCAGCTGTATGATCCCTCTACAGTGTGAGTTCTCAGGTGATAGTCCAGACCGGCCTTTTGAGTAAACCGTTGGCCACAGATTGAACAACTGAAAGGTTTTACTCCTGTGTGTGTTCTCATGTGTACGTTAAGATTTCCTTGATGTTCAAATCTTTTACCACACAAAGAGCAGGAAAAGGGTTTTCTATCAGCATCCTTCCAGTCTTCAGTCTCAGGGTCAGAAGAGTCCTCAGTCATGTCATCAGTCTCTGGATCTGAGTCCGTCTCTGGTTCTGCTCCTCCACAGTCCTCTCCATCAGCTCCTGTTTCCATCTGTTCAGTTTGTCTGTGATGAAGCTCTGAGGACTGAGCTTCCTCTTCATCATCTTCACTCTTCACAGAGACAGGAGTGAAGGGGAACTTGACGGTATCAGCCTCCTCCAGTCCTTGAAGCTGTTCTTCCTCCTGTTCTTCTTTAATGTGTGGGGGCTCAGGGTCCTCCTGGTCCAGACTGGGGCTCCACTCCTGCTGCTCTTCTTTACTCACCAACAGCTGCTGGACTTCACTGAAACACACAAAGAGACACCAGGGGAAGCTGTGTGTTTATGAGAAACCAAACCTAAAGGAAGAACTGGCAGATTTTCAACCTGTTATGTCTCATTAATCGATATCACATGTTAATGAACAATGTTTCACTCCCCTCAGTGTTAGCTCAAAGGAAAGCTCCCTGCTCACGTTACAGTACTTGGCAGAGTGTTCAGACTCCTTTCCTTTTAAACTACAACCGGCGTGCCCCTTTGTTGTGTCGAGCCTTCACCCGATAAATGTTGCCACTGTTTAAGTTTGTCATCTTCATCTTTACCAACAGTCTAGCTTCAGTTAAATTGTGGAGCTAGTTGAGTTGGTGAAGTTAAAAAATAATCAGTAGTTGATTTTTACTTGTTATCACCATTTCCTGCTCTTATATAACGGTGGTATTAAAGTAATATCAGACTGGAGGTATCCGCTGTGATTATCTTCAGACTGAATCACGGCACAGCTGATATTAGCATCATGACCTCCAGTGTGATATTAATTCAACTAAATTATGATATCATTAATACTTTAGTATGCCAATGTATAAGAAGGGTGTGGTAGTGAGCTGATGAAGAATCACTGTGTATAAAACTCTCTTAGCTAACCCAGCTATAAGCCCTAAGCCTACAATGATACAACTTTCCCATCTGACTTTCAGATTAACGTGAAGCTCCATCATTCATATAGTGACCATTAAACAGGATCTAATATAGCAGGAGCTAGCTGCGGCTAACACTGCTGTGGTCGTCTATGGACGTTAGCTAAAGGCTCAGCTCCCTGAAACAGGAAACACGTTTCCGGCAGGGACAGAAAACCTACCTGCTCTGCGCAGCTTCATTTCCGGTGTTAAAATCACATCCAGTAGGCGAGTTTGTCGGAGGAGCTCCTCTTCGGATCCACATGTTGTTGTTGGTCCTCTCAGGTCTCTGTGAGCCGCAGCGAGAAGAAGAAGAAGTCCAGTCAACCAGGACAGGATCAGTTGAGAGAGAACCGGAAACCAAAACACTACATCCTGCTTACTTCTACGGCCTTCAGAATAAAAGCACATCGTTAACTGTCAGACCTCAGTATGTGCTGTAGAGAGTGTATCAGGGAATGTTTTTTTTTTTTTACAAGTTAATTGCAGTGTTGACATTTTTGTTTGACACTTTTTGTGTTAACATTTTGAAGAAATGCTATAGGAGCTAATTACTTCCGGGTTGTTGTTAGCATTAGCTCTGGAGTGTGGAGTGATTGAGCACCAGGAATGAACCTTCAGAGCCTCCGTATGTGTGAATTAAGTTGTGAATGGACTTCATTCTGTTCCCCTTCCTCCCACTACAAACATCTGATGGTAGCTTAGCATGCTAACTGCACACACACACACACACACACACAGGCATCCGTGTTTGACGGAGAGCAAACCGAGTTGGGGACAAGAAGTCGTTGTGATCGTGTGAAAATGTCTAAAGTCCAAATGCTGAGAGCTTTAGTGAACCAGAGACTAAGTGTGGCTGCTGCAGAGATCTTTGAAGTGTTTGAAACAACGATAGCAGATTACGAGGAGCAACTGTGTCGATCCAGAGAGGAGAGCGAGCGGAAACAGAGACTACTGGACGCTGTTCTCAGTCCTCAGCTTCGTTTACACCGAGCAGGTTTGTTCATCATCATCATCATCATCATCATCATCATCATGGGGAAGGGCAGAACTGCAGCTTAAAGTCTGTCACAGCCGGCAGCTCTGTTCTTCATCACCTGACAGTGCCCAAACATTCAGGCATCCATCTTCAAACAACAATTCAAGTAGGAGGAGAGCGACGATGTGTGTGTAAATATTCACAACATGTGATGTTTATTAAACCAAGAAAAGGGTACGCTGCCACAAGGGAAGAATACAAATATTTATTACTCAGTCAGAAATGTAAATATTAGTGAGAAAATCTGTTTCCTGTAAGTAATGTTTTTTTTACAAATAAAAAGAGAAAAATATATATGCTCTGGTAGAAAGTGTTATTCCTGTGCTGTCATTTATTACCGACTCAGTGTGAGTCTCCTTTGTTTGAACAACATCTACACAAACACATGAACACACACACTAACACAGACACGCTGCACATGCAACAAAAACTCTCAGAGGAAAACCTTTCGTGCAAACTCTCCAGCACGCCTCCTGCCTCATACAAGCTAAACAAACAGGTAAAATAATCCGAGCTATTTAATCACATGAATAAATGAAGAAGATCCCAATCAAACTGATTTATATTAACAACAAACGATGGACAGTATTACATATCTACATCCTAACCAGTCTGTTGGACTGAGTTAATCCTCCAACAGGTCCACATGCAGACCGCCTTCACAGAATGCTCCAGGAAGGAAACGATGAAAAAAAATGTAAATGTCCATTTATGATGAATAATGAACATGTTTTTGATTAACGCCTCGCGTCCTTACTAGAACAGCGATTTGAAAATGATAGTGCAGACCCACATTCACTTCAGACATGAAGGAGGTGAAGGTCATATTCAGAGAAATCAGTGCTCAGTGTTGATATTCATATTTTACTCTCCATGTTCTCAGACTGAAGCAGGTCTCCTCTCAGCTGATCATCCGGATCAAACAGTTGACTGTTCCTAAAGTTTGACCCCTAAAAATCAGAGTTTCTCTCTATATGTGTTTCAGAGCGTCCTGCAGATGTCCAGCAGCTGTTGGTGAGTAAAGCAGAGCTTCCCCCTGAGCAGCAGGAGTGGAGCACTATTCTGGACCAGGAGGACCCTGAGCCCCCACACATTAAAGAGGAACATGAGGAACTGTGGAGCAGTCAGGAGGAAGAACAGCTTCAAGGACTGGAGGAGGTGAAAGAGGAGGAGGAGCAGGCTCAGTCCTCACAGCTTCATCAGAGACAAAATAAGGAGATTGGAGACTCTGTGGAAGAAGCAGAACCAGCGGTGAGCTCAGAGACAGAGAGTTCTTTCCACCCAGAGACTGAGGGCCAGAGTGGAGACTCTTCAGAACATGAGGCTGAAGACAGACTCGAACAGAAACAGGCCAAGGAAGCACATTTAGGTCCAAACTTTTTAAACAATGACGAGTATGACTTTCATGTGAAACTGTTCCGCTGCTCTCAGTGTGGCAAATGTTTCAATCAAAACTCAAATCTAAAGACACACATGAGAATCCACACAGGAGAGAAACCTTTCTGCTGCTCTGTGTGTGGGAAAAGATTTGCCCAGAAGGCTCATCTGCAGAATCATGTGAAATGTCACACGGGAGAAAAACCGTACGGCTGTTCACTTTGTGACAAACGTTTTTCCCGCTGTGAACACTTACAGCTTCACATGAGAACACACACAGGGGAGAAACCCTTCAACTGCAACACCTGTGACAAAAGGTTCACCTGGCTTTATCAGTTCAAAAACCACAAGTGTGGAGGGGGATCGTCACAGTGTCACGAACTGTGGAGCAGTCAGGAGGAAGAACAGCTTCAAGGACTGGAGGAGGCTGATAGCACCAAGTTCCCCTTCACTCTTGTCTCTGTGAAGAGTGAAGATGATGATGTTCAGTCCTCACAGCTTCATCAGAGACAAACTGAACAGATAGAGACAGGAGCTGATGGAGAGGACTGTGGAGGAGAAGAACCAGCCGCGATGTTACACCCCCGAACATTTAACTGCTTCTTTGAACACTTCTAGTGATCGTTGTGGAGCACCTCAGGTGGACTCTTTGTTTGAGGTGAGACGCTGATGTCTTAAACTGAAGGAGTCTCATTTCTGCAGGTCTAATGAAACACACTGACCTGTGATCAGTTCAGCTGTGTGTGTGTGTGTGTGTTGTGCGGTTGTCACAATACTATAATTTTAATCTTGGATCTAAAATCAAACCATTTCAACACCTGCAAAGTAGAAGGAAGGTCTTGCGCTCCAGCTCCTTTACAGGTGGAGGTCGGTGCTCTCAGAGAGTATAGGTGGGATCTACCTGAGCTCGGCGTGACTTGGCTCCCCATCCCCACCCCCTCAGGCCCGGGCCGGTCTTTTTTTATTTTTATGATTTATTTCTGGGCTTTTTGTGCCTTTATGGGAGAGATAGGACAGTGAATAGAGTCAGAAATCAGAAATCAGAAAGAGAGAGAGAGAGGGAGAGAGGGGAATGACATGCGGGAAAGGAGCCACAGGTCAGATTCGAAGAAGAGCGTGGAGCAGTATTAACACACACACACACACAAAGTTCATCACAGGGAAACATGATGTGTAGCAGCTGACAGGAGATGTTGTCCAGGAAGCAGCTGCTACAGTAACAGGGCAACATTCTGTTTTAGCAAAGTATGCAAAATTGAAAGGGAGAAGACGTGTGGGGAACCAGCCGGAGGGTTGGAAAGACAGCCGGGGGAAAGACATGATGGAGCAGGAACATCGTGGAGATTTTCTACCCATAGACCATCCTGAAATTAATTTATTTTTTATCACGGTGCTTCTCTAATAAAATGAACAGTTTATGTGTCTGTGTATTTGAACACCCCTTGGCTTTGTTTATGTTTCATTTCTGTAAAACAACTGTCAATAAAGGTTGAAGTATTTTTTTCCAATGAAAGATCTGAACACAGATTTATTTGGGGATTTTATGCTCATGGTGTGTGTGAAGCAACCACTACGCCACCAGCATCCCAGGACTTATTCCATATCGTAGAATACCGAACATGACTTCCAGAGGCGGAGATAATAACCGCTGTACCGTTAATATGTTCATGTTGTTGTTAGCATTAGCTTGTTTAGCTTCACAAAGAGAGAGAGTCGTAGTTGTGTTGAAGAAGTGACTCGGCAGCGGGAATGACCATTCAGAGCCTCCCTATTAAAACTGACACGGCACCACGTGGACGAGGGGACGGTGTTTCGATGTAACGAGTGGCCGTGTTATCTGGTGACCCATAGGTCACCTTGTCTCCTCTTTGTTCAGTTTTTCGTTAAAGATGATCTGAGGAGTACTGGCTCTATGACGGAAAACTTCACAAAGAGTTTGATCAGACACACTGATCAGACACAAGAGAATTCTTCAGCTGCAGACTGTGTGAACAAAGGTTCTCTTGGCATTACCAGTTAAAAAAAACATAAATGTGTCAATGTTCAGGCTTCAGAGCTTCATCATAACCAAAGTGCAGTGAGAAGAGAGGCACAGACAGGAGCTGAGGGAGAGGACTGTGGTGGAGCAGTGAAAACCCCTACAGATGAGAAACCAAAGACTGACAAGAAAACACACTGCTGCTCTTTTACTGATTTCCGTGAACTCTGACATCCTGTACTTTAAGGTGCTTTTTATTCATTCCTCTGTGTTGCATGCGTTACCCGCTGGCATATAATTGTTATTTAAATTATATTATGGAGACACTAAAATCCTAAATTATGTTTATGATTGGACACTTCATAACCAACCTTCCTAACCTGACCATGTTTTTTTTTTCTCACAAAGACCTGAGAGGACCAACAACATGTGGATCCGAAGATGTGCTCCACCGACAAACTCTGACAAAGCTGGATGTGATTTTAACACCGGAAATCAAGCTGCCCAGAGCAGGTAGGTTTTCCGTCCCTGCCGGAAACGTGTTTCCTGTTTCTGGGAGCCGAGCCTTTAGCTAACGTCCATAGACGACCACAGCAGTGTTAGCCGCAGCTAGCTCCTGCTAACAACATCGTGGACTTCACTGGACACTAACTCTATTTATATTCTGTTTAATTGTTACTATATGAATGAACGTTATTCTGAAGGTCAGCGGGGAAAGTTGTATCTTAGGCGGTATTTAGCAGTTAGCCCCGGGATAGCTCAGAGTTGACATGAGCAGGAGAACACATATATAATGAGCTGCAGCAGCTTGTTCCTGTCATGATTTCAGAGTTTTAAACTTCGATATGATTCTAGTAAAAACGGTGTTACCGTGGCAAAAAAATTAGTCTTGACATACAGCAAAAGGCAGAGGCTGGATTTAAACCCACAGCCTCAGCACATTGGGCTCACAACACAACCACCAGGCCATCAGGCGTCTACGGTTATTTCACCATTCCAGCTACTTAATGGTAAACTGAATGAGCTGAAGGAGGCCGGCGAGGGATGTACACTTGAAAAGCATTGCAGTGTTCTCTTGTATGTTTTAAAGATGAGAGACAAACTTGAAAAGGACATATTATCCCCAATCCAGTGATGATTGGCGTCAGACCAGAGAACATTAGTCAGCTTTAAAGTCTTCTGATACTGATGAAAGTGTGGACAGTGATTGTCGGAAAGAGACCATAGAACACGGGTCAGGTCTAAACTCTGTAGAGAACTTTAAACAAAAGACACCAGAGACTGATATGAAATCACACAGCTGCTCTGAGTGTGGTAAGACATTCAAAAAGAAACAGAATCTCAACAAACACATGAAAATTCACACAGGAGAGAAACCCTTCAGCTGCTCCAAGAGTGGTAAGAGATTTACCCGTAAAACCAGTCTGACAGGACACATGATCATTCACACTGGAGAGAAACCCTTTAGTTGTTCTGAGTGTGGTAAAAGATTCAACAGAAAAGATAGTCTGAAACTTCACATTGTGCATCACACAGGGGAGAAAGTCTTCAGCTGCTCTGAGTGTGGGAAAAGATTTAACAATAAGAGATGTCTGACCAGACACATCTTAGTTCACACAGGAGAGAAACTCTTCAGCTGCTCTTTCTGCAGTAAGCGATTTACCCAACAAGGGCAACTGACATCACACATGTTGGTTCACACAGGAGAGAAACTCTTCAGTTGCTCTGAGTGCGGGAAAAGATTTAACCATAAGTATAATCTGACACTTGACATGTCATGTCACACAGGGGAGAAACGCTACACCTGCAGTGTTTGTGACCGAAGATTCTTTTGGCATTGTCAGTTAAAAAGACACGGTTGTCTTGGTGTTCAGGCTTCAGAGCTTCATTCAAACCAGACTGAGGAGGAGCAGAACCAGAGAGGGACCCAGGTCCAGAGAGACATTTAGGACCAGAGACTGAGGTCAGTTCTGAAGACTCTTCTGAAGCTAAGACTAAATACAGGGATGATGACTGGAGGCTCTGAATGCGCTAAAAGATATAAACAATAGTCTAGTTAGTTCATTTGTGGTGCTTTGAACAGACTCCAATGTGATGGATTAAAAAACAAATCAACATGGCTGATGGATTTTGCTTGCAAATAAACTTTATTGTATTAATGTAATTTATAGTAATTCATTCATCACTTTAGAAAACATCCTCTCTCTCTCCCCCTCCCTCTCTCTCTTTCTGTATTCATGCTTTAAAGACAGATTCTGTGGGTGGAGGTTCAGACAGGCGGAGGAACACTTGTGACTCTGTCTCCCAGAAATAACAAATCCAGACTTCTATGTATGTCGTCATTTTATTATATTCTCATGACTAATTGGTATCATCCTGATGATTGGTGCAGAGATAAATACGACAGTTTGTGTTGTCCTGCAGACCGGGCACAAAAAGCAGATGTTCATTTGTCTCGTCCTGTGCCTTTAAGGCTCTGAAATGTTCTGCTTGTGTTTGAAAGAAAAAGTCAAAGACGTTTACTTGATTAGAAACCTCACGTACTCTTTGTGACTGTTACTGAAGCTGTTCTGCTGCCTCCTCTGACCTCACACAGGACTCAGGACACACACACATAAACAGTATATATATATGTATATATATATATATATATATATATATATACATATATATGTATATATATATATATACATATATATACATATATATATCTAATGTTTGAGTTGTTCACTTCACCCTCCTGTCGACCACACAAACCTGCTGCTGTGCAGAGTCTGACACGGCTAAACAGAATCTACTATTTCCTGCTTCTGTCTTAGTCATGTCTTGTGGTGTCGTCATGACAACAGAATTTAAACTTTGATATGATTCTAGTAAAAATCAAATGTTATCAACAACTGTTTGATACCACCGCAACAAAGATAAGGTCATAGACGTCGAATATAAAGTTATTAATTGTTTTTAATCATAAGAAAGTTGCAGACAAACTCGTGCGTGCTGTTTGAACTGGACAGATGTATTCTCACAGAGCGCTTGTCCCCTCCCCCGGTCCTCCCCCCTCCCCCTTCCCTCACTCCTCCTCCTGCTGCTGTATTTCTTTGTTGATGACGTTTTTGAAGAGCGTGAGCAGCGGCCTTTGGCTGCGCTCGTCCCAGCTCTTCATGAAGCCTCCATAGCGTTTGCTGGCTGGCGGGGCGTTCCAGCGAAAGTGCTGAATCCTGTAAACGCCGGCTTTTTTTGCATGTATGTCTTCAGGCCCCTCCTCTTTTTTCTCCTTTCCCTCATCTTCTGCTGTCATTTTGCGGCCAAGCTCCCGCTTCCTCATCTCTGCGGGGAAAACCTCAGAGGACTCCTCCTCCACGCCGTTGGAGGTGTAGATTTTGATGGGGCGGCGCTTCCTCCCGACAGGCTTCCCCCAGCGGAAGTGCTCCATGGAGTAGGAGCGCTTGG